TTTAATTAATTATATGAATTTGTTCTTAATTTCATGAAATAAAAAAAAACACTTAGGTTCCAAAACTATTCTAATCTCAAAAGCTTTCTTTAAGTATATATATTATAAGATTATATAAACAATGGTGTATATATGATAATTAATAATTTTTGTAATATTAACACAAAATAGAAAGTAAATATATTTATATTAAAAGTGTATATATATATATAATAGGAATTATATTCTTTTATAATATGATATAATATTCATATTATTTAAACATAATTAATAATATAATAATTTTTTAATTTAAATATATTAATGTCATCATATTAATAATTAGAGTAACCATACTTTTCATATATTTGTTAGTTTTTAACAAAAAGAATTACTTGTAAAGTTGGTAAAAATTATAAAATTTTAATTTAATTATTAAAATAATAAAAAGATATATAAATAGTAAAAAGGTTCGAGTAACGGGTACCTAAGGAGTGGTACCCGAACCTTACCCGAACCCAATACAGGTAGTGAAATCACTATTCAAACCTATCTCAAACCCAGTTATAGGGTACCTTAATCATATATAATCAGATTGAGTACTCACGAGTATCCTATAACTAGGTACTTATTGCTATCCCTATCCTTATCTCCTAATTTTATGTAGTTCATCTTCTCTATTTATGTAAATTTATTAAGTTCATTTTTTCTATTTATGTAAATTTATTTCCCTTCCATCTATATGTGTTTATAAATAGAGGCATTATAGTTAATGGTTGATAGACCGAAACAAAAATTGAAATAGTAGATCTTCTTACATTTTTACTACTTTTTTTTAATATTTTCTTTCAAAGTTATATTTCACAACACTTTTGAAGCTATATTTTATAATACCTTATTATTATTAGCATAAAAAAATCTAAGCAAAAAAATGTCAAAAAATCCATGTTAAAAAATATAAAATAATTGTAGTATTTTTACAATTTTAAGATGACAATTAAGTTAATTAACTACCTCATACGTAAATATTTTAAACAATAAAAATATCTTCTAACTTCTTTAAAAATTCGTAATCATAAAATCCTAAACTCTAAAAATACCTATAAAAAACACCCAAAAAAAAAACCTTTAACTTGTTCCAAAATATCATTGAAATCCTTGCCCATAAAATCCTAAAGCTCAAACTCAGGATTCAATTTAGTTTACGTAATAATGACATACAATTTAAATTCTATAAAATATAATAAATTATTAAAAAGACAAATCCCCAAGTTTCCACTTTCCATCAATCAGTTAGACTGAGAAAGTAGTTCTATCCTACCTTCCTTCTTCAACTTACATTTCGTAACAACACATCCGTGATGGCGGAAAATATGAACGGCGTGTCCGCAGACGAAAATAAGTGCAGCCGCAGGGAGGAGACGCTCTCCGGCGTTCTTCATCGTTTGGTTTCGACGATCATCTTCCCCGATGCATCGTCATCAGCATCAACTCCGCTGCTGAAGCGGATCAAAATCTCCATTTCCGAGAATGGGCCTCGTCTCGGCGAAGCCTCTAGAAACACTGGCCGGACTGTTCTGATGTGGACTCGTAGAGGCAGCCCTCTTCGTGCTCTTCTCGTCATTTCTGTGAGCTTTTTCTTTAATTATTTAATTAAATCGATCAACGTTTCTTGATATAGAATTGACAAAATAAAAATGATTCATCCTTAACATGTAACTAACTATGGCTTAATCTTACGCATTGCTTGAGCAAACACAAATGTGAATTTTTCCGATAACAAGTTATCTGATGCTTGAAAAAGCAGGGATAGACTTCCCAAAATTCCTCGTTTTCTCATTCGTTCTTACCTTTTCTATCTATTTGATTTGATTTAATTTAAAAATTAGTTTTTGATGCTCTTTCATGCTGCAAAATTTTCTGTTTATCTATTGAATGGAGTAGCACATATTTTTCCTGCCAATCTCTTGTCCTAGTAACTTTTTCTTAGCTTGATTTTAGTGAATGACATGGAAAACTTTAAATCATGATGGTTCCATCGTATTTATTCCTGAGTTGCATATTGTGGTATGAGTTTGGATTTGCTTGTGTGCCTTCTGGACTTGATTAATTTCTACATCTGTCCTTCCAACTTCTTTGTGGATCTCTTATGCACCAAGCAGCTCTTCTTTCTTGCAGCTTATATTGATTTCTAGTTATGATAATTAAGTGACCTTTGATTCTGGTTACATCATATTATTAGTGTGCTTCTCTTGCCCATACTCTTGCCTCTTGCCTGCGACCTCCCATAATTCCCATTCTTCAGAATTCCTCTGATTTTTTCCTTTTACCAATACTTCTGCAGGTTGGGACTATTACTCTTCTTACCTTAACAGGATTGCTCGTATTTATGCTTTTCTTTCTGGCTGCAACTGTCAATGCCATCGTCATCTCTCTTCTCATCTCTTTGGCAGCTGCAGGAGGCTTCATGGCTCTTTTCTTTGCCTGTGTAACAGCTATTTATATTGGGGCCTTATCAGTTGCTGCATTTGTTATTTCTACTGCAACAATTTCTGCAATTGTTGCTGTTATTATAGCTACGGGTATATCTCTAAGCATCTGCTTTAGTTTTTCTTGGTTTCATTCTTATAAATTTTTAGATTCTGTTCTGTTTATAAAATCCAATTTTCATGCTTGGCTTAGAAACTGCAAGAAGAAGCATTTCAATTAATTAATTTATTTAGGGTTGAATTTTTTTATCTATATAAATTTTTGCTGGAACCTATGATCCTGAACGGATATCAGTCGTACAGAGTTTTTATGGAAAGCCAAATGAAATTGCAAGAATTTGCTGTACACAGAACTCTCTCTATTGGGGCAAATCATCTCCATGATTTTCTCCTTGAAGTATTTGTCCGGTCCTTCAGTGCCCCATAGGCGGAAGATAGAAAAAAAATGATGAAAAACTATGATGTATAAAATTGGAAAACAAAGTTTGCAAGGGCCCATAGATGGTGAACTGAGTTTAGATTTTCTACTTTCTTGACCTGGTTGTATCTCCCATCATCACCATGAGTATGTTCACTCTCTCTCTCTCTCTCTCTCTCTCTCATGCTGTATGGCTTGGCCTACCTACAAGCATGAAAGTATAACCATTGTGCACTTTATTGACTAAGTTTGCTTTATGATGTGAGTGGCTACCTTTATGTGTGCTCTCACACACTGGTTGCTTGGTGTTTTTGGCATTACTTATTCATGCTATTCTGGTGTTTCATGGCCTCCAAATTTAGAAATCGTGTAAGATGTTTCAGCGACAAAGTTGAGGTCCTTCATAGTGCACATTCTGATAGTTTGTTATCGAGTGTATCCACACTGTTTGCTGTCTCTTTTGTGCCAATTGCTGTCTTTTTATGGCACTGCTAACATTTTTAGGCTATTATGGTAATATTAACTGATTATGGAGTTCCATACCCTCGTAATTGCCATCTCAAGCTTTTTCAACAAGAAGCTTCAGATTTTTCATAGTGGACATTGTTTAGGCTTTTTATTTATGCGACTTGAATTTTCTGGAGTGGTGCTTTTCAGTTGATATTTCAATATGAACCAGGTTGGGTTGGATTCATTTGGGCTGTATGGTTGGCAACTAAGAAAAGTGTGGCTCTTGCTAAGCACTCATTGAGCATGACTGGATCGGCTCTCTCAGCTTACTCTCCTGCTCGGCATACCCGTCACTACCAGGAATCGGATAAATTTTCAGATTGAAGTGCTTTTGTGAACATAAGCCCCAGGCTTGCCTTCAAGAAACCTGCGTGCTTTGGATATTTATACAAGTTTATGCTTGCGCTCATGTTTCTGACAGCTTCTGTGCATGTGTGTGTTTTCAGATGCTGTTGCTTGTATATAGATCAGAAGCATGACTGTATTTGCCAATTACCAGCGGTTCCAGAACCATAGGTAATGGTATAGTATTACTGTTTGTCTAGTTACATAGTCTGCATGCTGGCATGGTGTTAGATTTTCCAGTTTGTCTTATCTTTCATTCTACTTAGCCCGTCTTGGGTAACAAAATTCCGGTGTAAAAAGGGTCCTGACTGTTTGGAGTTCAATCATTTCCGGATGAATGATGTTGTATGCTTATTCCTCTAGATGGGTTGATGCTTAGCTTGTAATGGAAACCATGATAGTTATGGACCAATTGTATACTACACTTGATGGAGTTTCATGTGATACACAGGTTTGTTTTCTAACGTGTATTTTGGGATACGGTATGATTCCGAAACCGAATGTTTGGCAAATGTGTGGTAAATGACTGGTTTAACCATTAATAATTTTGCTCATATTGCTTTTAATAATTAAGTGGAAGATCTTTTAAATTGATGTAAAAATGATTGGTGGCGTTTAATCACTTAATGGGTTTTCTGATCATCAAAATAGTTAAAAAGTCTTGGGGGGGAAATCTTAGGGGCTAAGAAAAAGAGAAAAGGCTGTACCAAAGACATAGAAAAGGACAGCACAATACGTAAGAAAGCCCAAGTTCCAATCCCAAAAATTTAAAAAGAGCCCAAATGAGGTGATGAGCTAGCTTTCATTATTTCGGGAACAATGACAACCTCCTCAACTGTACACTCTGCTACAGCGATGAGATTTGATTTCAGTGAAATTGAAAAGAGGAGTGGCGATGAGATTGACAATGGTGACTCTGAGATTTGAATTGCAGTGATGAGATTGGAAAAGATTAAAGAAAAAATCAGAGGAATCAGAGTCCCTTTAGAATTCCACTGAATGTTGGAAACTAATTCATTAATTTGCTTGGTTCTGTGCCTGTCTTTGATGCTTCTTCTTTGATGTCCAATAAGTTTGAATTTTTAAATGAAAACTGCTATAGAGTCTTGATCTAACAATTCGACTATATAATCTGGCAATACAAAAAAATTAAATATTCATATATACATATGTTCTTGATATCATTTGCAAATATGGTCCGACTGTTTACCTTTATCAAATCAATCATTTACCAATCATCCATCATTAATCAGAGTGTTGGAGTCAAAATGGAACAACTACCACCAATTTAGCTTTAATTACAATTATCATGGAGGTAGCCGCCAAAGGACAACTTACTCTACTCTTTCAAGCACATAGAAAAGTGGGAGAGCCCATATATACTCTCCAAAGTATTAGAAAGATATGTATAGTTTAGAGTTGTTTGCAATAAACGAATTTATAAACCTCATTAAATTCATTTCAAATTCAAGGTTTGTTACTTTTGAAATGTCAAAACAAGTGTTAACTTCAAATCAACAATTTTAATTCCATAATTTCATTACTATTGTTTCAATATTCAACAGTTGATATACATAGCTAATGAATTACATAAAATGAAGACAAGACAAGGTGTTGCTTTGTCAAAATAACTCTCTAAACTTCATTTCAAGTGAATTCCCTTGTTCACTACTTGGCATTTAAAATGTGTCAACTAATCCATTTACAAATGAATTCTGTAATATATATTCATACCAAGCATATATAGAGTTAGTGGTTACAGCTGACTGTATGTATGTATGTATGTATGTATGTATAACAAGATGGTTACTTCTCAAATGATGAAGATTAATTAATTTCTTTTCTCATTTGTTTGCAAAGGCTTGCAATCAAAATTTATATAATGAAACTTCAACTTTTATCACTAAAAACAATCTCCCAAAACGATTTAGATATCTAATTACTAATATTGAAAAGCTGGAATGGCAGCAAATTTAGATATCTAATTTTGTATTTCATGTATGCCTGTCCATTTATGAATACAAGGGGAAGAACCAGCGAAGCACACATCAAATGTAAATAGAAGCAAAGTATGATAGTAAATTACTTATGTTGTGTGCCATGCCAGTCCGGTCTGCCTAATGTGAACTCCAAGCTCGGGTTTTTGCAATTCAACAATGGAGTTGAATCACAAGATTCCTGCAACAGTTCATAGATTTGTTTACCATATATAGTAATCAAACATATGATATATAGAAAAGCATTTTAGCTAAGGTTACCTCAGTTTTGTTGAATTGGAAGGATAATGGTCCTCTCACCCCATCTATATCATTCGAATTTGAGTGCAACCATGCTTCTCTGCTACCAAATCAGGTGTGGTTCAAATGACAAAACTTCAGGCCAAATAATTAATATTTTGTTTTAATTAAAAGTTAATTACTCATTTATTATCCAAATTATAGTAAAATTGTTGATATGGTACCTGAAGAAAATAAATTCATAATTAAGTACTTCAATTTTCATTTCATTAAGCAAATTGAACATCTTGCAAACTCTATTATATGTAATTAATCTTTTAATTAATTATTATATAAAATCTTTTTCTTGGAACATCAAAATGTACCATATAGTTTGAAACTTAAAAGGAAAATTACGATTTGAGAAATACAAATTACACTTTCCCCTGTTGTTTCAGTGGAATTCAGTTAAACACACATCAACTCTATGGTGTACCAAAAACAAAGGGAGAAAAAAAAAAAAACTCTGGTTTGCTTCATTAGACACGAGATGTATCCTGACCAAAACTTGATCTCCTTTTCTAATCTTTTATGTGTTTTGACAATTTTCTTCCACCCTAAAGAAACACAAACAAGTTTAAAATTCCAATCCAAAAACCCAATGTATGTATGTATGTTTGTGTATTCCTAGAGATTTGTTCACTAGTTAGCAAATGACATAGCTTTTGTATGTCCTCACTTTTGCAGGTATGTGATGCTGCAACTGGGTAAAAGTTCAAAGAAAATGTGTTTGCAAGAGGGGAGTGACACAAAATGCTCATGGTTGCATGAAATATTAGGTAGAGAGAGAGGTGATTTTTTTAGTTATAACTTAATCGACTTGATTCAAGTGGCATAGTAAAGGCTAAATTTATCCTATATATGCAGAAATAGAAAGCTTTGATTTTTTAGTTTCCGTACCTAAATCTTCCAATCATGTTCTTTGATAACAATGAGACTTGTTATCTTGAAGTCTACATAAGTACTGGTTTCAGTTCCAACTACAAAAATTGAGTGGCAATTCTAAAGTTACCTTAAATAACATTATTTTCGAATCTTGTTAAAATCTAGACTCTCAAAAATAAGAGGTGAAACTTGTGTCTCGGTAATTTTCTTTGCTTAATAAAACCCTAGACATCTTCAAGTTAAATTTCATAGTCGGGTTTATAATGTCCATTAAGTTTTGATTAAAATGATTAATAAATTAATATAATTACAAATTGAGCATGTACACACTACTACAAATTTTATCTTTAGTTTACCTAGAAAATATTTGCAATAACTCTTTCACATTTACAAAATTTTTCTTTTTTGCCATATAAAAGATATATTTTGTGCTGCAATAAATTATTACAAAGTGCATTGCGCTGCTAGAATGCATACAAAAATTGTTGCAAATACTTTCTAAATTGATATCATTCCTAGTTCTTTGCAACAACTTACATGTTTTTGTAAAAACATATTTTGCCGAATGAGAAGACTTAATCGGTGTTGCAAGCTACATTTGGAAACAAAAGTGTGCGTAAAAGTTATTGGTATTTTGGAATTGGCATTGTTACATTATACAAATATCAGGTTAAGAAGCTTCCTTCTTTATTCTTGTAGGCATGTATATAAGGGGTCCGTCCACTTATTGTAGAAGATTCAGATTAAAGTCTATATATCTTTCTCTGCTGTTTTATTCCAGAAAACTTGATTAATCTCTGGAGAATCAATGCTAAGATGAAGTGCACCAAAAACTCATGAGTATCAAGTTTTGTTTATATTGTAAACCACCTAAATGCAGTCTAGTGGAGTTCTTACGCTAAGCATTATATGTGTTTTTGTGAGCTGCTTGCATGTCAGATTTTTGGGTATCTATCATTTAAACTAATCAATTTGAAACAAAAATATATACCAAAGAAGAGTCATACAAAACCAGACATGCATGATCAACATTTAAATGAGGTTGGTACCCAAAAGATGTTTATTTGATACAGTACTGACACCATATAATATAGTTTACATTTATAGGAGTGGCTAAGTCAACAGAAAAATCGTTTTGGTCCTTTAGATGCAATCAATTTCAAGTTAGATTCGAATTAGAATAAAATTAGTAATTAAATTTTATATTTTCAATAATAATTTTAATTTATTACAGTTTTGGATCATTTCAAGCGTGAATCTTTTTAAGTGAAAATTATTTCGAATACTTCAATTCTTTTCAGATTTAAATATTTGACTTTGTTTGTCAATTTGGATTTGATTGAGTTCGAATTTTGGATTTTTTTTTAGCTTGAGTCGATTTTCTGAGCTCCAAGAAAGAAGAGTTAAAAATTGATTAGTGGCATGGGATGCGTCCTAAAGAAAAAGAAAAAGTATAGTTTCAGCTTTTTACTCTCATCCTAATTAATTAATTAGCATTTTGTTATGTTTCTCATTGCTTTTCTCTCAGGGCTCAGCCTCACACCAATCAAACTACCAAATCTTAGCTCAGCATAAAATTTTCCCCCAATAATAAAAAAAGAAAAAGAAAAGAGAGAGAGAGAGAAAGATTAAAAGAAAAAGAAAGGAAGAAACCAAGCAGAAAATAATAAAGCAAAAGCTGCCACAAACAACAACTCCTTTTATTCTTCAAAAATGGTGGACGTGGGCTTGCATTTCTAAGCTAATATAGTACCATGCAAAAAGGAAAAAGGAGAGCCAATAGCTACTAGTACTACTGCATCCAATGCATTCATGCTCATTTACATACATACATTCATACATAAAGAGAGAGCCAGGGAGGGGAAATGATACCTTGAAGAATTACTCCAGAGAGTACTAGTAGTAGTACTAGGATTACAGGGATAGTCCAATTCTTGTTGCAATGACCCATCTGATGTTCCTATTTGATCTGTTAATCCACGCAGGCCACGTTCGCTGCCGCTAACAACAGTGGATATATCTTCTTCTCCAGACCCATCTGATTGACCTTGCAGATATATAATATTAACGGCCAAATTGAAGAAGTACAGTGAACCATGCATAAATAACAATATATGTATGTATGTGTGGATAGCCATATCCTGTCTGAAAGTATGAATTATTTACATATACATAATTTATATATATATATCTGTATATAGATATAAGAGAAAGGAAAAGATAAAAGAGAGAGAATTCTTAAAATAAGGCTGCTAAAAAAAGCTGAAGCTAAGCAAATACGAAATAGTAGGAATTACCTGAGGAGGCTGCAGGCTTGTCAGTTGTCTTAACAGTACGATACATCTGCAAAGCAAAGTCATAGCAAAGGAAGGCCATTTGAACACATATAGTAGAAAGAAAAATAGAAGAAATGAGAACAAAGCCAAAGAAAGGATATAGAGGCATATAATATATAAAATCCATTCAAATCTCTCTCTCTCTCTTTTTTCTCTCTCTCCATGAGCGGGCTTCTGGGCTTTGTCTCGGATTCATCATTAATCACGAGGTTGATGTTTGATAAGGTAGTATTGAGGTGCGTATTATTGAGAAATGATGACTACTTTTGTCTGTTATCATTCTACCTATTTCTTTCTCTCTCTCTCTCTCTCTGTTAGAGCAGAAGCTGTCTATTTGGTCTCAGAAAGTTGCAGGCTCTTGGCACACTTCTCTTATTTATTTCACATCCATTCATTCACTCACTTGTTCCTTCATTGAAACCATTGCCTTCTTCGGCTACCGTGCTGGTGGGATTAGACCAAGACCTGAGCCTCGCGTGTGAGCGTGAGAGAAAGAGATAGAAGAAAGAGTGACAGACAGATAGAGAAAGCTAGGTACCCAAACCATAAAAATGAGCATGTTTTCTTTCTTTTTTTATTTGGCATACCTGTAAGTGGCTTTTCACATGAGCTAATGTGAGATCTTTGACATCCATCAGCTCAAGAACCGACTTCGGAGTAGCTCCTGATGAGCCCCATCAAAAGAGATTATATTAAAACAATGTATATGCACCTCCCCCCCCACCCCCCCAAAAAAAAAAATCTCTTACTTACCAAGAAAATCCAAAATCAGTACCGCTCAAAAGCAGAATAAACAAAAAAAGACTATCAAATTTAAGCTATAACTAGAACAAAAACATTATGAAGAGCATGCCTCTTTGTAAAGAAAAAAAACAAAAGTATGAAATTTTACTTTCATGACCACCAAGTAGCTCGACAGCGTGAACAAATCTAGCGTGAAGTGTGCTAGTCCATCGCATCCTTGGTGCCCTCATACTTCTTTTAGTCGGAAGTTTGGGCAAGAATCTTGATCTAATCAGTCCATTAGAAGCATCAGAAGATCCAATTCCGTAGTGGTTATGTTGGGGCTGCTGGTGCAATTGGTGGGATTTGAAAGCATCCATGGAAATCCCATTGAATCTAATTGTTGCCGGTGACCGATAAGCAGGCGAACCTTGAGTAGACCCTGAGCTTAATATGGAGATGGGATCTAATCCTCCTCCAAAGTAAGGCGAAGCAGAGAGAGATGGAGAAGAAGAATATAAAGAGGAAGAGGGATAAGGTATTTGGTAGAAGCACACCTTTGGATCCCTCTCTCTGGAAAGATTTTCTAAAGTCGGAAAGGGGAATGAACGGTTTTGATATACTGGAATCCCTTTTATTGGCCTTGCTCCATCAGATACATCAAGTAGGGAAACCCCATGATTTATATGATTTAAGTGAGTATTAGCTGGGTGAAGATGGCGATGAGTGCGGTGAAGAGGGGTATGCGATGGTTGTTCAGCTCCACCAGCTGACTTTCTTCTGCACTGCCTCTCCTGCTCCATGACATTAGCTGGATGTGGACGTGCTAGAGACAGCTCGGTGTAAGCTTGTGAGGCACTTATCATGGAGGTGCCGCTGTTGGATTTGCTGACTTCATGTCGGCTCAAAAGATTGAAGCTTGTATCAATAACTTCACTGCTCTTGCTACATATCAAAGAAGTGGAAGCTTTAGGCGGACTAATGTGAAGGGAAAGATCAGGAATTGGGTTCGAAGAGGGTTCAACGAAAACCCCTTCCAAGGGCATGGTTCACGGCTAGGTTTCTTTCCTAGTAGTTAGCTTTTCTCGCTGCTTAATTAATAACTTAGTTCCAATGAAATGAGAAAAGTGGGAGTGTGGTCAAGTGGGTGTTTGATCTTTTCCTCTTCTTTCTTGAGAATAAGTATGTTTAAAGTGTTTGATGTTGTTAGAAACTTGTGAGGAAAAAAGATGAAAAAGCTATGAAAGTTCAGCTGGGATTGTGTTTGCTAAAGGGGAAGAAGGAGTTAAAGAGAGGAGATAAAAAGGAAAGAAAAGACTCTTCAATTAATCTTCTTCAACAAACAAACATGCTCTTGAAGAAAAAAAGGAGACAAATAGTGTTAGTATTGGCTTGGAGGAGCAGATGATGGGTGGAGAGAGAGAGAGAGAGAAGTGCTTTTAAGCAGTGGAGGAAAAATCTATAAAGAAAGCTAAAGAAATCCAGAAAGGCATTGAAGGGAAAGGGGAAAGAGAGAGCTAGAGAGTGAGGATTTGGGAATGATGTTCCTCGAGAGTATATCTCGGAAAATGACACTAGAGCACAAGGTCTCTCTTTCTCTTTCTCTATCTCTGTCGCTCTCTCTTTCTCTCTTAGTCAAAACCAAGCTTTAAACAAGCAAAAAGAAAATTCACCAAAATAATAAGGTGGCTTTGATTTTCCTTCCCCGGAGACGACGGGATAAAATATGTTAGAGAAAGAAAGAGTCTCTCCACTCTGATTCCTTTTCCCCCACCCTCCTCGCTCCAATCTAACTCTCTCTCTCCTTTTTGTCTAAATGCTTTTCCTTTTTTATCCAAAGACTTTCTTCACACTATGAAATTAATGTGGTTTTTCATTTCCACGTTCCAATGGGCAGAGGCTAGCTAGTCTAGACAAATAGAAAGCTGGTACATGAATATGGGATTAGGACATACAGGATCTTTTTCATTTTCTCTATTTTTTTTTTTTGTGTATACTATTGTTATATGTAGAGATAATATAGACCCATTGACCTTAGTAATAAGAGACCCACCACAAAAGTGGGTTTTGTTTGCTTTCATGTGTTCTCTTCGAAAACCCTAAATCTGCTCATTTCCTTTCTAATTCCTTTCCAACCTCCCAAATATTCCCTTCTAATCTTGTCTGGCCTTCATGGGTTTTATTATATCTTCCTTCACATGAACCTCCAAAAAAATATATCCTCATTGACTCCCACACACTATGCACGTAATTACTGTTTGCTAAACCCTAAGCTAAATCAAATTAACATCATCCTTTTTTATATTGAGAAACTAACCTTTCACTCTATATACATTCTCTGGAGATAACAAACTAGCTCTTGGGGAGGCAACACTTTACTTTTATATATATATATATATATATTTGGAAAATGGAGATTTTAACTCTATTCTTTTTTAAAAAGAGATAATGTATCAACAAATGAATCTACTGTTTATATGTACTTTTTTTTTTTTTAAAGTATAGAGGTTTTAATGCTACCAAAGATTGCTAAGTCAAAAGCGATGTTTAGATGGTGCATTCAATGCATACTAGGGTTACAAGGATGTTCGTGCTTCTACTTTCACCCTCGAGCTTGTTCTCATATAATTGGAAATGTTAATTATAGTTTAATTTTCTTTCGTACATATGGTAGGTAAAGAGGAAAAGGGAATTTGATCCTTAGACCAAATTTATCTTGAGAAGAATAATAATTGTTAGGTTAAATCTGAGTTGTTTTTAAATTATAGTTTATTGATAATGGTTAATGTGATATATTCATATTAAAAAATTTTATAATTAATGCATTTTTTATTTGATTTGTTAATAATAGTACATCAAGTGAAATAAATATTTGATTGAGAAAAAAAAAGAAATAAATATTTCTTAAATTAGCAACTTAACTAAGGATAAGAGACATTAGTCACTAGCATAACCCTCAAAAAATATATATTATCTCTCCAGTCTCATTTTCTTTCTTCATCTTTTCTTTTTCGAACATCCAAAAATTATTAAACTTTTATATATCCATTTTTAAATACATAATACTCTTACATTTTTATATAGACTTTTTTACTTATAGAAATTAGAAACAATTAAATATCAATAGTACAAAAAATTAAAATACATGTTATCAAGAATCAATTTAGCCTAAGAAGTTCATTCAAAATCCGTACAAGAAAGAATTTCAGATAATGGCATTCTACTATCCCTATTTCTTAAAGTGAGTAAACCACGCAATTTATTTCCACAATTAATCTAACCAAATATCGTATTACAACCACACAATTTATCTTAAAAATTTAAAGCGCAAGCGTCCACATCAAACAATAGATTTTGCATTTCATAAGTTACAAAAAGAAAAAACAAAAAAAAAATACATGACAGTGCCATATAACGCTGTCCAAGGGCCAACACTTCCAAATCGATTCATAAGACAATCGCCATAACCGTACCATAAGGAATTTTCATCTAAGGAAAAGGTCGAGTCACCAACTAGATTTGTTAACAAGCCTGAGAACCCAAAGAAGCGACTACACCCCTTGCAAAGGACCTACCCTCTATATATCATACTGCGCTATAGATGGGTTGGGATAACTTACAAAAGTGAAAGTACTTAAGCTACGACTCGGCCTTTAAAATTATCTAATTAGTCCATACAACACTAAGACACGCATTAGCAATTTAAATCAATCACATCAATAAATGTAAGCAGACAATATTCTTAGCATCCAAATATAATCAACAATGCATAAAAAAAATCCTACAACATGCCACTCTAAACAAATAATTTCCAATAAAATCCTTAAACACGCATACTAACGAGTAAACCATAAATAACATGCTTTGTGGAAACAATTTTGAACACAATTTTTAAATGGTAGTTTTGAAAATGTTTTGTAGTGAAAATGGTTTTGAACATAATTTTTAGATCCTATAAATCCACAACAAAATGAAATTGTTGAGAGAAAAAATAAAATTTTCAAAGGAATGGCAAAAAAAAAAATTCTTTATCAAAATAGATTGTCAAAAATATTTTTAGGTTGAGACTGTCAACACAGCTCACTGAGTTTTAAATAGAAAACTAAACATTTCACATTTAAGGACTTTTGGTTGTAAATTTTATGTTTTGAGCAATGAAAAACACACCATTGAAAATTTGATGTTAAGAGTGATGAAGCTATTTTCATGGGTTATGGAATGAACTCCAAGGTCAATAAAGTGTTTAACAAAAGTTTTTTAATTGTTGAAGAGTCTACATATGTTGTATTTGGTGAAACTAAATGATGCACCAAGAAAAGTTTGTTGTGATGATATTGTATATATAATAAAAATATTTTACAATAATATTACCTAATTAGACTACAATATCTAGTTAATGATCCAAGATTGAAATCCAACTAAAGACTCACATCTAGTCTAAATTTCTAATCAAAAGTAAAGATGTCAGCAAGTAGAGTACCTGTTATGTTTAAGACATCTTAACCGGAACCCTATTTTTTGATAAGATATCTAACTTTTATAAATATCTTATAAATTTTTGAATTGGTATCTGAATATTTTAGACATTATCTATTAAATACTCATACTCATTAAATACTTGATTCAAATGAATTTAAAATTAATTTATATATATTATTAATGAAATTAATTTAATAAATTAATATTAGTTCATAAAATTAAAATTTGAAATCATATTTAGAATAATTAATAGATTTTAGTAAATATTACATTAATTATAAGAACTTATAATTTATAAACAAAAAAATAATTAAAATTTAATATTAAAAATCATTATTTATAATCGAGTTTTGATAGTGAATACCCTAACTACTATCTGGATTTGATTATAAAGTATTCTACTTTTAATCAAGTCAAATAATTTAAGATACCCAATCACAAGATATCCATTGACATCCCTAAATTTGAAATCCAATTTGGAGTTTTGATTTTCTAACCATAAGTTCAAGATTCAATTTGGATTGTTGACTTGAAGTGTTAAACCCAGTAGACAAGAAATTTTGAATAGAAAGTTCAGTTTAATTTCAACCCATGCCAATAACGAAATTTGAACCCAAGTACAAACGAACTCATTTACTAAAATCCAGGCTATCACATGAATCGTAGTAATATAAAAATCTATTAATTTATATGAAAAATTATCTTTAAAAGCATTAGGGTGTATATATATATATATATATATAAAATACAATGTTATATAAAAGTATAATAATGTTAAAACTATTACAGTGCTGAAGTATTATGTAATGTAATATGCAAGGTAAAGGTATTAGTAAATATATTGTTAATTTGTTGTCACGTATATTTACTTAGATAATTTTAAATAAATAAAATTCAAATTAATAGGGCCTACAAACGCAATGGAAACTTCAATTTCCTATTATTTACATTGAGCCATCAATTTATTGCATCCAAACATATGAAGCCCAACACAAAAGGTCCAAAATAAAATACAAAATTGAACAACAATAAAAAATTCAAATAAAGAACAAAAAGGATAAGGTGTGTGTGAATTGGCACCAAAGTCAACGAGGGGGCAGCTTTGAACCGCGCTATACTGAGACAGAGGAGAGAGAAATGGGTGGAAGGAAATTTTTGGGGATTTTTAGGTTTAAATGAAAGGGTCAAACGGCGGCGTTTGGGAGGGTGGAAGAAGAAAAATAGAAGTCGGCCGGTTCTAACCAAGCCCAGTCCAGGTTCATTCAGACCAATCCGCTTAGTCAAGTCCAATGGCTTTCAAGCCATTAGTCAATAAGAAGTGACTTTGAGGTATAATTTTCAATTTCTTTGTTTTATTGTTACTATTTATTTATTTGTGTTGCCAATAAAAAATTGAGAAAATTATTTAGTTTTTATAGGAATAAATTAACCAACCATCATAGGGGATATAACAAATGCTCAAAATGGTCTCAATAATGCATTTCAAGGAAATTTGTAGTGACATTTTCTTTCAATAAATTTTTGAGGTGAAAAATATTTTAATGGACTCCACGAAAGTCTTCGGAGTGTTTCAAAAAAATAAAAATAATTATTCCAACATGTGAATGAAATTCAAATAATCATAAGAATGCAGAATAGATAAAATAATAAGAAAACAATTCAAAGAGAAAAATAATTGAGAATAATAAAGTTAAAGCAAATAAATTTACTCTTAAATAGCATCCGAGTGTTTGGTTTAGTAATTAATGCATGATCCCTTTACTTAAAGAGTAGAGTTCGAATCCTCCATTCCCTAAACTCTTAAATAATTTGAAAATTGAATCATTCTTTATTTCGTCACATACATTTGAATATATATTAATTGTGCAAGTAAATGAACATATGAGCAATGGTGGGATTTCTCAAGGAAATTATGTTGACAACTTTCTTGAAAAATTCCGGAAGAAATATTTTGAAAATTTCATCAAAATGTAGGGAGAATATAAAAAATTTCCAATATAAAGGGAGAAGTAAAAGGATAATAAAATAATAAGAGGATTGGATAGTATAAAAAGAAGGATAAAGGACATAATAATAATAATAATAATAATAATAATAATAATAATAATAATAATAATAAGAACCATTTTCTTTAAATATTGAATCAATCCAAAAACAAAGTCTAAAACTTAAGTGATTTTCTTGAATACTGTTGAAGTGAGGGGAACTTTCCTAGATCTCACGAAATTATTGGGAAGGTTTGAAAATTTTCCTCGATTTTTAAAAATTGAAATAATTAAAAATTAAAGTTATAAGATAATTATTAAGGGGAAACAAAATTGAATACAAGAGATTTAGGACCATTATATTAAGGTTAAAAGATTAATATATATATATATGATTAATTGTTATCTTTTTTTGAGTGAACCCGGTAGACCAAAACCTATTTTTATAATGAGTCTTAAGTCAAACTTAAGACTCATTATTTTGATAACCAATCACATCTAAACAAAAATAAATTAATGATAACTCTCTACATGTTAAGCGGTTGAGTCCTGAACCCTGCATGTTGTGACATAGATCCAAGCACATTTTTGTTATTTTAGATGTCATGTCCAACCAAACAACAACTCCATAAGTTTCCCCCGTTCCATGGGCCTGAAGCACGTGTTTATCCTTGTAATCAAGGTAAAGAAGCATTCCAGTCATACGTTACTTTGTTAAGTTGAAAGATTGAAATTGAAACTAAGCTACTCCTTTCAAGGACATATATATGTGGCTACAACCTCAATTTAGTCTTTGTGGAAGTTCCGACGCTACAACAGTAAATGTCTGTTCCAGCAGTAAAATTCCTATTTGTCGGATTAGCCCAATATTATTCTCATTAGCTTTTACACTTGTCAACTGCAATCCTTTTCAGCAGTAGGTTGTCGTAACGGTAACGTGTCTAGTAATAATATATCCAGCCATAGATTCTCAACATTAACATTACCCAGGGTTGGAACGTTATAGGGATAAATTTTTTGGACTTATCATAGACATTTCTTGGACATGTTGGTCATCCATAATTATGATTAGTCATTCAAGTGTCGCAAAGAATTAATTTCAAAGTAAATGAGGGAGAAAGCACCTTCACACGTTGAGTTCAGGTCCTTCTTGTGTTTGCCAGCATCTCGTGGTGGTTTGCATCTCGGTAGCTCAGATACTTTTGTTGCCAACGGCGGCTAGCAAGAAAAGGGCAAATGTTGTCACTTTCTGCCTGGATGCCCAATTTTGAATGCATCAAAGGATTGAGGTGGGTGAGGTTTGATCATGTTGCCCGTAAAGATATGTAAGATGACTCGGAGGAGAGAATAGAGGCATCACTGACTGTGAGCCATTCGACAATAACCTGCACAATATCATAGTGATTGAGGATAGAACTAAGCAGCTCTGCCAAAAAGTGGCAATTGCCTCATCGTTTATGTAACATGGTCAATGCGATGTCAGTATTAGTGAGCACAATCATCGTAATGTCAACATTTGATGGAAGATTTCTATAAGTGATAACAATTGTATAAAAAATTAACAATTATTATATTATAAGAATTTAAATTTATATAAATAATAGAAAAGAGACTACATTCAATGATTATAATCTAGAAATTAAATTTAGAATTTAACCCTTCAATTTTGATAAACTTAGAATAAAAAGAAGTTGGAAATAGCTATTTTGAGACGTGGACTTTGATTAATCAGAGAGAATAGTTATCCCCTCCAATATCCATTCTATGGACGGTGGCCGAATGACGGATCCAAATGGAATAAGGACGAAATGAGAAGTTCAATATCCGTCCAACCAAACGCAGCGCGTTTCTCATTCCATATCCAGGCAGCAAGCATGAAAGCATTTTACAGGGTCATTAATTAAAGGTTCACGTAGCTTGCACTTTTGTTGTCAGCAAAAAGAAAGGGGGAATTGAAAAGAAATAGCTTTGAAAAAAGAAACTACATCCTTTTCTTTCTCACCCGTTTTCTCTCTTAGTCTTTTTACTGTTATTATTTTCTCTCTCCTTAATCCTGTCTAATAAATAATATGCCAATCATAAAGCAATCGATTACAAAATCATTTAATCACCTCTGACATCAATACTTTTCTTTTCTAGTTCAGCCAAAAGAGTCCCATACCCTTCTGCCCCTTCCTCTGGCATTTATTACTCTTATTTGAAGGCATGGGCCATCTCTCTTATCTCTCTCTCGCTCTCTCTCTCTCTCTGCCATAAAGCGTCAAATGATGTCTTTTGACTTTTCTTTACCATTTAGCTGAGTCGATTTTTGAATGAGCGTCTTGCATTCTTCACCGGTGACCCCACAATGACAACTTAATATATCGAAGTCTACTTGGTTACCTTAACGGGAAAGATGCTTGTCGACGCTTCTATCTCAGGTTTTTAGTCGATTTCTAGGCCCGTGTAACTTGACTGGGTCTTTCCCTTTTGGTGTTACCGTCGGTGTGAGCTAGATGCTTGTGGTTCATCCCGGTAAGTCTCCTAATTCAACCAAAACTCTTCGCGACAGTTGCAAACCTCTTCTGCCAGGGGACTCCTACCCATTGGTTTGGGTATTTTTTGGTGTTAACACTATCCCTCCAACTCTTTATCGTCTCATCAAGCTAAGCCTAAACAATAAAAGAACCAAATAATTGGTTTCTTTCTCTTTCTATTGCATTCAAGGGAATATGCCAATTTGAAAATCATTGGCGGTTAAAAAAACAATATCGAACCCAGTGAAGAGCTTGATGAAGTGACCAATTTTTTTTTTTTAAGCAAAGACCAATAATACTATGTCGGGCTTATTTGATAATTGCTTGTGTTTCCAGTCCAGGAGATGTTAAGTTGTTCAATGAAAGGACTGAAGCGAGTTTTGTATCTTATAATTTGTTGATTGTAGGTTTTCAGATGTGAGATCAGCTTTGAGTTGGCCAAAGCATTTAGGAGGATGCAAGCAGAAGGAACTTCACTATAACGTTTTATAGTGGCAAGAAGGATGCGCCGCCAGATTGTATGATTGAGCCAATTGCTTATGACTTATGGACTAAGTGAGCATTTGACTTCATAAAATACGATGTCGAACGGCTTTTGCAATATGCAATCACTGGACGCACAGAAAATCCTGTCAAGTTATTCGATGAGATGGTTGAATCTGGCATCAAGCAAAATGGGGTAATATTTGTCTCGTTGTAGATTTGTGGTCAATCCAGGGTTCTAGTAGGGACGGATATAGGGGTTTTTTATCAAGTCTAGAGGATTGTGCTTGCCTGCTAGATATCTTAGGTGGAGCAGAAGGTCGAGGTGGCAATGGATTTAGTTTGTGAACAACATGTCCGTGAAGATGTGTGGCAGCGCATAATATATTGCTTAACTCTTGTTTGAGCTCGAGCCATACGGTCCTGGGAACTATTTCATGTTGTCTTCTGTTTAACCCAAATGCAGGGATGTGTGAGGCAATTTAAATATAGGGTAGGAAGGTGATACAGTTCAGATGAAATCAAAGAAAGGCTGGTTGCAGCTTGATGCAAGTACGGACAGAATTCACAATTTTGAGGTGAAGGTTTTTTAATTTTGTAATTCTGTGGAGCAAAGCAAATTTTGGAGTGAACAGATGGAAGATACGGAAGAATGGAAATGTAGCTGAAATTAACGGCATTGTGCTTTATATGTACATCAAGAAGGGCAATGAGGTGGGTCTGTGAATGAGCAGATATCAACTATATTTCAACTCATTTAGATTGCTGGTGGATAAAAATTGTTTCAAGAGTAACAAGGAGAGTGATTATGTTTAGCTGGTACATAGTAGTCCCATCGTTTCAAACATTGTGAGTGCCCATACAAGAAGTACGGGTAAAGCATGCAAACATGCTTTATCCTTAATTTCTTCTTAAATGGATAGTATATGGTTGTGGTCCTAAGTCAATCATAAATGAATGCTGAGAAAATTTAATAACAGTGTTGAAAAAAAAAACGTAAGGGAATCCATGGAAACAGAGGGAAGAGAATTAGAGAAAATTTTATAGAATGAAGACTCTTTAAAACACTAGAGTGGCCGCCTTTAATTGCTCTGAATAAACAGCTTCTGCCAGGAAAGTCAAAAAAAGTATCAAAGAGAAGACACTGTCGCAAGTTCTAGTTAATCTTCAAACATTTTTAACGCAGACTCCAATATGCAAATCAAAATCTCCATTACAAAAACAAAATGATAATTTCTACTGTACCATTGTAACATACAAGCTAGATTAAATAAAAAATTTACACCTAGAAGTTTCTACTGTGTGACAACTTTTGGCATCTACTCACCATTCTGTACATAGGTAATCAAGGAGCAGTTAGTATTGAATAAATGAAGACAATTTAATTCTTGGAAAAGAATACAATTTTGAATTTGAAGTAAGCTTTCAGCATTTAACGGTGGCGGAGATTATATTTTCTTGTGTTCGAAGAGGTTGTGATTAAATTCTCTACTACTTTTTCTTGAATTATATAGTCAGGATCTTCAAGTTTGTCTACATCCTCTGGTAACTCAGCATCTATCCAAGAAGACCAATCCTCATCATCACTATCCGTTTCCCATGACAACGCTTTGTTGCTTTGAATGTTATTAACTTTCTCCATTAATGTTAATAACATCTGATGGTTCAAAAATTCATAGTCCCTGCATATTTTATTACAAGGAATTAATTCAGTCACGCAATTTATAAATCTGTCTTTGCACAAATGTAAGTCTTATTGTGCATACCTGTATGTGAAAATGGCATGTAGAAGCTGAATAGAAGCAATAATCACAAATAGTGACCTAACCACATTTACCATCCACGTTTTCTGTTCAATATCATTAGTTGTGAAGCGAAGAATGGCGACTTCTACCAAGAATGTTGCACATAGTCCTGCCAACAACAAGAAATTGTACATTACAATGGAATTAAAGCTCTTGAATCTAATACCCAATATAAAGAAGATAAAAGAAATAACGAACAAAAAAGAAAGAGATACAAGTAAAGCAAAGCATGTTTGCATACCAATATATAGCCTGGGTCTCACAGTATAAGTTTGTTTTGTGCTAGTGAACATGTAGATAATAAAGATCGATAGAGAGTAGACTAAGAATGTTTTTATTAATCTTGATTCAAACAGCATGGCATTGTGCAGGGCATGTAGCTTATCTAGAGCCATGAACATGCTTGCTTGCTTTGATGCGAAAGCCTCCTGTAAAATGGGAAACCAATCAGAATGCTATTCCATACAAGAACATTCCGAAGGATATTAGCAATGCTAAACCTGAGCTGCCAACATTGACTTGGAACTTTCAACCAAGTGATCGTGGACTTGTTGAAACCGTTCTTGACGTTCAAGGAGCTCTTCCCGTTGTTTTTGTCCATATTCAGCTAACTGCTGCAGAGCATTCCTATGATTCAGAAACAAGAAAAAGAAAAATTATTGAAACTCTTCAGTTTGATATGTTCTCGTAAATTTTTTTTTTCCTGTTTTACCTGCTCTCTTCTAGTGCTTCAGATTGAAATCTAGTCAGAGATCGAAGACCCTCTAGTGCTGTTGACTGCCCCTCTAGAACTTGTTGTTGCTTATCTAGAGAAATCCCTGCCATATTTCCAATGTCGTCTGCTGTTCTTTGCAGATTGTTTATGCTTGAAGACATTGCATTTCCAACTCTGCTTATCTCATTCTCTATTGAAATAGCTTCATTTCTCAAGTTATCTACTTCATGCACCAAATTTTTGTTAGCACCATCAAGCATTGCTAATCCTTCCTTGAGTTGATCATTCATCATTGCCTGACCATTTCGCAGCTCTTTTTGCGAAGCTGCAATATCTACAGCTTGCTTGTAAACTGTCTGCGAGTGCCCAATTAAACCGTGCATATGACCTTCTAAACTTTGAGTTGTTTGATACATTATAATTCGAATATCAACTGCATTCAGTGAATCATGAATCTGATTAGAACTCTGCAACAGAACATTTGTTCTTTCTTCTATAGATCTAGTTTGTTTTCTGCATGTTGGGCGTGATTTATCAGTTCATTAACTAGTCTTTCGGTGTCACGCTTAAGCCTGGTTCCTGATAACACCAAAAACCAAATTCTGGTCAGCATAAAAAAGGGAAAAAAAACGCAAGCAAAAGTAAAACTGAAATTAATTTGGCTGATAAGAGACAAAAGCTTAACTGTAACTGATAGCAGATGGAGTTAGTCTCAAGCAAGAATTCGAGATAAACCTTGTGTTCCAAGTCGTTTAAATTTTTTAGGCAATAAACCATAGCAGATTTTGTGTCACAAAACGGAAAAGGGGCCTTCCAGAATCTCTTTGAAAGCAGTCCACTTAGATGCCATGCAAATCTTGAACGCTTCTCATCTGTAGCAATGATCTCTTTGCACCCAGCAAAGAGATGTCTATAAGCATTCTTCCAGCAAGAATTTGACCCAACCAACTTATTCTTAGCATCTTCGAGCAGCCTGATTCCCTTCTCATCGTTTAGACCATCCACCGAGAATTCAGCCACTGACGCATGGCGAATCGCCTTTTTATTAGAATGAGTTTCTGCAGAAGAAGAGAACCAACCCCATGACTGGCATCTTGGTGAAACACAGAGTAATACCAACAGAAACAGAAAAAAATGATGATAAATCATTGAAGCCTTCATTGACTCAAAACCCAGAACCTGCACTCAACAGTTCAAACACAGAAAATTAATGTTCACCACCGCAAAATCCCATAAAAAACAAAGAAAAAATTTGATCCGCTCTCTTTATTTGCAGTAACAGAGTCCAGTAACGCTTTATACATTAGACTAGACTAACCAGTCTTGGAGTCCAAGAAAAGCGAGTCCGAGGATTTCAATTGTTTCTTATTTTATATACTTTAGTAATATCAAAATTATTTCTAAATATGAATCCGATTTTGTCACGGAAAAGTAGCATCAAAGGACTAGTGTTCATTACCGAAAAGTTTCCATTATGTCAATATCAGTGTCTTTGACAATTAGATTAAACAGAATAAAAGAAGCAACAGAAGATGAAAAGGACAAGGCAAATTTACATCCCAACATATTCAACCGGATGGACTTGCAGACAGTTTAAAACTTGCAATCACAACATCACATAGACAACATTATATTACCATAAAATGACAAAAAAGAAGACATCACAGAAAATCAATTAGAAAAACATTTAATCATCTATTAGTCACAAATCCTTAAAGAAAGTTTTAGTACGTTAATGAAACTGGAAACCAAATGTGTAAGAGAGAAGACAACCTTGGCTTGAGAAAGTTGAGGGAAAAATGAAGAAACAGAGCAGAGCAAAGGATTGAAAAGGAAACGTCCGACTATGAAACGATGCGTTTCTCCGTAAAAGGCCGCGAAATCTGAATAAGAAACGATGCGTTTCTCCGTGAAATGGCGCGTAAGATTTTTTTCTTTTTATTACAAAGATTAAAATATCTAATCACTGCTTCCCCTTTTGTTTTCCGTTTTACCATTTCGTCGGTCGCAATCGCCCTGATTTGACCGTTTCGGCTCATCGCCGTTAGTAGGCCTCAATAGTATAGAAGCCTATTGCGGTGGAGTTGTCCAATCGCTTCGGGCTGGGTTGGAGGATAGTTTTGAAGCATAACATGGTCCACACATTTGGTTCTGCAGTTTTTGGATTTTCACTACACTTCACCCAATTCATTAACATTCTTGTGTCCTACTTCTTGGGCTCAAGTTTTGGATCCATATCCATGTGTCTATTAATTTACATATTTTCCTCTGAATACCTTTTCTTAGTTAGAACATTTTGGCTCAGCTTTCTGAATTGGATTCTTTAGGATCTAGTTGATTGTACTTCCTTCGGTAATAAAAGGAATTGGAAGGGCAAGTACGCTTAACGGAAAAGAATCCTTTGCGAATGCAAAGTACTTGGTGTGTAAGCATATGTCGTTAAGTGGAGATAAATAACTAGACCTAGATGTCTAACTTGTAGGGCATAAAATTGCAGGAGCAGGACAAAAAGAATGCAACTTAAATAACAATCATGACATCCTCAGGTATGCAAAGAACCCTAGCTTGAAGCTAATACACATCCAAGATCCAAGAGGTCGAAATGGTTTAGGCCATCAAGTAATACTACTGAAAAGAAAAGGAGTATCATCTCATAGCTTAACATCCAATTTTACTAGCCCAAGAGATTTTCGTAAGCCAAGGAGGCATTTACCTCTTTATGGTTGGATACAGCTTGGCTTTGTAATTAAGCAAGCAAAGGCTAGCAGTATAAGAGGTCTTGAACTCTAATCTTCCACTTAATGAAGGCTCACAACAAATGACTCATATGAAGAGCTGTCGTTATTGTGCTTCCCAAGTACCAGTAGTGGATGCTAACCGCTGCCAAGGTGTGCATACTCTTGATTAATTCACCAAGTTCAGATCTATCTCGCTGGACTTCAAGTGACCACCATATATACCCCTGTAATTTGTATCTGGACGGGGCACGATTAACAATCCAAACATACATGGATGCCAACCATGCAGAATCAAAGCTCAAAAGAGCTAACAGATACCAAAACCAGTGAACCCGGCTAAATGATGATGATAATTTTACTAAGTATCCCATATGTTCAAGTAAAGTCCTAAATTTTATCAGGCAAAGAAAAGCTCCTGCACAGTGGCCTGGAAAATTTAAGAACATAATAATGGAAGAAACTATTAATTATGTTGACAAAAGAAAAACTAAGCAGTGGTCAAATCATGATATGTAGGGCAGGAAAACATTCAGGTTCACAATGGGGCTGTAGCTTGTTGCTTGCTTAAACAGGCCTCTCATCTTATTAGACACCTGAAACAAATGCAGTATCATCTAGGGATTCCACAACAGATACAATTAAGAAGGGTAACCTAATCGTGGAGCAGCAGTGAATATTCATATCATTTTGTGGACAGAAGTTGTCAAAAAGCACACAATGTGATTATTTTGATATATCTGTTCTCTCACATATTAACCACACTTTTGGACTTTATAATATTCTTAAAAACGAAAAGCAAAACTGATTCTTAGCCACACATCTTAATTTTGTATTTACATTCCAGTAATTAGCCTCACAATTTGATATAAGACACCTCCCAATTTCAATGAAGGTTACAGATGCATCAGACTATGAACTATGAAGAAGGATCGAAGCCAGACAAAATTGAATAATAAAATTTGCATATGATCATCACCACTAATCAAGCAATTGAATATCACAAGTGTTCAACTACCTTATCCATAAAAATAAAAATGTTCAACTATCCTGCTCATATTGTTAAGCAAAAGGAATTCCAATTGTGCCAAAACACTTCAATACAGGCAGCCATCAATACCATTTTCAAACTAAAACTGCAATAACTAATAAGATTCAGATAGAACAAGATAACACACAAACTGATCTCAATTCCTTTATGTAAACTCAATCATCACTTCCTCAATAATAACATTACAAAAGAATGAATTACAATGCTTTCATTAGTCCACTAAATGGAAAACACTAAAAGTTTTACCTCACACATGTGCACCTAGACCATTGACACCCAATTCCACAATAGCTGCCTTTTCTTTCCCCAAATCATCTTCTTCTTTAATCTCATCATCGAGATCATCATCAGAATCCAACGTGAAATTCCCCACATTATTATCCATCTGCTGCATTTCAGCCCCTAATGGCCTATACCGCAAACCATTCTCTGAAACACCAACACCATTCCTTTTACCCATAATTGACAACATCCCAACAACCAAAACCACAACCATAGCAAGATGGCAATTAAATTGCAACGTTGCAATAGCTCTCCCTCTATGATACTCAGGGTGACCTTTGCACTTAATAGTATAATTCCCTCTACTTTTTTCATGTAAACTACATCCATCAACGATCAAATTAGTGTAAAATGAAAGCCCCATTTGCACAAACCATGTTCCTTGTAAAATCAATCCAATGCCTCGTCCCAGTTTCGAGTAAATCGAACTTTTCGACCTCAACTCTAGCATTGTAGAAACCACACAAATTGCTATGGGAACACATAAAAGATCAAAATATCTATTCTCAATCCCACTTGTATCCTTCCTTTGCAAGTAATACAACAAAAATTCTTCAACAAAAGCTAAAAGAAGAACTAAATCAAGAACAGAATCAGGCCATAAATATGAACTTTGCTTATTATTTGAAAGACCCAAAGCAGAGTAAAGCAAGAAAAGCAGAGCAATCGCGAGTACTTGTAATTGGAGCATCGACCCCACCCGGTCCTTTGAACTGAAAGCATCAAAGATTGAAACCAGAGAATTAAAGAAGATCAATAGGGAAAAGACTGATACAAAGATGAAGGATGATGACGAGGAAAATGGACATTCTTTAGTTTTTGAAACAGAGTTAGATTTGATCTGGGTCGAAAGTGAAGAAGATGAAGTTGGATTCGGGATTCGGATCAGGTTTAAAGAGGTTATGGATTCCCACGACCCAATCAGGATGAAACCAACGCCGGTAATGGCGTAGGTGAAAAATCCCATCTTCTTTTTTTCTTGTAGAAAAAGCTGAATTCTCTTTTTTAGGGGTTTATTTCTTTGAATTTGTGAAAGTTTTTTCCTATTTTGCTTTGCTTTGCTTTCAAGAATTTTAAGATGCTTGATGTGGGGTTTTGTTTTCCTGGGAAAATCAGATTCTGAAACAATGTTGAAGTCAAACACTCCTTTGTTGATGGTTGTTTGATGTCTGATTTCTTGTACTTTGACTTTACTGTTTGGTTTTTGATTCAAGAATGTCGCTTCTTGGAAACTTCCCTATATTATGGATATGTTCTGACCCGGGAAACTCAACCCATTTCTCATGCTTAAACAAAGCCCAACTGTTATTGGATTAGGTTGATAGTGTTTTAATTGGGCCCTTTGCCTTTCTTTTGGGCTACTAATTATAGAAATTAATTAAGATATTAATAATTAGAAATTAAAAGTAATTATGTGAATTTTAAATCAAATATAAATTTATAAAAGATAAATGTATTGTATAAATCATGGATATAGGATACTTAGTGAATTTGTCATCATGATTTAGCCTGCTTAAAATTACAGTAATTGGTAGGTGTAATTTTAAGCAAGATAAAGGTAATGGCTGCTTCTGATTTTGCCCCTAGCTACCTTAATGGAATAAATGACAGCATCCGTGAGATTGAACATATTGTCAAGATTTTAAGGCAAATAATAATAAAAGCAAATATATAGTATAACTGACACAACAAAAAAGTAGAAAGACTAATTAAGAATATTAGTTTATATTATATTAGATTTCACAAAATTACTTTTTATTTCTAATTACCTTTATCTTGCTTAAAATCACACCTATAATTTATAAAGGAATCATTTTCCTTTGGATGTTAAAATTTTCCGTTTAATTCATCATTGTCAAATGATTTATTATTGTTTTGAAATTTAATAAATATAATCTCAAATGTTAAATGTTGTTTCGTGCATTGCATAGGTTTAAAACTAATACATAAGATAATGGCAACACCATAGACATTTTGTAAATGGGAAAAAGAAAGAAGAAAAGTAGAGTTTAGAGAAGAGTATCAAACTTGTAAAAAGGAGATGAAGTAAGTGTATAGGACAAAGAAAAGCGATCTCCATCTACAAGTAAGGGAGTGATGATGATGATGATGATGGTGATTCATTCTTGAAGGCCTGTCTTTAAACTTTCCTCTCGCGTGCTGTCTATGATTGTAACCAGAAAATAAGATCAACATGCAGGACGTACAAGGAAGAAGCTGGGTGACTGGATGATCCATGTGAGCCAATAAGGATCGAAAAGCCAAAGTGTTAACCCATACTGCTGGGACCCTGGATTTCAGCTCAAGTTATTCTTCATAATTTCAACTGCCAAATCTGCTACAACCCTATACACCATCCACAAGCATATATAAGCATTATTTTCTTATACATTAATGAGGAATTATGATTACTTCACACATATGTTTAATGCCATTTAATTATAATTAAATACATAAGAATTGGAGCATACATCGATTTCTCAGTTGTCAACTTCCAGTGTATTCCAGATTAGCCCAAAAAGGGTGCTGATCCCGCTAGTGACATTGATCTTTGAAGTTTGTACATCTTTGTCAAAGTTGGTGACATAAATTCTATGTACAACCCCAAGAAGCATAAGTTTTTTTCCCTATCATGTACATGACAGCACAGGATTAAAGACCCATGTTTAAACAGTTCAGTGGCGTATCTTCTTCTAGTTGAAAACTTGAAAGCTGACACAACCAAGACGATAAATTTGTTGCCTTTGCCCAATTGCCAATTCACTTGTCTTCCAACTCCAAAACTTTGTGTATAAATACAGATACCGTCCAGTTTCTCTTCGTTAGGAAAGAGTCGTATAGAAGCAAAAAAAAAAAAAAAATGAAAACCAAGGGCCTTTACGGTTTTTGCACTTTCCTTTTAGTCTTGTTTTTTCAGGGTTTTCAAGATTGTGTTCAGGGAAGGTTGTTAGCAGCATCAAAACCTGACAGAGATGCTGCTGCTGCCTATGCTCGTTGGCTGGTGTCCCAGAATACTTGGGGGATTTTAAAGTAATACTATTTTCTCTCTCACTTCTGCTACTTTTCAATTGTTACAATTTGTTGGTCTGATTCTTGTTTTGATATTGTAATTTGGGTTCTGTGTGTCTTTGGTTAGATGATCCGATTGATTGATATTGTTAAATTTTGATCCGCAATTATAAAAAAATGAAGCTTTGACTTTCTTTTCGCTAAAAGATTTGATTACATGCTTGAAATGGAGAGGAAAAATATGCCAAATTTGCTGCAAACGGAAACTTTACTGTTGATTTATTTTTTTGATATTGGAGCCTGTTCTAATAATTTCTGCTGTCTTGTATGTTGCGTAGATCATATTTGTTACTTGGTAAAGCTCATAAATCATTTGAGTTGGAGGTTTGGCTTATTCGTCATTTTAATTTTGCAGTACGCTATCAAGAGAGTTGGAAGGAGCACCCTTTGGGTAAGTATTTCTCACATCTGTCTATAGTTAATGAAATGAGGATCTTTCTCAAGGTTAAGCTCAATAAAGTTTGTTCCTTTGTTTGGTAATACTCATTTCTTTTGGCTTATACGTGTATTTTCACCTTTCTTTATAAGCCAAAGTTAGATGTTTTCTAGAATTATGAGTGAATGGTATTGGGATCTTTTGGTGTTAATTATTTTGGATTCTGTACAAGATTAGCAGTACTAATTACAGAGAGAGAAAGTATCTCACCTAATCTTACTCTTATTTTGAATCTCTGGTTTTATTGGTAAGAATTAGATTTTGACGAGATCTGATTATTCCTTTTAGAATTTTAGGAGCTTATATACAATTATCAACGTGCAGTCATTCAGAAAGCATAAGAATGCTTAAACTCTCTACATTCATATATAGTTGTATCTTGTGTATCTATATTATCTTTACATATTCTTCTGAGATGCATATTTGCAATGTCATGACTCGCAAGATATTAGGCTTTCCTAAACCTTTCGTATTGAAATCTAGTTGTTTGAAATGTCATGATACTCTCTCATGTCCTGTATTTTTCCCCACTCAACCAGAAAGTTAATTTGTGCTGCAGGAATGTTGTTTCATTTAGTGATGGGATACCTGACAAAGGTACTGGCATCCCATATTTCTATTTGACAACCCTTGATCCAACAGCAAGAAATGCATTAAAAGACAGGAGGTCCTCACTCACAATCAGCGAGTATCCACTTGGAACTTGTGGCAAAGCAGACCCAGAGAGCCCTGTTTGTGCAAAAATTACACTCACAGGATCAGTATGTTTCTAAATTCAGTACTTATCTTCTTAGAGCTTATTGCTTTTTCATTATTCTATAGTCACCATTGGGAAAATATTATTGTGTTACATATAGTGTGTTTAGCAACTCCTGGTTCTTATAGTATTTGGTTTTGGCTCACTTGTGTCGTTTATAAAGATTAAGTTGTATATGAACTTATGCTGTTTTTAATTACCATAACCATTGGAATGAAAAAGAGAAAAGAAAAGAAGAATAAAATAACTTTTTTAATGATTTTAAACTCAATTGGATTATGCCTTGTGGTGTTTTAGTTGGTACTACTTGATGCAAACTCTAGTGAGGTGGAATTTGCTCGAACTGCCCTGTTCACAAAGCATCCAGAGATGAAGGGTAATTTGTTAGCCCAAATAATTGTCATTCGCTTGGTTTCCCTTTTTATGCTAGTGACCAAGGTTGTGATGATTGGTGTACAGGGTGGCCTAAGAGTCATAACTTTCAGATCTTCAAATTGGAGATCAAGGACATATTTATGATCAACTGGTTTGGTGGCCCTAAACCTCTTACAGTGGACCAGTACCTCAACTACAAAATGTGAGTATCAAAGCAGTATACCATGTTTGCTCTTGCAATTGTATGTTAAAAATTCCCGACAAGTATAAGCTTTGTACTGTCAACCATTTGTCATAATGAATAAGTCTTACTTTACAACGCAATTTCATATTTATTGTCTGCTAATTAATTTTTCCTGCCGTGCATGTGGGTTTTTGCCATCCACAGGAACAAATTTGCTGTCAGTCTGTGAAAAGTGAAAATCCAACCAATCTCCATTCTTTACACAGTTATATCTGTACGTAAATGTAAAACTGTGTATAATGAAAAATATCTTGTAAATAAATGTAACACAGTTGTGCTTATTGTTTATGGTTCACACTATTGCATTCTGAAACAATCAGAAGCAATTAAATGGTTAATATAAGAATTTTTTCAATGCCTTGCTCTCTATTTCATCATAATCTGAAATGCATGAAGCTGTATGCTCTTTAGAATTAATACCATGCAGTTGATTTATGTGACTACCTTAAATCATTGCTATCATAGAAACTGTTGATAATTTATCTTTTAGGGATTGATGGTAAGTTTCAGTGATGCCTGATATGCAGGCAGCAAAAAGAACAGTACATGATAGTTTTCCAAAGCGCAAGTTCCTTTCGCATGATCACATCAGACAGCTTATCATTATTCTACTAAATTTCTTAGTTAATCTCTGATGCATTTTCACGGATTTGTTCTTTGCACTTCTAGCAACTTGCTTTGTGTGAATTTGAAAGTTAATAGCTTTCTAGTTCAAATCTAAATATGCGCACTGGAATCCACTCTCTTTAATCCTACTATAAGAAACAGCAGGTGCTTCTTATCTTCTAGTGACTGAGCTCTGCATTCTGGGCAGAAGTATCTTCTGCTTGTGCTTGACTTTGGCAGCAACCAATTTCTCATCAGATTTGCAGTTGAGGATATTTGATTCCAGATGTGGAACAGTTTGATAATAGACATATGCAAAACTAAAACATTTTGTTAGCAGAAGAAGGAAAGGAAAGGAAAGGAAAGGACATAGGAATAATAACCAAAATCGTACAAAGGTATCTAAATCTGCCTTGCAATAAGCCTGGGGAATAGGTTCCATGATACAGGTAGTTTATATCAGAATCATAGAGAGAAAAAGCTAGCGCATAAGGTGAATGCTCTCTAATTGCCTATTAATAGAAGCAAGAACAATCCAATGATCATCCAAACTCATTCACCAATTCAATTCCGGCATACCAAACACACTGAAACCTGTTAAACACCGCTGTAATAATCATATACCTAAACAGCGTCCGCGTAGAAACTAATGAAACGTGCCATCATTCAAAACGGAGGGAAACGAAAAACCAAAGATAGAAGGGAAAAAACAGGCCCCTGATATGCAAAAATCTATTAGGATGCTAACCCCGTAAAATCACATTAAAAAAAGTCAGTATGCCAGTCATTAATGAAATATTCGTTTTTGTTCCCTTCGTTACATTGGAGTGGCAACGAACTGAAAGAGCCATAGCTTAACGAGAAGAAAATGGCGCCAAAAAGGACAATGAAAGACAATCACGCAGGACTCACGTGACATGACACATATATAAAGACAACTAGATAAAATCCTGTCCGTTCAAACAGTTCTAGTTAACGTTAGCCATTCTGAGTAGAACTCAAGCAACTCACTCTTCTTTAAACGCCTTGGGGAAAAAAAAGAAGAAGAGCTAAGCTACTCGTTTCTTTCGCTCTCTGTTTTTCCTCTGTTTTTCTTTTACCCATGAAAACATGTTACTTCCTCTATACCAGCAGCCTTTTACTCTCCCACCGAAAACCCTGAGTCCGCACTCTTTACCCGCCAAAATCCTCGCCTCCCAATATCCTAAAACCCCCAAAAAACCCCGCAAAGAAATTTTCCTTATCCGGAGCTCCATACAGCGAACCGGAAATCAAACCCTTCCTCAATCCGCCATCCAACGTATTGCTGACAAGCTTCGGTCCCTTGGATTCTCCGAAACGCAAAACCCGGAACCTGAATCTGAACCTGGGTCCGGGTCTGATTCCCCTGGAGAAATCTTTGTCCCTTTACCGGAGAAAATACCCAAATACCGGGTTGGTCATACTATTGACACCAGTTGGAGCACACCGGAGAACCCGGTGCCGGACCCAGGCTCGGCTCCGGGGAGCTTGATGACGAGGTTTAGGGATATGAAGAGGGAGAGGAGGAAAGTGGGGAGGGTGAAGGATGAGGAGAGGGCGGTTCCAAGTTTGGCAGAGCTGAAGCTGTCGGCGGCGGAGCTGAGGCGGTTGAGGACTGTGGGGATTGGTGAGAAAAGGAAGTTAAAGCTTGGGAAAGCCGGAATTACGGAAGGGATTGTGAATGGGATTCATGAAAGGTGGAGAAGGAGTGAGGTGGTTAAGATTGTTTGTGAGGATATTTGTAAAATGAATATGAAGAGGACTCATGAGGTTTTGGAGGTTTGTTCATTGATTTGGTTGTTTTCTTTGCTTTTGGAGTTGTTCTTTTTGATTGCATTGTGGTTTTTATGTTATGTGAACGAATGCAATTATAACTGAGTCTAGTTTACAAAAGTGGAGGGGCATCCTTTCGCATCCCTCAAGTCATGAGACTTTTAAGTTGAAAGCTTCAAATTCTAACAGTTGAAGTGTTCCCTCGGGATGTTGGGTGATTTCTATTGGTATGGTTGGTTAACACACAGTGTGTATCTAACTTGATTAACTAAATTTAAGTATGATAGATGAAGAAATGAGATTGATTAAGATGGGAATGTGGTTGAAAAAGAAATTGCAAATGTTACATTCTGTTAGCAATGAGTGCAATTATGCAATGGAAGAGGAATGCTGTAGGTCAAAAACTTTTCATCGTTAATTGTGTTTCAATAATCTCTTCACTGTAATAAATCATGACACCGTGTTACTGTTTAACTTCCAGTCCAATTGTTAATTATGTCATGAACACTTTATCGGCACACATTTAGGAGGTTATATTTGGGTAAATGATTGGCAGACTCCTGATATAATAATATTAACTCATCAGAAAATCAACCTTAGCTTGTAATTATTCCTCAGTGTCCTGGAATAGGACCCTAATGTTGGATTTGTTGTAACATTCTCAGAGAAAGACTGGAGGGTTGGTTGTTTGGAGATCTGGAAGTAAAATAATATTGTATAGAGGAGCTAATTACAGATATCCTTATTTCCTGGCTGATAAAATCGCAACAGATGACACTTCTTCCAATGCTTCACCAGATACAAACATGGATAACGTGGAACTCCATGAAACAGAAAGCTGCTCATCTGAAATCAATAGTGCAAAAACTGCTATACCAAATGCAACCAACAAAATGACTAAACCAATAGTAGTTCAAGGTGTTGGTTCTCCAAGTAGAGTACGATTTCAACTGCCTGGTGAGGCAGAACTTGTTGAAGAAGCTGACCGCTTGTTAGATGGACTGGGTCCAAGGTTTACAGACTGGTGGGGTTATGAGCCTCTTCCAGTTGACGGTGATCTTCTACCTGCAATTATTCCTGGATACAGGAGACCTTTCCGCCTTCTTCCTTATGGTGTGAAGCCAATCCTGACAAATGATGAAATGACCACTTTGAGAAGGCTTGGCCGACCCTTACCCTGTCATTTTGTGTTAGGTGAGTTTGACTTCTAATTCATACGTATAATAATTCTAGTGTGCTTTCATTTGACTCATGTTTCCATTCATATCAGGAAGAAATAGAAAACTTCAGGGATTGGCTGCGTCAATTGTCAAGCTCTGGGAAAAATGTGAGATCACTAAAGTTGCCATTAAGAGAGGAGTACAGAACACTAATAGTGAATTGATGGCAGAGGAGTTAAAGGTTAGTGATAGCTTTTACATGTTACTCTTTTGTCTTTTCTTTGAGCACCCTTGAAATGCGATATTCCATTTGGATGCTTAAATTTGGATTCATAGATGGCAAGTGATAGGTATACAGAGTAATTGAAAAATATATTATTGTTCACTCTTGGTGATAGAAGAGATTGTTAAATTCTCTTTTTGTTCATTAAAGTTCAAGCACTTCTTTACTTTGAATATTCACATATATTTGGTCCTCCTCAAAAAGTCATCACACAACTGGTTTACTGCAGCATCTCAAAAAATGTTGCATCATTTGGTCAATGTGTTATTGGACGAAGTGGCTAGAGCATATGTTCTGATGAATTGCAATACCAATGAAAGCCTGGAACCATGCCAAACTCCTATAAAGATAAAAATTTCTAGGTTATTCTTCTTTCTCGTGATGTCCATGCTCTTTTAGATGGACCACTGAACTACATGCCGATTAGTGATTTGATCAATATATTCTTCTGGTTGAACACTTATTTTTTTAAAAAAAAATTTTCATGCCTCTATATGACCAGATCCTTAGACTTCAATTGCTTGAAGTGTTGGTTTCAACATATCTTAATTAATTCAGCTACACATAAGATTTTATATCAGATTAAAGTTTGTGCTGAGTCAAATCTTAACTGTAAGTCACTGTTCAGCTCCATCATGGAGGTTGCCCAGTGGTCTGCTTAAGCCTATTACATAACAGCACATTTAATCTAATGGGAGAATAAAAAATTTATGTTTTGAACCTATATGCTATAGTTAATTATTGAAATATGTTATAGTGTAGTAATTTTCTTCATGGCGATCTATTAATCAAAAGTACTTTGTTTCAGTGGCTGACTGGAGGCACTTTGCTCGCACGTGATAAGGACTTCATTGTCTTATATAGGGGAAAGGATTTCCTACCTTCTGCTGTTTCTTCTGCAATAGAAGAGCGGAGAAGGCATGTAATTCATGTGGAGAAACAGGGTGCAGAATGTAGTAAATCAAAGAAAACTGCACAGGAGGTCATTGTTGAGGATACTAAAAGTGGCTCTGAAAGTAAAATTAATAGTGCCAAGGATCAAAGAAGCAATTTCTTTGTTGACCCAAAAAACATGAAGTCTGCTGAAGCAGCCATTAGAAAGACTGACGTGAAGTTATCTATGGTACTATTTTGCTAAGATACTGCCCTTGGTTGATCTCTTGGTGAAATCATTTTTAACATATGTGGCATTTCTTCCACTACAGGCATTAGAGAAGAAAGCAAAGGCAGAAAAACTTCTAGCGGAGCTGGAGCAGGCACAGATCCCTCAACAATATGAAATTGATAAAGAGGGTATAACTCAAGAAGAAAGATATATGCTTAGGAAGGTTGGCTTGAGAATGAAGCCCTTCCTCCTATTGGGTGAGTTAGACCTTTTAGTGTAAGCTTTTTATCTTGAAATAATGGGTCTAATTTTTTTTCTTTATTCTGGAGGCAATATGAAGGGCACTTTGAAATGATGCCCACCTATTAGTCTAGCTAACTCCTGCAGAAGCACATCTGATTTGCTTTTTCTCATTTGCGCTTAGGTAGACGGGGTGTATTTGATGGAACAGTTGAAAACATGCATCTTCATTGGAAGTACAGGGAACTAGTGAAGATAATTTCTAAGGAGACAAATGTTGAAGCTGTTCATCAACTAGCGCGGATGTTAGAGGCAGAAAGTGGTGGGATATTGATGGCTGTGGAGAGAGTAAGTAAGGGTTATGCAATCATTGTTTATCGTGGAAAGAACTATGAGCGGCCTACTTGTCTGAGACCTCAGACACTTCTTACTAAGAGACAGGCAATGAAGCGCTCTTTAGAGGAACAGCGTCGTAAGGTAAAATTCAATATCTTGTCATGTATGCTTGCTACTACTTTCCATACAGTTTGCAGTCTCAAAGAAAAAAAGACCTAGAAGACTGGAGCAGAAGGAAAAGAAAAGAAGCACCTTCACCAGATTGTACATATCATTCTGGGACAAAATCTTGATTTGCTTGAATGTAGGTAGCCCTTTCAACATTTTCCCTTGTGCTTTAGCTTCTTATTCTCTTTCTATGTTGATTTTGCAGTCTTTGAAACTACATATTTTGAAGCTTACCAGAAACATAGATGAATTGAAACACCAACTGGTAAGCTACTCACAAAATGGTTTTTTATTGGTTCGGGTTTTTACTTTTTCATTAATATCCTAAAAGCATACAATCAATTGATATGAACTGTGTATCACTGCTTTGACGAAGGTTGTAGACAAGGAGGCAAACAGCATGCAAACTGTTGAGCAATCAAGTTTGCCATTGGTGAGCTGCATCATGCTTGCTATTTACACTAGTGGATTTATGTTTCTAGCAATTGATTCATTTCTGTCACAATGAAGGTCCAAGAGGAAATGGAAACTTTGCAGTCAGTTGAATACACAGGATCAGTTATTGAATGTCCTGCATCTCCGGGAGGGCATGTAAAGGTAGGTAGTTTAACTCTGTAATGTGTGAAAATTGAAAGGAAACATTTTAACTGTTGTTTTAAATTTGCATTTCAAGGTTTATGTCATGCCCTCATTGTTAACTATACATTAGCACATGAACACCTTGCTTAGCCTTGCAGTGATTGCTAGTGCACTAATGTCATTTAGAAATGTATGAGACTCTCTTTTGTAATTTAAATGCATTTAGTTTATATAACATGTGGAATGGTGTTTGATGTGTTTATTGTAGGCTAGAGACAAAGATGGATCTGAGTCAACTTCCATGAAAAATGATAAAATGGTTGCGGCAATAGGTATTCGCCAACCCTCTAAACAAGAGCTGATGGAGCCATCATCAATACATGATGGGTTTGAGAATCATAAAACGGAATCTGAGTTTTCAGCAGAATCTGTGAACAGACAAAGTCATGCAACTGAACTGAGGGCTTTGAATGCTCAAGTTGAAATGGTTGACACATCTTACCCTGATAACTTAATGGTAATGTGTGCAGTTCCTTCCCTGTCATCTTAATATTCTTAAATTCTTGATATTTCTCATCTGGTATGGCATATATTGTTTAAAGCAGGAAGAAATAGACTATTCTGGTGCTATTAATGCTAAGCATGGTGCTTCCAAGAATGGGCCAATGGAATCATTGGTTGAATCAGCCAGCATGTTGGATGTTTCAATTTCATCAGCAGTTGAAAATATGTCAAATAAGATGGGTTCAACAGCAAACTTCCTTTCTAACAAAGACAGACTTCTCTTACGAAAGCAAGCTCTTAAGATGAAGAAACGTCCTGTACTTGCAGTTGGTGATTACTACTGATTTCTATTGTTTTGGTTTCCCCTCATCACTGATTAGCCTGTGATTTTTAATGCTTGAACTTTATGGCAAGTAGCTGCAGTGGTTAGAGCTCCATGTGTTTTATATATTTTTTTTTATTGTATAAAGGCTATAGCTTTAATCTGCATAACTTAACTGCACTTCCATCTAAAGCATGTTTAAACATGATATATCAACATGCATATTGAAGTGACATTCAAAATTCTAACTCATGGTTGCAAATGCTGACCAGCCCTCTCTTTCTTTCTCACTTATTTTCATGGTGATCATGGGAACTTATTTTGGTGTTGCTTCTCTATTTTTAGGGAGGAGCAACATTGTGACTGGTGTTGCAAAAGCAATCAAGGCACACTTTCGGAAGCATCCTCTAGCTATAGTAAATGTGAAAGGGAGGGCTAAAGGGACTTCTGTGCAGGAGGTGGTGCTAAAGCTGCAGGTCTGCGGTCTCAGATTCAAACTTCTATTTACCCCTTGTGCCAGAAACGAAACTATCTATAACGAGAGAAATTGTCTTTATTAAATTCACAGGAAGCCACAGGTGCATTTCTAGTTTCTCAGGAACCTAGCAAAGTCATACTGTATAGAGGTTGGGGTGCTGGAGATGAACTAGGCCGAGGTGATAATACGAATGCAAAAGATTTGTTGGCTCAGAATCAGCCAGCTGTGTCCCCTGAGCTTATTGCAGCAATCAGACTTGAATGTGGCTTGCAACTTCACCAAGAGCAAGAGGCAACTTGATTTGCTGGAATTTTGAGGTTTAAAATGGTAATGCCGGGTTAGTTAATTTTTCATTATGCAGACTTTAAATATTTTGAACGCCTGTCATTGATATCTTGTTATGCAATAACTGTTAGCAGGTGGTTCTCGGAGTACCATGCCGATATATACATAATTCTTCCAACTGCAATGTAAGGACACTTGTCTGTATCAAGTTGTCTAGATGCTCCTCTCTTCATTCTTCAGTTGTGTTCATCGAGGAACAGAACTGCGAGATTACATCTTCAAATAAGTCAGTGCGTTCCCACTGCTTTCAAACCTGTCACCTGTCACTTACATAACAGAAGTAAATGCCTTGTTGACATATCTCTCTCAATGCTCCAACATTAGGGATCTTTTCTATGCCCCATTGTCCATAAAGTCAATAACGGATACGGTTGATACTTATTCTTGTGCCGTGAATTAGTCTTGTTTCCACCCTGTGTAGTCCAAGGCTTTGTCAAATTCGTTTATTTGTAACTATTATTTTCAGAAAATGAGAAAAAACCCTTGCTAAGTGTTTCACCTTGAAGCATGGTCTCGTGACTCGATTCTTGTTAAGTGTTAAATGAGCAGGCTGTTCAATATTGAATATGATTTTATGCCATATTCAGCATGCTTTTGTTATGTTTTTCACCAAGTACGCGCATCAAGTTTCCTATATATTTGACAAAGTTATTGTTCAACAAGTTCAGAGGAAAAATTTCATTTGACCACGGTACTAGGAGCCAATAACGTTAAGTTACCACTTTGATAGAATTACTTTTGGTGTGAGGCCGCCGGTAACCGGTTTTGAACGGTGAGTATAAATCAGTTCCAAATTTTCTCTTCACTGTAGAAGCAATAGTAAACTTTAGTATTCCTTTACCCTTTTTAACCTTATTAACTTTACCAAGGCTAAGTAACGATTTCCCAATACAAAACTTCCAGATTCCTGCGGGCTCACTACCTTCTGCTGCTCAACCTGATCTCAATCAGTCTCTAGGAATAAGGGCTAAAGTGAATATCCAATAATTACACTATTTGAACATTGAAAAATGCAAAAAGAACCCGTCAGGAATAAATAATATTGATTACTTGGTACATAATATTTCCGAGATTTCAGCACCCCAATGGCCCCTTTTAGCTACATCTTTGAAAATTTGAACTTTTGAGATATCAACTTTCTGCTTGATTGTATCATCTGTTGACTGTAACCCAGGGAAATTTAATTTTATGTTGCTTGATAGGGTCACCTGATTTTCAAGTGTGTTTCTGCACACAAACAGAATTTTACAGGGTAACATCATGACTATTCTTGTTTTCTTGTGTTGAATGAGGGTCATGAAATCTTACCCCAAAATACATAAGCAAGGGTGAATATTCAGAAGGCAGTACACGAGGATACCAAGAAAAATCATTTGTCAAGATTGGCTCAGAAAACCATGAAATAACTTGCCATGGTAAATATTTTTTCGCAAGCCATGAATACATTAACCTTTTACCCCTCAACACAGTACACATCAAGTTTCGGAGTTGCATTAATTTGTTTAAACTTTCACAGTCTTCATGTGGAACATGCTTCATTGCCAAGCTAGTAAAATAACCATGAAGGAGAAGTTTAATGTGGTTGGTATATCAATTGATCAGTTAACATTCTTCATTCTGGAAATAAAATTAAAAATTCAAACCTATATATCATTTATCAATTAATAACATTAAAACAAAAACTTTATGATCATTTGTACGTGAAATGAAAAACCATTTTATTATATACACAGTAATCGATTTGCCATCAGGGAAGTATTTGCTAACCCGGGCCTAGTTTGCTAGTTAAATGTAGGGTTAGAGCAGGCAATCTAATTCAAAACTTGATGGCTATTTTATTCCAAGGGGTCTTGGGTTTCACTGTCTCTCTCTTTCTCTCTCTCTCTTTTGTCAGATGAGAGAGAGAAAGAGGAGAGCACAAAAACCTTCCATTTTCTTTTCTTTTCTTTCTTTCAACGCCAGAGAGAGAGAGAAAGAAAGAGAAAGAGAGAGCCCCAACAGCAATCATCATGTCCTCTTTCTCTCTATCTTCTCCATCGCCATCATTGTTCCCACACCACCCCACTTCCTTTTATGATCATAACCTTCCACAATCTTCAAAGCATGTCATCATTTCATCAACAAAAAAAGCAAACAAAAAGGAAGAGAAAAGGAAAGGAAAAAAAAAATACCAGAAGAAGCTATCAAGGACATGTGTTTTCAAGTGGGAGGAGATCAAGAAGAAAGGAAATCAAGAAGGACCCTGAAGCTAGCTTTCTTGTTTGAGCTTTGTTCTTGGTTTTGAGTGATCGGTCTTTTCTCTTCTCCTGTTCCTTTCTCAGACTTTCCAAGTCTTCCTTTTTCTCTTTTTGGGGGAATCAAGCATCTTGGTCCGAAAGATTTGCTAGATCAAAGCAAATTTACAACTAGCTTTTAGCTTGTATTGTTTTCTTGTTAGGTACTTGAAGACAACTAAGTGGAAACTTGTGTGTTTTCACCATGGTCTGTTAGAGATCTCGCTTTTCTTCTTGTTTCTACGTATCAATGTCTTTTTAACTTACTTTCTGCTTCTTCCAAGCTAATCTTTAGTATAGGAATATTGATATGAAGTTTCAAGTACATGAAATATTTGAAGTGCTTTTTCTATGCTTGATAGTAAGGTATGGAAATGGCTTTGTCAAGCAGATCTACCATGTTTACTTATCATAACGGAAACTGTACTATTTTTCGTTTTTCATTTTTTGTATTAGGGTTTACAGTTCGAGCTTCTAACTTATATATCTCTGTCCCCATCCAAGTCTATCTTTTTAGAATTTGCTTACGAACCTAAAAGTATACCACTTTAGGACGTAATCTTATGATTGTACTCACATCACGAGCTTGCAATAAGAACTTGACAAAAACAAAGGTAACTGTACATTCATTTGCTACCATTTAACTTGTTTTTATGCATTTATTTTTGTTTCTTTGGGCGTATGATGTTTATGTAAACAGCACATAGGAGTAGAAATTAACTCTTGGATGCCATGGTTTGTCTACTCCAGAAGATATTTTCTCATGGCAGCAACTTGTTTCTTTATTGTTTTGTAGGATCCATCTATTCTCTATATGAGATGCTATAATACCTTCAAGTTTGAAGGATTTAACTTTCGTTAAGGAATTGTTCATTGAAGTAGAAGTCTTGGACTTAAAAGCAAAAGTACTATATATTTAGCTTTTTCAGTCTTATTGTAAGGCAACAAAAATACTTACAAACTGGTAATTAGGAAAACCTTCATATTGGTTAAATAAGATATATCTTGTGATATAAATATTCTTTTGTTTAGCTATTCTAGAAGCAGTTTACCGCAATGGGAGCTAATTCCCTTCACATGTAGTACCTTTTCCCCTTGATTTTCTCTAGAGTTTGGAAAAGGTTAACATATTACAATTGCTTATAATGTTATCGTTTTAAGTTTTTTTTTTTCAATAATTCATGTCTGTCTGGATTAGCATGATCAATTTCTTACTTTATTAGGACTTAGGAGAAGTAAGATAGGTATATATATACTATATTTAGTATATCATGTTTGTTCCAATATCATGTATAGGATGATTTTCCCCTTAATTATGGCTTTTTTCACTCTTCTCCATCAAAGAGGAGATCCATAAGTTATTGTATAAGTCTGTAAATTGCATATTGTTACATTAATTATTCTTATTTCTCACTAGGAAAGTTTGCCTTGGTCAACATATAACTTATTCTTAATAACTTGGCACAACATTCAAATGTTGTTTGATGATGGGTTCGGGTTATTAGCCGCATATAGATATTGCAGGCAACAGCGTGCCCTTGCAACATTGTATATCAAGTACATGAACAGAAACTTCGATCGTCAAAGCTTTCTAATCCGGTGGATAATCATCGTTTTGCATCTTGTTACATTAATTTTACAGAGGCTTGACTTTGTGGCTTGATGTTGATGTTTTTAACGGTATGAATCTGGTTTTTTCTGGTAAAATGATGCTATAATGAAGGGTTGCTGGTATGCTGTCTGTGTCTGGTGTTAATGATCCAGCGTTGTATGTATTTAAGGGGGTTGTAAAGGGGACTGTAAGGGATGAATATGGTGTTTATGTGAGAGAATACATGTCACTAGATATCTATATCAGGTCTGATATGGGACGACTAGTTAGGTACATGGGGTGTTTGTCAGATGTTACAAACAACTGACAAAGAGCAAAGGAGGGTTCAGGCCAGCTGCAGAGGCCATGCAAGTATAGTCCCAGTTGTTTTCCTTCTTATAATCCATATGCATCTTTTATTCTTCTCACGCAGGAGGTTAATCCAAAATCAAAATCAAAACCATGAAGGCTATCTCTTCTTTTTTAAATTATTGCATGAAGATTATATTAATATCATTGTCATCGCTGATATGGCTAGTCATGCAAAAATATGTACAAAAACAATATCTACAATCGAATAATAAGCATATCATTTCCCCCTCTTAATTTCAAGTGCATGCATGAGCTGCGGTTTCTTTGTGATCATATATAATTAATTGGCTAGTACCAATGATTAATTTTTTGACCTAGACTTACATCACTCTTGAAACTAAATTTGGGTGATCTACTAAAGTGAATTAACTGTATGAATTGTTTGCCTTGAGACCTTCATTTGTGGGGATGAACAGTCGCCGGAGTGCTGCCCAATGTATACCATGCCAAGGAGCAAAAGAGAGGTCCAGACGGGTCTACAAATGATAAACTCTTTACCTTGAAAGTTGCTAATATTATTAACCATTTAAAAGAAATGAATGAACCCAATGAGGGACACCAAAGGGCTAGAAAGGGGGAGTTACTGATCATTTGTACTCCTTTTTCCCATATTCCCTTGGTGGCTGGTGGGTTACCTCTACTTTATGGTGGCCGTGCATGGTTCCCATGTCGTAAGCCATCCCTCCTTTTCTGTGATATAACCCTTCACTTGACCCACTAAGAAAAGAAAAGGAAAGAGAAAAATATATATAGTACTGTAACTGTACTACACAAGCCAATTTGCCCAGCATCTGAAACTAATTGTTGCATTCATAGAACTTTTCTTGTAAAACTGCTGCAAGATTGAAGGTTCGTCTATATATTACAGGTTAAACTACATTAACAAAGATGTGGAATTTCCTAATAAACAATATGAACATCACAAATTAGTCCTTCCTTGTTCAGAGATCTTTATAGGACTCGACTGATTTAAGTATCGAATTGTTTGAATTAATCAAGGTGGGAAAAATGAGGGAGAAGACCTGGCTATTCATGCACCACCCAGAAGACAAGAACAGCTATGGATTTGCTTGAGTGTAGCTAAACAAGTAAGAAAAGCTTAGCCAGGTTTGAGTATTGGCAGTTCAAGGCTGGAGCAATATTGTTAGCATCTGAGATAGAGGTTGGTGGGCATGTCCAGCTAACAGTCAAGCAAAATCTAATTATCCCATGTGATTACTGATTAGTGGGGTTGTTACTCTTCAAGTATTGGATTACCTAATTATAATCATCAAGACTATATATTATAAGCCAAATTCATAACCATCGTAACTTGGTTATCTTTTTCAATAGAAATAAAGCTCAAGTTTCAAAACTTGATCTATGCAAAATGGCAGTGGACATTGATCCCATTCAAAAAGTAAACCAAACCAAACTAATGATTATAGACCAAAGGACAGCCCAACAGGGCCCAAAAATCCAGGAAAATAAAAGAGCCAGAATGAAACCCAGTGGTTTGTGTAACTTGTTGGCTGATATTTTTACAACGAGTGGTACACAGCCCTTGAAAGATATTTATAAAAGAAAAGCATAAATAAATAAAAACTAAAAACCAAAATCAAATAATCCTAAGACTCAAAGAAACAGGAACCAACAGAAAGGAAAAAAATCTGAAAACTATAAAGCAACAGCAAACAATAGATAAACACAGCTCACATACTCAAAAAACGAGAGGTGGTTTGGTTTCTGTTGCAGTTTAGTCAAGTAGAGCCATGACTCTTCAAGCAACTTCCTGTAACTTTGGAGGCATTTCATCTCTTCTTTGCCCTCCTAAAACTTCCCAGCACCGTTTTGTAATCAGAGCTAAAGGTAATAACGTTTGCTTCTTTTTAATGAAGACCCAAGTTTTGTATAATCATTTTTAGCTAGAATTTGATGAATTTGAGTTGGGCTTTTGGTCTTTTTCTTTGAGATAATTCTTGGGATTTGAATGTTGATGAGTTAAAGTTTCTTCCTTTTTGTTTTTAGCTTGAATTTGATGAATTTGAGTTGGGCTTTTGGTCTCTTTCTTTAATATAATTCTTGGGATTTGAAAGTTGATGAGTTAAAGTTTCTTCCTGTTTTTAAGATTGAACTTGATGCTGTTTTTGATGAATTGGAGCTGGATTTTTCGTTTTTTTTTTTGAAATAATTCACGGGGTCTGGATGATGTGTGATTATGTGAGTTAAAGTCTGTCTCTTTTTGATGATTTCTTTTTTCGGTTCTTCGGTTTTTTATTTCAGTGGAACCATCAGAGAAATCTGTGGAAATAATGAGGAAATTCTCAGAGCAGTATGCACGTCGGTCAGGAACATATTTCTGTATGGATAAGGGAGTGACTTCTGTTGTAATCAAGGTACTCTTTAACATTCTGCTCATTGCAGATTTAACTGCACATTCTCATTTCTTGTTTGCATCTCAGTTTCTAGAAATCTTCAGATATGAGACATTACCTTGTTTTGACCCACCTAAATGAGGCATTCAAAGGGCTGAATTGGATGGGATACGCCCTTTGGCGTTTCTGCTAATATTGCAGCTCAAAAAGCCTCACATACTAGAAAAGTCTTTGAGTCTGATATAAAACCATGTTATAATAGGTGGGTATGGTTGATGATGGAAGCCATGTCATATTCTTTCAATTGCAAGAGATTACTTTGAGCAAAGAAAAATTGCAAATTTGTTATAGCTATTGAATAGGCTGTCATGTGCCAAAATTTAATACGCTAGCACCAAAATTCAAGTGTCATTGTCTAGTTATGGCTTCATTAAGTGAGATTTTTGGAGGAGTAATTAGAAAAAGGTCCATCCTTTAGTATTTTATCCTGAACCCTTCTTAGCAGAAGCGTTAGTTATTCTGAGTTGGTGAACTTAGGTTGTAATTGGAAGGAATTGAATATCTTCTTCTAAGGTTAAACTAGTAAGGAAAATCTTCACTTGGCCTGAATTCCAATTGCAAAGCTCCAACTGATTGCATGCACAACTAGAGAATTTAGAACTTCACAATATTTATGAGTTGTTCTGTTGGAGAAATCTCATTTTGGATATTTGAACAGGGATTGGCTGAGCATAAAGACACATTGGGTGCACCACTCTGCCCTTGTAGGTAAATATTTCCTCCATGATCCCTCTCTCTTTTTGGGAATTATTATTCTATTACATTCACATATCCTGATGTTTATAGCCAATTTAATAATGTTTCTAAATGTAAAACCGATGTATTACAGGCATTATGATGACAAAACTGCTGAGGTAGGGCAGGGCTTTTGGAATTGCCCATGCGTTCCTATGAGAGAGAGGTAAATATATTGTCACAACATAGTTTCATATATATCCCTCATGTAAATTTGTTTCAATGCAAGAGTTGTATGGGAAGTAGAAAGATCTTTTGATTCATCCTAGAAGGCTTGACTGATATCTGCCTTTTGCCAGCTGCCCGGTGCCAGTGTTATATGATATAAAACCTTTAAGGTTCCTTGTATAATTAATGGCTGCATTGTCAACTTTCTGATTGTTTACTTGGTGGAAGAATTTGAACTCGCTTTCCTGAAGAACTATTTAGTTATTTCTGTGAAACTAAGAACACAACTTTAATCTCTGATGATTGAGATTGATTTTAAAGTACTTTCAGCAGGTAGGTGACTATTGAAGGTATTAAGTGAGGAAAGGATTTCCATGATCTTTAATGACTCAGAAAATCTATCATCAGGCCATTAGAGGGACAATTTTCTAAAATGTGAAAGTAACATCCAAGGATATTTCCGAATCTCATCTAACATATAAACAATTGAACAAGAAACTTGCTGCAAATTAAAGCAGATCTATGGTAAAGTTGATATTGTCCTTAGAAGATGAGATTCCCCTTTGTAAAACCTTTAATGTGATGGCAAAAGGTGTTAAGTATTTGTTCTGGCTTTTATCTGATTTGTCTATGCATACTGATATTTCTCACATTCATAAGTATATAATGAGAAATTCAAGCTAAATTTTTCATTTTCCCAAAGGGACACTGTCTTTTGAAATAATAAAAGTAATGGTAATGAGAACTACTTGTTGTCTATGCTCATTGTTCTAGCAAGGCAAGTTGTTGTATGGGTTGAAAGTTTGCAGTTCATAATATCAATGATAACAGTAAAAAATATCCTGTTTGGCCGCTTGAATGCAGCTTGAGAACAATGATATCATGGTCTCAGATATTTTAGTTTGGATGAATCTACAGTTTCTATGTTAATTTCTTTAATGGAATTTAAGGTCTCATATTCTATTCCTACAACTACTTGGCAGGAAAGAATGTCATTGCATGCTCTTTCTCACTCCAGATAATGATTTTGCTGGCCAGGATCAGGTATGTATTTGGGTGACTAAATCTTTTGTCACGGGACTTACAAGCATCATATGAATAGCAGATGTTTGTTGTGGTTTTTGCTCTAACAACATGCATATGTTTTCATGCTTCGCAGTCCATCACATTGGAAGAAATCAAGGAAACAACAGCAAACATGTAGTGCTTGACATTTTGAATTTTCTTCTGTAAACAATCATAACTTGTATTTGGCCACAAAAAAGAAGAAATACCAACAGAGGGTGTATTTTTATGTATATTAGCATGTCAACAGGGGATAAAGTCTTTTATTCTTTTTTCTTCCCTTTACTACCTTCCTCCCTATAATTTAGAATTATAGTCTACTCTTTGTATCTATGTTTTTTAACCTCTTTCATAAGCCTTGTTCAGGTGCAGCCCACTCTGATTTGCTTCAACTCCATATAGCAATCATAGTTCTAAAATTGCTGCATGAATTTTTGGAATCCTTTTGGCAATAAACTTCAGTGATGTATTTTGCATCATTACTCAAATGATTGAATGCTAAAAGCTGTTATAATTTTGGGTGCCAAAGTCTCCATCCGTAGACAACTGGGACTTTTAATTACTCTTGCAAACATGATTATGGAATAATCAAAGTTTCAAATTTGTTGCATCATTGGCAAGTGGGCAAGTCTTTTTGTGTTTCTCTCCTTACATAATGTTTGCCTTTATTCGGAGAAATCTACCTTCCTTACAAGACGGGATCAAGCAACCTCTTAATATATGAATTGGTGTTTCATGAAATCATGATACTACCTACTATGAGAAGCCTTCAGAGAAGGTGAAGGTGTGGAATTAATATTACCATTCAACTCTTTTGTATCATTTGTAGATGTAAAAATGACAAAAGCAGAGTTCGATTCTGTGAGCTTAATTCAAAGAATTACAAGGAATTAAGTACAACTGAAGCCAATGGATTCCTTAAAGGAGAAAAAAATCAAATAAAACTTAATCCAATTTATCATTTTTTTAAAGAAAATGCAGTAGAAGGACATGGGAGTTACTTTCCATTTTATAGCTTAATGGAGATATGAAAACTTACCCAACATGAAAATCACAAACGTATTAATTCAATACAGGGTACGTATTGATCAGCAAAAAGTTACATAAAGATCCCGTTTGAAAATTTATCAAATTCCTCTTCTAGATTGTAGAATAATGAAGTCAGAAAACTACTATGGAAAGTGACATGATCTCACGGAAAAAGACATTTACAGTTTTTACTAGTCTTCTTTTCTCCTTTCTCTCTCCCCCTACCAAGCCCTGTCTTCGAGTGGATCCACTCGATGAAAAGTAAATTACATGCCAATAAAAAACATGGGGCATTGACTTGACAAAAAGACTTGTAGAGTCCACAAAGGCAAATTCCTTCCCTTCTTCTCTACATTGCAAAACCCAGAACAGTGGTTACACCCTCATTTTCTTCCCTTCTTCTCCTGATTTGCCATGTAGTTTATTTACAGTTTCCTAAGACCGAAATTCCATCATCAAAACCCTTGCTTCAACTCCTTATAGCAAAGAAACATTGACAGTATAAAACCCAAAGTTTCATTCTTGACTTCTCTGGTCACAAATTTATATGGAAAAACCCAGAGTCACCATCACCTTGGGAGACTCAGGCAAGGTACTCATCAGCTCATTCATTCTCAAACTTCAATATGATCAGTTGGTTTGAAGGGTTATTCAATGATTATTGGGTTTCTTTTGTTTCCGTTAAAACTTGTTCGTTTGGGACACGCGGGTCATGCTTTTTGTTTTTTTTGTTTTTGTTTTTTTTGTTTTTGTTTTTTTGGTAAAATAAGGACTAAAGTAATAAAGTGAACATCTTTGTTTGGGTAAAAATGATTCTTTTTTTCGGCTAGGTGGTTAAGATGAGAGATTATGCCATGTTTGATCATGGAAGGATGAGTGGACGCAAAAGATTCTTAAAAAACAGGCCCCGGAGTTATGGTGGTGCCGACAAGTACATGTCCAGCAACAAAAGGTTTTTTTTGTCTGTTTCTGTTTTTATTCGTACTGTTTTCCGGTTTCAACTCTTTGTTTAATTAGCTAGTTCTTTGTTGAACTTTTAGGTGTATGTATTTGCTTAAATTTTAGTAAGTGAGACTTTCATCTGTTAACTGACATTAACTTGCATTCAGAGTAGATTTCAGGTATGACTACTTCTCTCCTATGTTCTTTCAGAAGTATGATGAAAATTCAATTTGTGTGTTTATTTTATGTAGTAGTTTTGGGTGTTATTTTCCAGGCATCGAGGAGATGGCTCTGAATGGAGATCAGGTGGCAGTAGATTAAAAGGTAATAGCTAGCTACTATTGTTGGAGTCAATTAGGCTTGATATATAGCAGTTTTTGCTCTTTGAATTTGGTTGATGACTGTTCGTGGTGCTGTGAGATGACTGAAGGTTCTTGTCTTGCTGGAAAGGACCTCCGGTTAAAACTGATGCGCAAGTCCCGAACACATCACTTTAGAAGTGTTTTAGAAGACCGTAGAAAAAGGATTTTAGAAAAGCTGTCAAAAGATATTCGGCCGCCGCAAAATCTTAGCATGCATCCATGTAGGCCTGGACCAAATGGAATCGACAATCTGAATCGAATTACTACCAATTGCGTTAGAGATGGTTTGCATATTTACTCTTTGCAAACTATGGATGGATCGAGAGGTTTTGCTGAGATGCCTCAGAAAATACCAACTGCACCTGCAAGGGCTGATCTGTTTTCAAGCAATGGGATTTTTTATCCTTCCAGGGTGACTGGCATCATACCTCTCACAGGAAACGATGTAACTGCCAGCCGGGTCACATCTGTAGCACCAATGAGCAGCATAGTGCAGAGAAGGCAACATGTTGTATGTTTTGTATGTTGTATGTCACAGGGTGATTTGCTTTGACCGTTAGCCTTTTGGTTTCAGGTACCGGTCTTACTTTTAATCTAGTTTCTATTTCTTGGAATTTCGCAGGATAACGAACCTTTCACTGTTACTGCCTTGTTGGACTCACTCGGTTTAGGGAAATATGCCATTCATTTTAAGGCTGAAGAAGTAAGTGACCTGCTTTTATCAAGTATCTTGAAAGAATGTTGCCTGGGAATGTGTTCTTATGGCAGAAATTGAGTTGTATCTTGTGTCCATTATATGTTGAATGGAATATAAAAAAGCCGCACTGTTATTCATTTCTGAGAGCAAATAGAATCTGTTACTAATAACATCTCTTGTAAATCAGTGGTGAGTATAGGCTCTTACAGTAAAACCTGGGAAATTATGATAATTTTGCAGTGTGAAGCATATTAAAAATTAGTATGACACACTAAAAAACAGAAGATTGTGACATTTGGAAACTACTTGGTTTGTCCAGTGTAAAGAAGTAAAGAAAGGAGATGTGAAACTTCATGACACATAGCTTTCCTTCCATGATATTCCATTTCTTGGGAAATAGATTAGGAAGGGCTATTCTAATTTTCTAAATACTACGCAAATGCCTTAATAAAGTTGTATACATGCACCTCTATCATGAGATGTTTCTTGTGCCCTTCTACACTATTTTGGCAATTGCATTTATATTGCCAGAAACTATAATATATGGAATGGGATACTTTTGAGGAAGTGGCAGAAGAAGAGTCTTTAGAGAGAGAGAGAGAGAGAGGGGCGGGGGATTTTTTTACTTTTCAAGGGTTGATTGTAGCCTGTTTCTTTCAACGTCCATTTGGTTGATACGTGATCTGTGTGATTACAGGTGGATATGACTGCATTGAGGCAAATGGGAGAAAGGGATCTCAAAGAGTTGGGGATACCAATGGTATTCTCATTGCATACTCTTGTACTTGTCATTCTTTAAGTATATGTACATATGGCTTTTCATAAATATTTTTTTTGGTTAAGTGAGTACAACTTTTGGTTTATTCCATAAGTGTGATACATGCATTTGTCTTTTAGCTAGAACAACTAGTGCAATGCCTGCTTAATCTTACAAAATATGATTGTTTGCCGACAAACAAACTTGCCAAAGAAATTCACAAGGGAAAAAGAAAAGAGAGATAAGGCATCAAGAACTGGAACATGTGGTTCAATTATTTGTACTTATTAGAATTAGTAATAATTTGCATGATGACATTTACCCATAGGCTCTGCTTGTCGGGAGTTCAATAAATTAAAATCAAAGCCTGAAATGATTTTTCATGCTTTTGCTGCCATTTGCCTTCATATTGATGAATTTATACATATAGCTCAAGTGAGTAATCTGACACATTCGATATTTGTATGCCTACTGAAATTACTTGTAAAAACTGTTAGATACAGTAATCTTATACACTTTCAGTACAATCTGAAGCATTGGATGGGTCCTGTTTAATATCAGGATGGGCCAGAAGATGCCAGTTCTTCTAACATATTTAGTTGTTGACATAGGTACTTCCCATTTTTATTTGCTATAAAAATTCTGAAGTTTTCTTGGGCTAACAAAATTTTTGTTGGGAAAGAAATTTGACCCCCAAATGGTCTTATCTGAAAGTGCTTTTGCTTGGCCTGATAATGCCATGGAAATGACCTTTTATCCTGATAACAATTTGCATTCTAAAAGTTTGAATTGTTCTGGCAAATTCTGCTTGATTTCCAGGGACCAAGAAAGAAACTTCTTGCTTTTATGCCCCCTTCGAGGTGGCATCTTCCACATATGTGACGTTAGTTTGGTGTTTAGTTGATGGAGTTTCCACCGCATGTCAGTTTGAGAATCTTAAAGAGCGTAAACCAACAAGGTGTGTTTTCCATTTCTAAGTTGTTGTACCCATCATTTGTAGTTCTCTTCATTTTAGCAAGGCAAAGTAGGTGGATTATCATATTGATGTATGTATCTGGACAAATCTCTCATTGTAATGTAAATTACCCCCCATTTAGATTTTCTGCCCTCGTTAGTCACCAATTGATATATTCTTGGCCTCTTTGGCTCGTGAGAGGATTTGATAATAAGATTTCAACTATTCTATTATCATGATTAATTTACAATTATAATGATGGTTTATAATTCATCATGATCTTTTTGCATAATGTATAATAAATAAGGTTAAAGAATAGGAGATTGTAGCTTTTTCCATTGTGCGTATTCCCTCGCTGCTTCAAATGCAGTTTTTCGAACCAAATATGAAAAATTAATTGTACATTAGAAAGGAAAAAAAAAGGAAACCATGTAATGTATGTAAGTCCTAATAGGCCTTCACAGATGGAGTAGTTGGAGATGACCGCTGTCCGTTCTTGGCACAATCTTTCCCATTCCTTGAAGCAAAAGCAGCCAAGAACTTCTCATTCCATCCGCTTCTAGCCGCCTGAGCTGGCACGGTGGAAGCCTGTTTGCAAGCATGATCAGATGGGAACCTGTGTTTCAGACAAACCTTCAATTGGCAAGTTTTGCAAACGCTTGCATTAGAGAACGTCAATATCTGTTTACACCTCCTAACAGGGCAAGTTGGTTTCTTCTTCTTCCTCGGAACACAATCTCCAGACTTCTCATGCCTCTCCAACACCATCTTCTCCTCCTCCCCTTCTCCTCTTATCTCAATCGAGGTCGAACAGATTTCACAAACTACCACCTTCCTGCTCTTATGATCCGATTTCGGGCACTCGTGAGACTTATATGACCTATGCTCCAAACAAAACACCTGCATAAATAGATTTTTCAACACAAAATTAATACCAAGAGCAGAAAAATATTATCACATAACCTTCTTTTTCCTAATGTGATCCGGTTTTTCATCTATCAGAGGCGTTTTATTTGATTCATGTGAATAGAATTACGAAAGAAAACAATAGTAATAAGTAATGTACCTTGTGACAACCGTCGCATTTGAAAGGCAGAAAATCTAATTGATGACAGTCTGAATGTTGGCAATGTCTTCCCAATTCAGGAAAAGCTTCAGTTCCTCCGGCCATGCTTAAAGTCAACAAAGATTTATCGGAATTTAGGATGCTTTGGGCGGAGGCCAGCGAGGGGGGAGGGCTTTATATAAAGAGGTTTGTCTTGTGGCCTAAGCCAAGTCCTGCCTGGAACCGAGTTCCGTGTTTGATTTCTGTTATATACAGCAGTTGGGAAACTTCTACGGGAAACAACGGAGTCGGCTTATCACCTTGTTTATTTTTATCTATATTCGAAGAGGTCCTAAGCTATCCAATTAGTAAACGCCACATCACCTTTTAAAAAGGGCTTGGCCTACTATTTCTGACTTCCGTAGTTCAATCTGGGCCCATGTGCAGTGATTGGGGAAGCCCATTTATCTTTTCTGGGCCAATAACTCCTCTTTTTCTACAAATTTGTACAATTTAAAGTTTGGGTGCTTTGGGCCAAGAGCATTGGGCCCTAAAGGATGATGATTCACTAGCACTTACGGGGAAAAAATGAACAGTTTCCATGCTTTCTCCTTATTAGTCATTAATGGTAGGAGAAGAAATAGTAGCTGTCTCCAAGCTCGATTATTGAATAAAACACAATAACTAAAAGTTAAGAAAAAGGTGCACATTCTTTATTTCAAGTCTTGATTATTTGTGTTTAGGAGACATTTTGACCCATGTTTACTTTTTGACATTTGGGTTCCTCACTCTGCTAAGTGCTTTTTAAGCCATTAATTAATTTTCCTTTGTTTCCTTTATCATCTTTTTCTAGTTACCATTGGAAAAGGGAAGAGTCTTCATCACTTTTGTTTGTTGTTTTTTTTTGGGAGAAAATATTGTGGAAGAGTTGAGAGTAGAGTCTTACTCACACAAGAAACCAAAGGGTTTAATGATGTAATTTATATGTATTTTTCTTTAGTTAAATGATAGCATTATTGGTTAGACCATAGAGCCATTGGAGAATAATTTGAATTATTCTTTGACTTATATACAAACAAAAAGGTGAATGATGCCAATTTGTAAAGTTAGAGAATTCCACTTTTATAAAGTATTGGTGAGTGATTACTTAGAGTAACATACAATCTTTACTTGGAGATCAACACAGCCAAAGCTTAATGTCCAATCTATTACATAATCAACATCATGGGACCCTTGCATGTTCTGATTTTGGCCATCCTTTGCATGAAAAAGATAATAAAATAAACCAAAATTTTCTTAAAATAAGTTTGGGTTAATTTTGAGTTGTGAAAAAAATCATTTTAAAAGTGAATACAAATCCTATTTCATTTTGTTGAATATTGAAAAGAAATAAATAAGCTATAATAATCCAAACTAAAGGGAGGAAAGAAAGCATAAGATTTTGATAAAATTAAAGCAGTGGCACTAAATTACTCTGAGCAAGACTGCATGTAATGTGAAAGGGTAGAAAATATGAAAAATCCAATCTTATATCGATGGGAAGGGGATGGGCTTTGATAAACACTCCTCTCCCCTTTCCCCTTTCCCCTTTCCCCTTTCCCCCTTAAAGTAAAAAGGAATCAATCCCTTTGATAAAGAAAGACAGAGATATCATCCAGCCTAGAACACTTAAATAGTCAAAATCACTATTCAAATGCTGCAGAAACTTAGCAATTAAGAATGCAATAATAATTTGGTTATGTTGTTGGCTACTTAGTTGTCTATCAACTCCATGCAAAGTTAAAAAGTAGTAGTGGTCATGGCAGGGCCCTTTGCTCATCAGGAAAACAACATTTTGAAAAAAAAAAAGGGTTTGCTTTTTCTTTTAACTTTTGGAATTAATAGAGCAGCTGAGATTAAAGCAGCACGAGGGGTTGTCTCATGGCAGATAATTTCTTGTGAGCATATTGGCCAAAAAAGTCTTGGTTTATGTTATGGAATAAAACCATGTTTAAGCCACATATAAACTGAGAATTTGGCAGCATGTAAAGCTGTGAATGCTGTGTGCTTCAACAGCATCAATAATTGCTTCAACAGATTTGAGAAGGCATCGTTCCTTATTTAATCAAAAGCAGTACGATCGGAGAGGATAACAATAGGGTTTTAAATGCTTTTGTTGTTGGCTTTTGACAAGTTAATAAATAAATGAAGAGAGTGACGGACTTTGCTTAAGTTCATTAGAAGGTAAAGATTAATTTATCTGGAAAGTGACACTTATTGAGTTGAAGTTTACTATCTTTCAATCTGTACAAGTGAAGGAAACAAAGAAACTAGAACTTCTATTTTTCCCTTATCAGAAGACAAAAGACTGAAGGGTATAGCAATCCTAGAAACTATCCTTGGCTAACCGGATTTGCATATCCCAAGTTCATAATGATATATAGAAGCAAAAATGTTTGATAGCTCAAAATTAATGGATAAAAAATACAAATATCTACAAAGGAATAAGAAAAAAAAAAGCCAAAAAAATTGTAAGCAAAGAAAAAGAAGTAAGTGTCCCAAAAGAATGAACAGGATCAACTGATGTGAAGTTTCCGCGCCCCACAGTTGAGTCAACAAAAAGGCCAAATTATATTTATGCTCCATTGACAATAATCCATAACTGGTTAAACTCTAATCTACCAAGGAAATGAAGAATATGATCCCAAATTGTAAAAGATTAATGCAAAATTACCTTACTAAAAAAAAGGGGAAAAAGAGTTAGCAGTCCAAAGCAAGTGAATAGGGCAGTGGCAACTAGAGTTTGAGAAGTGCCTCATAGCAACTTTTTCTTATCCGTCATTGGCCGAAATTCAAGAAGGCACGGAAAAGAATCCGAATCCTAACAGGCAACTGCAACCCTCACCCCTCTCCCCCATAGTCTCTCTCCCAAATCATCATTTCATCATCCCAAATCAATTGCCAAGTCTTTCTTTCTCTGTTTGGTTCAACAAAGACTTGGTCTACAGTAACATGTTCCTTAACTTTCTCCTCATGATTCTGTCTTCCTCGACATTAAAGGAACTCCCCTGATCCCTGAAACATCCCCTGGATTTCGATCAACAACGAATATTTTTATTCTCAAAATTCCTGTTTTTCTCCTCCCGGAAATCATGGAGTCTCTGCAACGTCTCTTAATGTTTCCCGTAGATACGTTGATACAAAGTTTAAATTAAGTTTCGTTGAGAGGAAAAGTGTTGGGTTTTCACCTAAGGGAAGGATTCAACATGGAGTTCCGGGAAGCTATGAAGCTAATGATTCATAAAACACCAACTCATAAAGATTTTTTTCATGAAGATTCAGGAAAACAGAAAGTGAAAGTTGCAAGCAGTGCAGCTGCCAACCGAAAATGGAGAATTTCATTTTACAAGTCGTCATCAACCAACGCTTCAAAGACATGTCAGGCTCAGCCAAAGCAAACTCCCGAAGAATTTTCTTGTCCCATTTCAGGGTCTTTAATGGCTGACCCGGTTATAGTTTCCTCAGGCCACACCTTCGAACGAGCCTGTGTTGAAGCCTGTAAAACCCTGGAGTTTACACCAACTCTCCAGGATGGTTCCAACCCTGATTTCTCCACCGTTATCCCTAACCTGGCCCTTAAATCCACCATTCTCAACTGGTGCCGAAAACATTCCTTAAATCCTCCAAAACCCCTGGATTTCTCCACAGCAGAGGAACTTGTCCGTACATTAATAGCCAAAAATCCAAACACCCTGATCAAAAAAGAACAAGAAAAGGTGTCTAATTCAGAGAAAGAGTTGATTCAAGGAGTTGAAGATATTCCTTCAGTGAAATTCGACCATGCAGCCACTCAGTTAAGTCGGAGGCCACCTCAATTCCACTCGAGCTCGGAGGAATCTGTTGCTGCTTCTGTCGCCACCACCAATGTTCTAACACCGCCATTGCAACTCGCGACTCGTCCGAGTTGCTACTCATCCACTTCTTCCTCCTCCGAAATCGAAACCTTAACCCCAAACCTTAACGAAGAAGAAGAGTTTTTCCTTGAAAAACTAAAAAGCCCTCAAGTTTTTCACGTCGAAGAAGCCGCGGCTTCATTAAGGAAGATAACAAGAACCCAAGAGAGTTCCAGGGATGTTCTTTGTACCCCACGTATACTTTCAGCTTTAAAGTCTTTGATCACGTCCAGATACGTGAACATTCAAGTGAACTCAATTGCAGCTTTGGTGAACTTGTCATTAGAAAAAATTAACAAGGTGAAGATCGTACGGTCAGGATTGGTTCCTGTTTTAATTGATGTGTTGAAGGCAGGATCCCTTGAGGCCCAGGAGCATGCTTCCGGTGCACTCTTTAGCTTAGCCCTCCATGATGATAATAAGACTGCCATTGGAGTTCTGGGAGCTTTGCAGCCTCTCATGCACATGCTAAGATCAGGGACTGAGCGGACTCGGCACGACTCGGCCTTGGCACTTTACCATCTCTCTCTAGTTCACAGCAATAGGAGTAAGCTGGTTAAAATTGGGTCGGTTCCGGTTTTGCTAAGTATGGTTAAGTCGGGTCACATGAGGGGTCGCGCCTTGCTTATATTGTGTAACTTGGCTTCGGGTCCCGACGGGCGGGCCTCGGTGTTGGATTCGGGTGGGGTGCAGTGTTTGGTGAGTTTGTTGAGGGGGAACCAGTTGGATGAGTCGACTCGGGAGGGTTGCGTGGCGGTTTTGTATGGACTGAGTCAAGGAGGGTTGAGGTTTAAGGGATTGGCGAAGGCAGCCGGGGCGGTGGAGGAGTTGGCTAAGATGGAGAGGACAGGGAGCGAGCGGGCGAGGGAGAAGGCAAGGAGGATGTTGGAGATGATGAAGGGGAGGAGTGAGGAGGAGGAAGAGGATGTGGACTGGGAGGAATTGCTGGACGCGGGGTTGACGAGTCGGAGTCGGTTTCGACTCGGAGGAGGAAAGAACGGGTCATGTGTGAACTCATCCGAGTTTTGACCATATCTTTTCAAGGTTCGTTTTTTTGGATTCGGGTTTGTAATTATTGGTGGATTTATTGTGTCGCTTTTTAGGTTGTAGTGACTTTATTGTGACAAAATTATAAAAAAGTGATGGAAAAATGTTTCTAGACAAAGAATTGATTCTGAAAAAAAAAAAGAAAAGCAAGCTCTTTTGTTAGCTGCTGCTTTGCATTTGTCACACTAATTTCTTCCTATTATTAAAAAATAATGAGACCTTCAATTTCAATTTGCAACCATATAACCATTTTTATTTCAATTTATTTCCTTTGTGTTAATTTCCTACAATCAAAATAATAAACATTTTAAAATTGTTTTATTACTTTTAACTTACACATTTGTATATAAAATCTAGTCTTTCATCATTTTATTTCGATTTCTATATAAAATCTTTCTGAATATTCCTTATGATAACGACAGATTTTGTAATATATCCAGAATATATACAAATATATTGTGGATATATTGATGTATATCCATGAAATTTAAAAGGTTAATTAGTTGCTTTTTTTTTGTTATTGACACCCACAATTTTGTAAAATATCTAAATGCATGGCAAATATTATTAATCATAATAGTTTTGGTCCTCCAGCATTCAGTGTATTAGTATTTATGTTATTAATCATATCAAATTGTAATCGTTGACTATCTTGCAAATCAATACTTTAGATGTTATCCAATTTTATTATATGTATGATAGAAGATGTTAATATTGATTTATTTATATTTTTAAAACAACCTAAATTCACAAACACATATGTGTAACATTTTACTATATTATAATTCTTATATTATGACAATAAAATATATACTAAAATTTACTTTAAATTTTCAATATTTATTATTAATTTGGCCATTTATTTTCGTTTTTATATATGTATCCATAATTTAGCGGACTTGATATGTACTATCTATTTCCTTGTCTTTAGGATGTGCATTGCTTAGATGAACCTTACCCCTGAGTAAATGGAGTAATGCTTTTGTCCTGATGGGCTATTTGGATTGGGGCATAGCCAAATTGGGCTGCGGTATGTGCTTCAAATATATAACTTGGGCTTATGACTGATGAGTTGGGGACCAAAATCTCTCACCCATTATGTTGAGCATTTGAACCCAAAAAGGACAGTAGACTTTTGCACTTACCAAAGGGACCAAAATCAAACCCAGAGAATGAGAAAAGCCTTTGCTGAGATTAGTTGAATAAGCTTTATTTATATCCTAAAAGAGAAAACCTAAAGAAAGTAGAAGATCATGAACAATCTCAACCAGGACAAAACAAAAGGGGACTGGCCTCCTAAACTTTTGATTGTGGTTGCCTTCTGGCAGCCATGATATCCAACCATGAGCAAAAGCTAGAAAAAGGTGACTAATGCATCTAAAAGTGTATTCATGGCAGTGTGCCCAGTACCTTAAATATAATACTTGCATACACCTTTTCTTGACTTATCAATTCACAATTTCCCGCTTTGTAATATCAAAGACATGAGTGAAACTTGACCAAAGATAAGTGACACAATAATGCTTTGACTGGATAACATTCTGTCATTCCATTTCACTGGTAAATTTGCCCCCTCTTTTTAACTCAAGTGAGAAAAGAATGGAGTAAAAATTTGTCGCTTGAACAACAAGCAGTAGATATATTTAAGCCTGCAATTTCATGTCTTCGAGCAGAAATGGAGAGAAAAAAACTTATGGCTACCATTTGAGGTTGTTGGGGGTGATAAACCTGTCTGGAAATGCTCTCAACGGTAACATTTTGGCACACTTGAGTAATAACTCCTCTCTGGCCCTTCAAATTTAAAAATATCGTCGGCAAGTCTATGATAGCCACTAGCATCAAAAGAATTGCAGCAAGTTTTCTTCCTTTCTAGGGGACAAAGTTGTCTGGTCAGTGTCAAGTGCTAATTGGTTGTGGTGCAGGGCTATCTGATCAGAGAATAGACAATTAAATGATGCAGTACAGAAAAGCTAATTTATCAACGTCTGGTTAATGTGTCTATTCTACTGTAGTTTTTGTCTTCCATGTAGGCATTTTCCGTTTCTATGGCTTATTGTTTCCTTTCAGTACATCAACAAAATCTGGGAAGGGTTTCTCATAACAGTGAATTGAAATGATACAGCCGAACCAACCTCGTTAGCAGGTGGGAAGTAGAACTTGTCCAAGGCTTGGATAAGAAACAATTCAAGCATTGAAAACATATCCATGTAAACTGGATTTCTCCTCTGGTAAAGAGAAACAAAATGAAGAATCACATGACTTCCGTATGTACCTAAACTTGCAGTCTTTAAGTTCAACTATCAGTTCTCTTCACAATGCGATTATGTTCCTTAATGCTGTTGGAATGGTAGTTGCTGTTACAATTCTGAAATAATTGGGGTGGAAGGTAAAAAGGCGGTTCATCATTTGGATGCTCAAACTTTGAAGACATTGGATTGAAAAGTGTCATCCATAGCTGCCAGTTTCAAATTTCAATCAAGTTCCAATCCTCAAAATAGTTTTCAAACTCCAGTAATAAACCACAGCTGCATCCAAAATCAGGTTGCTTTCTTGGAAATGGTTTCTTTCTTTGGCTGTTAAATTCAGGGAACATACATGACAGAAAAGTACGGATAAATTTTCAATTCTGCATTTCAAAATTAACAACCCCACATGGTAGCAGGTGCAACAATGTGAGTACCCAGGTTGAGAAAAAGATTTAGTGCATGGATTAACGCATCATCAAATATATAAAACAGGACACCATTAACATTTCAAATTGATGACTAAACTAGTACTTAATCTATTTCTTGAAGAAGACAAAGAGAACAGACAAAAGTAAACAATCCAACATCATCAACTCCTAAACCCCAAAAAAAGGCATCTGTCTAGTTATTTTCAGGATTATCATATCCCCTCTTTCAATTCATCAACAATCTCCCAAATTAAGTTTCTGATTATACTACACAAAAACTTGAAATCAGCTCTTTCTGTGAATCTTACAAACAAGTAAAACAGAATCAGGCAAATCCAGGACCACCAGAACTGAAGAAAAAGAAAAAGGCATAGGAACTTTAAACCCAGAACACAGATTTAATAAATATGTATAAATTTAAGCCTGATGTGATAATTGGTACAAACAAAGGCAAGTATACATAAGTATTTTCAAAAGATCTTTAAAACACCAGAAAGAATTCAGTAAAAGGAAAAAAACCTCAGACAATAATATCAGCCCAAAAACTCAGTTAACAGCATCACACCTGCGCCTAATCTCTCCTTTCCTCCCAGTCTTGATCCCATAAACACTAAGCTTCTGCATAGCTCTAGCAAAATCTTGAAAGAACTTGTTTTGATCCTTCGCATACAATTCCACAAACGGCTGTGTTCTAGGATCATTATACAACCCATGATCTGATTCCAAAATCCCCAAACCCTTTGGTAAGTTCTGAAAATACAAGTTATCAAACTTGTTGGGAGTCATGATATCATTAAAAACAGATAAAGTTGGGTTCTTTGGATAATCTGAACAAGCTTGCTTCAATGCTTGAGCAAACCTTGGATTGTAATGGGTATCATTGCCAATGTTTGAGCTAAACTCTTTGCAATGAGAAAACCCGATTGTATGTGCCCCACTTAGGGCCACCATTTCTTGAATAGTGAACCCTCTTGCTGCAAAAAGGTTGAAAATTTGCGACATATCCATGTTGGGCTTAGGCAGGTTCCCTTCTATTGAAGAAGCTTGAGAAAATTTTGAATCTTTACGTCCCAGATAAACATCATAGTATGGACCACCAAGCATAGTAACAAGGTCACGGGCGGCGACAGCGAGGATGTCAGCACAAGAGACGGTGTTAGGACAGGAGAGTTCCAGGGCAGTCTTGGCACGTACAATGAGGTCGAAGGCATCTCCAGGAAGAGACAGGTTGATGTCGGCGTCACGTTCAGCCTTGTTGAATGCAGTGGAGGAGATGAGAACAGAACCGTCACATCCATTAGGGAGGCAGTCGTGGAACAAAAGCCGGAGGGTTCCTGCGGCTGTTGTGGGACTGGTGATCTGCTTGTTGGTTATGGTTTCTTGCATGATCTTGCTGAAACTTGGACAGGTTTTAGAGTAGTAATCTAAGCTTAACCTTGATTCACAAAGCAATGCGGTGGAGGAGAGTAAGAGGAGAACAACCAGCAGCGAGGGAGGCGGCGGCGGCGGCGGTGGTGATGACTGCCCCATTGGTCGAGCTGAGTTGAGCAGAGCAGAGAAGAGCAGGGCAGGGCAGAGGCTAGGGCTAAACTTTGAGGGAGAGTAAAGAATGAGAGAGAGAAGTGAGGAGCTTTAAGACTTGAGCTTTGAGCTGGAGAGTTGAAAGTGGGAAGTGACGCGGTAGATTAGAAGATGGGACAGGGCTTTTTAACTGTTGTCTTTTATTTTTACTGTTATTTTTACCAAGGGAAGCTCCAATCACGAGATGCGTGGCGCCGGGAAAGGGATCCAGTTAAATTTATGCAAGTGATGAAATCTCAGCCGTTGATAAGAATGTGACGCTGCGACAAAAGCGGTTTAAAAGTAAAGATTGAATAGTTATGAGTTGAAGTCGATTGTCGTAACACTGTCTCAAAACAAAATTTAAGACATGAGTAAGCTGCGTATCACCCAACAACAGCATGATTTTGTACTTAGCGGTAAGAAAGGGCTCCATGGTTAAGAATGGCTCTAACTTTGATCAAATTGTACTTATGTCTTATATGCATGAAAACTCAGCTTGATGCTATATTTTACTCTGAAAAGGAAAAATCAAGTTCTTTCATTTGTATGGTTGGAGTTAGACGGATTGAACTCTTAGCTCTAGAGTGTGGATGGTGCGAAACATGAAGTGGGCGTAATGGGAATGTGTTGGGACTTGGGGTAGTGGCCATGTGGGCCAGCAGTCACGATCATACGGCTATCATACAACTGGATTTTGTGGAGATCTGCAACGCTGAATTGGAAGAAAGAAAACAATACCATTTTGATATTTAAATTAGGAGAGAAAAAGGGGCAGCAAAGCAACGGTGTATTTGACGCATATTTCGTCCATCACATGAAGGATCATGGTTTGCCCACCCGCAATTGGTTCAACGCGTAAGCCTTTAATGGGCCCTCTCTCCGCTTCCTGTCTTTCCTTGTATTATACTAAAAGCAGCGGCGCTTTTCAAAGCTTCCAATTTATTGTTTTCTCCCTCCAGCTCGCACTCCTTTGCATAAATACTGTCTCAGGTGTATTCATTGTTTTTTTTCTCCAATTAAATATATGAAGTAAAAACCCAAATTTTAATCCTTCATCATCTCATATGTTTGAGTTTTCAATTAGGAGTGCAAAATGAGTTAACCCAAGCCCATTATCTATTTTATCAAGGTTCAAGATGAAACTCGAATTTGAATCAAAATCCAATTTGACAAATGTAGGAAGAAGACCAATAGCCAAATCTTGCATGAAACTCCAACATTAGTTTCAACTTGATTAAGCATACATGTCTTCGAACTCTAATTCACCTCATCTCTTGCTTATACACGTGAGGTGCACAACAATTAGAGGAGGTTTCTCCCGTAAAGTTGAGTTACAAATTGGATTCTTCGGAGTAAAGCAAGGTTAGTGCTATGCTTACTAAAGATAAAAAGAGGATTATATTAGATGTCATCTGAATGAAAACAATTTAGAGTGAAGTCATTGAAAATCTTGTTGCCTTTCTCCAATTCTTCCGTTGACACAAATTTAAAAACTTATACATGATACTTTCAATGATCCTGTGACAGATACAGCGATACAAAGTTGAAACAAGGCCAGGCCACCTGGAACACTGCAAATAATAATTGAACTAGCTGCAATTTTCCTTTGCCTGCCAAAGAGTTTCCTATTTCAAGAAAAGCTTCTTTTAATATCTCCAAATCTACATATTTCCCTTCCAACTAATTCAATGCCAAATTGTACCAGCAAGGGAAAGATAAATTAATTAATTAAAGATCAAAATCCCAAATATTCCATTGTCAATCAGACCTTAAAAACAAAGATTAGGTCACATTTTCTGTTTCATGTGCATGTGCTTGTTGGTCCCACTGAAAGCTGGGTTGTTGCTAGGTTTAGTTTGTGTCTACATTTAACAGCTCATTCCCATTCTGCCATGAAAACACAGCTAGATCTTGCCAAGGGAATGGCCCCACCGTTTACAATCTATCACCAATGATATTGTAGGCCTGCTCATCAGGTAAAGCTAATCATGAGAATGAGATGATAACAGTTTTTTGCTTTTGTTGTTCAAAGTTTTAGGTAATAATGGCTGTGTTGATTTGAAAGATTTGTGTAACAACTTCATGGTTTTTTGAACTCATAGATTAGATTTTTGTCATTTGATTGAATCAAATGTTTAATAGAGTAGTCACTTCAATCTGCTATATGGAGTTTCATTTTCCCAGAGTTGGAATTTATCTCTTATCAGGCTAGTGTTGGGATGCGCCAGGCATTTTTACTCTTACTTTTTCTATTGTTTTTTACCTTTCTTTATTATGTTGCATTAACAGAAACTGTTATCTGTTCTATATATAATTAAATTTAAGATTTGATTGCATATAACAGAACCTGTTATATATTCCATATATCCAACTAATTCTGTGATATTTGGCATTATGAAAGAAGGGAACCAACCATAAGCTTTGACTACTTAAGATTTCTTATAGGAGAAGATGCATTTTGGCAAGGTCATTCAACAAGATGTCCAGTGTAACATTACACTGAACTTGCTTCAGGCAAGCAACACTAGTAATTTCTATTTTATTCATGGCGATCCCCTGTGGAATTACATAATAATTGATGACAAAGTGGATGGACTTAGGTTTAGGTGTTGTGTCTGATCTATAAGATTTTTTTTTTTTGTTCATGCAGAGGAGGTTCACTAAATCTATGACTACACAACAAAGGGGATAACCTTTTTCCATTCCCTAGCTTGATCTCCCAAGGCTTGAAGTAGAGACCAAGTTGTAATATCTATATTTTTAGGCTGAGTACCAAGCACTCGCTTCCATACTGGTGGTATTTACAATTTTTCATGAAGTCAGTCAATGGTAAATTGTGGTAAGGTTCTATAATCTTCTCATACTCTTTCCACCATTGCATAAAGCTGCTGTCTTTCAGGAAAATTTCTGAAGATACTGCAGACTTTTTGATTTGTTCCATAACATACAGCTCAAACTTCATTAGGTTCTGTCTTGATGACCCTCTGTCGGTTATAGTAGCATCTGCATTTTCTAGTGTCTTGCACCATATTCGAGCCTCTTCCACGCGTGCCCAAAAGCAAGAATCATATGTTAGAATAACATCCACATTTTGTTTCTTCGAGTTGATAGAGAAGCCGCTTTGTTTTTCAGCTTCCTCCAGCCACTGCTCCATCTTTTTATAATGATCTGATCTGCCATTATTTATATAGTTCTTTTGGCCAGCCTTGTAGTAGTCAGCTATATCAAGTGGCTCAATCATTCTTCTATAGTTTGTACCAGCATACAGCCACCGGGTTCGGAAGTAAACCCCATCTTTGTGAGGTTTTTTCTCAGCTTGGGCAACAATTTCTTTCCAGTAGTTTGTAAGAAATTTCTTGAGCTTGACAATGTCTCTGTCCCTTTTAGAGAACTGGTTCTTATAACAATCATAGTAACCTATTTCTTCTGCCTTGGAAACCTTCTTATACCATTCCAGAAAGGCCATTTTGATTTTTATGTCATTTAGTTTCTTGGCAGGGTCAAAAACCTTCCTCTTGTTTAACATACAACTCTCTTCCAGCTTCTCCAATTTCTCAATGAGTTTGTCAAAGTCATTGTTTTGCTGCTGCTGCTGCTACAAAATTCAGATAGACATTAGATCAGAAATGAGATTTTGGAACTTTTTTTTTTTGAAACAATTGATGACACAAATTAAATTTCGCTTCAATTACAACATCCTAGGTTATGCATTGTCAAGCTATTCTTTTGTTTTTGACATGAGAGAAAACTGAGTAACTCAATAAAGAAAGAGCGATGTACCAGATCACATAAGGTGAAATGAAATTGATCTACCTGTCTTTTCTGGAGTCCAATTGCTTCCAACAGTAAGATTGTCCCTGCCCGAAGTGAATTTGGCATAAATTCGCTAAGCTGCGAGATTCCTTTGAAGATTATCCAGGACTCCAGTTGTTCAACAATCTTCCCATAATCAACAACCAGTTGTTCCTCATTCCTGGTACCTCCCATTCCCATTGCTACCAGCAGTTCTGAAATTGCTTCGGGGTTATCAGAACATATACATCCCATATTAAAACACAAAAGAAATGTACCAAAAGGCCTGTAGAAATCGGGTTGTGAAGTTAAGCCCATGGTGTGAAGATTATGGGGAGGAATGAAGAGTCTTGGGATAGAGTCTTTGCCCGTGACAACATGGAGGAAACAAGAAGTCCATGCCGGATGTTCTGAAATGGATTGTTGAAAGCCTTTGTCGCCAACAAGGGGTGAACCAAAAGTGAGGCAGAGTGGGCGTTTTGCAGCCGACACATCGAGGCTCTCTAGCAGCCATAAGGTGAAGAGAGAGGCAACAGATCCTCCTAAAGAATGTCCAGTTACAATTAAGGGTTTGGAACTGCTACGATACTACATAAATTAAGATATAACATTATCAGTATACCCTCATTTTCACACTTCATTCATTAAGCTAGAAATAATTTGAGCCTAAAGTTGACGCAAAACTTGATTTAACAGATTCACATTTATCACTTTATAAAAAGGAAACCATTGAACTATTACCAAATTTGTGGTCAGGGTAAAATGCAAGACTTTTGTCACTGAACTTCTTCCTATATTTTAACATATTCCCTCCAGGGAATGACTAATTGCCTAGCTATTTGATCCAGTTGTAATCTAGACTGGGATTTATCCAGCATTTACAGTTTAAACACAGTAGAAGCGTACCTGATTTTTCAGTTGCAAGAGCTCATTCATGTGACCACCAAAAAGCATAATTGCTTCTTTGTGAATAGAGGAGTTACCGTTACTGCGTAAGAATTCAGCCAAAGGAAAAGTCTCCCTAAGAGCTGTAGATGAAACCAACTCTGCTTCTTGAAGGTGGGATTTGGTGCAAATAGGAGAAGTGACAAAAGCAATGATGTTAAATTTAGCTTCTTGATAAGCTTTATATCTCAAAGGGAAACCCAAAGTATGCTGCTCATTTAAATTCACTCCTCCATAACAATCCAAGTTTTTAGCCCATGAAAGTTTGAGCAGCCCAGAGCTCACCACGAAACTTGCTACTTCTGAGCCACTGCTGAATCTGTAGTTGAGAGCAGAAAATAAAGAAAGTACAAAAGCATGGTTAATAAAGGGAAAGTAACAGTCCTTTTTAGTTATCAAAACAAGAAAGGAATGAAACTCTCAACTTACAATTGGTTCATCTTGTTTGCTATGGTTTGATCTTTGGCTAGCTAACAGGAAGACTAGAGATAATAATAACATCCATGGGCATGAGGAAATTGTACAGCGATATAAAGTCAGTCTTTTTCCTCTGCCTTTTTCTTCAGTTCCGGGTTGAAGTTGGGCAGTTTCGTAGACTTTGAGACTTTGGAGAGGAAAATGCGCTGTCCCTAGTAGTGAAGATGCTAGGAAATTGAACATTGTTTTCCTTTGCAGTAAGTTTCTGTTTTGACTTTCTTTCAGAGTTATATGTTTTCCCAAGACTTACTCATGTGCGGAAGTTTCTGTTGCATCCAGTTCAAGTCTTTAGTCTATGATGAGGTTTAGGTACACGGAATGCATGATGACCTTGCCCTGACGGATTCTCGGATATTCAACTTCAAACTGAATTATTTCCATGAATCCATGCATATAGCTTTAGTAGATGTTTTTTCAGGTAAAAGTTGGGTTCTATTCCTTCTGTCAACAATGGAGTAGCCGGTCAGAGAAAGAGATGATCAATCAGGTTAGTTAAATGCATAAAATGTCTGAAATGGAAATAGGGAGACAATGATCTCGCATGTAAATAATACAGGAATGAAAAAAATTTTATGAATCTTATTCGAAACTTTTGTTGAATCATCAAAAACCAAAAAGGTCATCCGTTGTGAATTCCAAGATTCCTTCTTCTTTTCACACCTGTGCATACGTTGAAAGCTATTTCCACAGCCACGAAAGCAAGCATCAGATGCCTACACCCTTTCTTTTACGGCAAGGTGAAGAAGAAGTCAAAGATATAAACATTTCTGTATGCTTCAAATTGCAAAGGACAAAGCAAAGCCAAAGGCAAGGCAACTTCAATTAACAAAGACCAAAATGATTCATATCGATGAATGGGAAGAACTTGGAAAATCCCATTGGTCAAAATTTCAAATTTACACACACAAGCTAACAGAAATCATTGTAAAAAAAGAATCAAAAAGAAAAACTCAGATGAAGGCTGCTCCAAAGTCCTTGAAAGCCACAATCTGATTCTAAAAGTGTTCACCTTACAAATAGAAATTGTGTACCTAATTCTAATGCATCAAAGCCTAGTTTCTTGTGAATCACATTGCTTTCCGAGAGGCTGGGCTAGCTGATCTAATTTGGATATCCTTTGTGTATATATTTGTGAGAGCAAAAAGTAGTAGCACAAACACAACTTGTGCACTCACAATTCCAAAATGGCTGATGCTATTACCAATTTCCATCCAGCTTCCTGTGTTCCTCACCTGTTAATCAGTAGCAAATTCGTGAGGCCTTCAGGAAATAACTATAACAAGCAAAGCAAGGTTCAAAAGAGACTAAACAATCAACCAATAGAATTGACTCCACCAAACTTTATTTCTGGAAAAATGTATTACCAGGAAGAAGAAGTGGATGGTCATCACATCCGAAAACAAAATCACAAGGAAATAGCATCCCAATCGTGGAATTTGGAGTAGTTTGGTTATTGCACTGAATGCACATCTGTATTTTGAAAAAGTAACAATCAAACTTTGTTCTCTCAACCAAAGAACAAGTAGAACCACATAAAAACAACACATGATTATAAACACAAGATAATTTTCAGATATTAAGGACTTCAATTAGAAAAGGGATGTTTATAGTTAGTGTTATTTTCTATATTCCAACTGAAAAGCCCTCATTTTCTGACCTAAAGTTATTATAGTTCTTATAGATATTTTAAGCTTAAATAAGAATGAGAAACCAAGATTAAACATGGCACTTTAGCCACTAATCATCTTTGTAGATTAAAAAACTTATGGATCATTCACTCAAAAGATGTGCTTCCCGTGTTTCAAGGATTTTGAAGCCAGATGAAGTTTCTAAAGTTATGGAGAAACAGTTAATGAGTTTTTATGGAAAGAGATCAAAGTTAATAATAGCACATAAAGAGAACCAAAATGTAACATAGCATGCATAAAACTAGTGATAGAAAAGATGGTCATGGAAGCCTAAAGGCGTCATTGAAGCATCACTGATCATTTTGACACTTTTGCAAACCAGGAAACTTACATGACAAGCATGAATGGTATGAATAACTTGAAGATGAGGAGGGCTGCCATCAGAAAGGGCTGCAGTCAAAAGTAAATTATTTCAGCAGGGTTTCCAAGAAGAAACTATAAAGATAATTTTGGTAGCTTAACTATTACTTACACTGAACACAGTGATGAACCTGTAGACAGAGGAAATCTCAAAACTTGCAATACTTGCAAAATTTCCCGTCCCAAAGAAGGCCACGTTAAATAAAACCATCTAGCAAAGACAGCCATCAGTGCCATGTGAATAAAAAACTGTAAAATCCTCTAAACTAAGCAACACATATTCCTTTCTGACAGAATGTGAAGAGATTTTTTCTTAAAAACACTTTGTCGGACAGAAAGAGAGGGAGGGGGTGGTGGAACAGCAACAAAATGGGCAGGGAAAGCAGTTCAACATTATTGTTTCTACTGTCAGTTTTCAGTGGTCTGCGTGAAAATGTATTTCATCCAAAGTTAAAGGAAGAGAAATCAGTCCTTCATATAAGAATTTTTAATGAATAAACTTGCTACTGGCACTATTTATCACAGACATAAGTAGCTACTTTATCCAAGTGCCTATAGCAATCACAACTCCTAAGAGGAAATACATGAAGAAAAAAATTCAAAACTGATGCAAATATTGGCGGAGAACTACGGAACAGGGAGCAAAGATGACTCACAAAGGTTAATGGAATTCTCACATCGGACAGCTGCAAATATCTAACTTCATGTTCCAGAAAGAAATGTTCTTCCAAATTCTTTCTAGAAGCAGAAGATTTTTTCACTTTACTCAAGTAAAGAAGTGAGTTTTCAAACAGTATCCATGCCATTAGTACAAGACCAAGTGCACCATAGAAGACAGCTTCATATCTGCACAGGTTTCAGAGCAAAGGGGGAAAAATCATAATATTCATCAAATTCTCCATTTGCAGAATACTGTCAATTGAGCACCATGATGACAGAAGTTTAAAATGAGACATACCCAATAGATAGTAGAAGGAATGTTGGTGCGAAACCAAGAAATATAGAATTGAGCCTAGACAAGAGACCATTATTGGAAAACAATGGGAGGACCATTGAGCAACCTACAAAAAACAAATATTTAGGGAAAACATAGATGGAACATAATGAACACTTTTGCTAGTACATGATTGAAAGTTATTTGTATAATTATGAGCCTGCAGTTCCAATACTACTGATTGGTCAATGTGCAGCCATTGTGAAGCACAGATATCTGGAAGATGCAAAGGTGTGAAACATTTAATAAATGAATATGTGGACTATACACATTCGAAATTCACACCTCTTTTTCCTGAATTAAAAAAAAAAAAACCTATTGTTTTCAGTAGCTACTGCCACGTAATCAATTATGTTACCCATGTACATTGCATGCACATGTTTGACATGTGGAAAACACATTTGACCTGGAACAGCCAGCATCTTGAGGTATTCCAGTCACACAGAAATTAAACAACATAAAATTAGCATCAGATGTGAAGAAAATGATTTTCAGAAAAGTATCAAACAGTTTCTTTTGTACATTACAAAGGGCTGAAGCCATATAACAGCTTTATTGAAGAGCCTGAACATAGACTACAAAAGTATACCCGCAATGGACCAGTTCATCAATTGATGTACTGAGTGTAGTTCTTGCTTCTCTGTTCTATGAGAGGTAGATAAAAACACCATTACTGACGATAACCCGACCAAAAGAGCCTGATTTTCAAGCAGCAAAAGCAATTACTTTTAAATCTGTTAACAAGATAGGTTAGCTTCTCATTCCAGCAGAAGGTAGAGAGACATGTTTCCTACCTGGAAGTGAAAGAGCATAGGGAACCTAGGTTGTTTTATTTCGTGCATGCAGATACCTAACCAATAATTATTCCCATCAGTATGCAGGTCCAGCCACTTTGCAGTTAATCCTATTACGATGATCATCCCTCCACTTGCAATTCTACAGGCATGATTGTCATAAGGAACCAGTCATAACCAATTCAAATGTAATAGCTAATAGAAGTAAGCAAAGAGAACAGATACTATAATTTTCCATCATTTCTAAAGAATTAAACTTTATCAACTAACAATAATTTTATGAAACCCTAACGTTTGGCATAAAGATTTGATGAAATCCATTTGCTGGGAAACAGTATTATAAGATCATAGTTTGAGTCAATGACAGAATTACATTAGCCATAAAGCAATCTACTGCCTAAATACTAAGTCTCAGAGAAACACACTCTGGGAATGATAAAGGTTAGCATGTGTTTCTCTGGGAGCAAACTACTTCCTAAACAACTTATTCAGAAATCATGACTAGTCTGGGTTCTACTAATCCTCTTCCAGATGATTTTCTTTTGTCAAACCATTTCAGATTTCTTTAAATGAAAAGAAGATCACAATAAAGGAGGAACAAGGAAGGCAACTCACACCAACTTATTATTATCGGGAATTTCTGCTGGCATTAAAGTAAATAGAGACAGGAACCAACAAGTAAGGCAAGCAAAAACTGGAATTCCGGATCTCCAAGGAATTAAATTGTAAAGATACATAGAAGCTACAGCTCCCACTACCAGGAAGCACCAAGTATAGAGTTTTCTTTCAGCGAAGCTCTGCACCTGCACAAGGTACCATAAAACATTGTTAAGAATGCTAAACTATCACTTTATAATTATCACAAGAACAGATGTATTACTACTATACCAGGAACTCAAGAATGATTAGTGACACCACACCAGTGACCAGAAGTTTAATGACATAGTTGAATTTCCTCCCACTTAAGTGTCTCCATAGTGCTTTTATAAACTGATACTCATTAAAGATTTGTGTCCAGAGAAATACTGTCATGGCAAAATATGCATGGTAAAGAGGAGGGGAGCGCTCCAGAAAAAGTAGAACACTGAGTACTCCCATAAACAGACAGCCCCATAGGTTAACCTGCCACATAGAATGATATATGTGAGGAATGTAGCAACAAACTGGAAGAAACAAATGGCTTCTTTTTTCCCTTTTTCTAGAAATTGCACATTAGATTACAAATACTAATACAAAAACAAGCATTGAAAGAAAACAATCATGATATAAATATTGTAAAGTAGGCATAAGTGATAAAATGGTTGGTGCACACAAGGAAACTAGGGTAAGCACAACTAATAGCACAGAGTAGTTCTTGTGAGCTTAAACTATAGGGTAATTCTGAAGAATCTAAATAACCATAGCATCAGGAAAAAGAAAACCTTTTGGCTTCAAACTTCATAAAACTCATGAAAAGAACTTGTTTGTTTTCATTTAGTTTCCTCCTCTTGACACTAAAAGTAAAGTTTATAAGAGGTTAAGCTTACATAGACATTACTTTTCCTGTATCATATTGCTGGCGAACTGCTTCCCTCTTTCTATTTATATCTCCTAACAATGAAGTATAAGCTTGCAGAACATGAAGAACGAGAAAGACCATCCAACCGATATATCCAAGAGTAATTATGGTCATCAGCATCAGCCAATCATAAGTTTGAAAATAATGAAGTCCATCCAGTGCCAAGCTTCTGAGATTTTCTGACAGCTGCATGGCAGCTTTATAGTCTCTAGCAATTAGCAAACCCTCAATTTGATTCAACATAGAGGAATATTGAGCAAGTGGCTTGAAAGGCTTGAAATATAGTGAATGTGATTGCTTTATTTCTAAGTTTGTCAAAGAAAATGCATTTGAAAATAGCCAATCCATAACCCTTTGCAACCCCTTCCACATGATAACACCAGAATCAAACAAATTATGTGACAACTGATAAAGAAAATGTGGATAAAAAGGAAGAATAAAATTTTGATGGACTGAAATGAGGTCAACGTCTCAAAAAGTTTAAAAATAGTATTACCAAGTAAATACATGAAACATAGAGTTCCAGCCAACACAACTAAGTTTAAATTTAAGGGGAACAATAATTCTAAAACCGTTGGACCTTCAGTTGACCTTTGATAGATATACAAATATTTTACTTTGTAAAAAAATTCTTTCAAGGTTTAAGGAAAAGAATACTTAGGCTTTAATGCAGTATCATATTACAAAACACTAAGATTAGTATAAGAAGAGGATACGTGATTTGCGCAGAAATTGGTTAAGAATCTGCTTTGTGTTAGCTACCACAGCCTCAACTTCTTCTTCCTGAACATTAAATACAGAATTAGGTTCATCAGTTCTCTACCATTTATTATACTTAAAACTTATTTAGTTGCATTCGAAAACCTAATTATCCCATCTTTGAGAGAACATAAACAAACAGATCTCAAAAGAAGTGTTATATTAATGAAAAATATTTGGACTCACCTCTTTCATGTCAACATAAGAAAGGGGTAAATTCCCGACTGAATTGACTGGACAAGGCAAACCAAGAAGAGTTGACTGTCATAAAAAATTTTAAAGCATGTCAGTTCAATGTGGGCTAAATATGTTTCCAAGAAATACTTTGACTAGGAACATATATTGTCAAGGTTGTACAACCATGAGGGGTGCAATATCAGCTTGATTAACATCAACCCTTTCAATACCATCAAGGCCCCATTCTTTGGGTGTTGGGGTGTCATGCAAATGTTCATCAACAAACCGAAGAACATGATCAGAGTGGTCTCTTCTCGTGATTGGCTTGGGATGTTTAATGCCCGCTCCCCAAGCAACTAGAGGGGTATCAGTGTTTGAAGGATGGCCATCCCCATGACTTCCTATTAATGAAATCCTAATCATGTCAGAATCTGTAATTGAAAACTATCAACGAAAACAAAAAAGAAATGGAGGAAGGAAGGAAGACTAACGCATAGCAAACTAGTTGCAGTCTAGTATAAAATTTACATTTAACTATGGCCAAGGCATAGCCTAATGGTAGACACACCTACCTCCAAGGTGGTCTCAAGCTTAAGTGTCATATCAAAAGGCTTTCAGCCACTCAGCCTTGAGCAAAATAACTAACATATTACTAATCTTATAGCTGTAAAAGCTAAATGAAATTAAGGTGAAGTATATAAAAGAGTTCTCCAACCTTTGTCACTCATTCCATGATCTGCTGTGAAAATATATGATGTACAATTGTCCTTGTAGTAACTCTCCAGAAGATTATAAACACGTTCAGCAATACGATCAACAACTTTTACATTGTTGAGATAAATGGATGAAAAGGGACGATGTGCATGACCATTTGAATCACAACCAAGTAGATGCAGAAATATAACAAGATTATCTTGTTGTAGTAACCTTTTCAACTTTGGGTCTTCATTGGACTTGTTCAGAAGGCTCTGAAATTGATCAAAAGACCACTCGTCCAAAAAGGATGCATCTGCAGTAACATCAATTGCAATATGCATGAAACATGAGTAAGCAGCATAAAAGCTGAAATACAAACATATGCGAGCATCACTATATAAGGATTGCAAGAGAGCCAAAAGCAAATAAGAGTATTGGCACAATTTGAACTTCTGGAAGGTGTCAAGACATGTTTAGTAATTTCACATCGATGCAATCTAACCCAACAGAAATAAATTAGATACAATGGGAAGCAATGAGGCAATATGAAAAAAAAATGCTGGCTGAGGTATTTAACAGTTGATGAATATTTAAAAAAAAAGAATTTGATCTGAGCCCTTCTTTTTTCCTCTATAAGCTTTCTACTTTCTTTGCTTTAAGAATGATTTCATAAAATCTAAGAGAAAATTGCCTTTCACAGAATTGTAAGCAGACCAGTTGCAAAGTCTTCAAACTCATGAGGGTAGGTATTCCAAGTGCTGTGTGGCAAAGCGCCACAAAATATTGGAACAATATCAGGGCTACCATAAGAAAATGTATGCCGGCTCCGATTAAAAACTGAATCAAATTCTACCGGATTAGCTTTCCATCCTGCAACCAAAATGGAAGAGCTTTAATAATGGAAAAAATGTTGGTCAATTCTCTCACGGTGATGCAACAATGCTTAAAGAGTTAACCTTTTGTAACTGCACTAGGGTCCTCATAAAAACCAGCAATTATAGCAACATGTCCAGGCCTTGACTCTGTTGGAGGCCGAGCATGGGATACTCCCCATTTACCTTGATTTTTAATCACATTTCTTAAAAATGGTGCTCTAAAATTTCCTTCTGAATCCGGCTCAAAAAACTTATCAGCACGTAAACCATCCGCTGCAATGAATTAAAAAAAATAAGTAAAATCATTTGAGAAAAAAAAATTCAAACTTTTGACTGAATGCAGCACAATCATCATGACAGTACTGAATTCCACAAAATGTAGTTCAGACCCACATCCCATGTCAAAACTTAGCCTTTTAGTACAAAGCTATTATTCCCCAAATGCTCTTTAGTTCTATTAGCAACCAAAGACTTCAACGCAAATAAATGATAAGCAATCCAAGTAAGCTGAATTACACAATTTGCGTCAAACTCAACAAGGCATTCCTCGCTAAAAATCATGTTAAACAAAATTGAAATCAAAACAAAAAACCAACAGCGAAGATACTTCATTGAATAGAAAAATCATGCATTTGAACCAAAAAGAAAAGCTTTTACCAACAAGGAGAACGAGGCGTTTAGCGGGAGCCAAAAAGCGAGGGGAGACAAGATCCATGCCATGAACAATGGGTGTTTTGAAGTAGATGTCGAAGATGCTTAACATGTAAACAGCATGGAGGATCACTCCAAGGATCACCAGCCATATTTCTCTTCTCTTCACCCATTTTCTTCGTTTGGGTATACTTGCTTTGCTCCGCTTTGGGTCTCTGTTGCCCAAGATCCCATCGCTACCCATCTATTTCTTTTTCTTTCTGAATTTGGTTTCTCACCTTGTCGTAGCCAAAACTACTTGGTCGCGGTCCTCTTTCTCAGTCTATAACAAAATGCGTAAAGGTCAGTTATGTATTTCATTTTTTTTTTTGGCAAAATACGATAGCATCTTTAATTAATTTCTTACATATTTACAAGCTGATTTATTAATTTTTAAAATAAACAATTTAGTAAAAATTTTTTTTACTGAAAATATAAGTTTAGAATTTGAACACAAATTAATTTTGTTTTCTTGTCATACATAAGGATATAGAATGGATCTTCAATTATATGGTAATTCGTAATAAGAGATAATTCTCTATTATTTTCTATATAAATTTATTACAAATACTAAACAAATCTAAATAAGCTTTAAAAATGTTTTATATTTCATTTTTTTAATCTAAAAATTGTCCGACTCAAAGAAGACAGACATAAATGGTTCGGCTTTGGGGTCTATGTTTGTGCCACAAATGTGTTAGATTTAACAGATATGGGCCTAAGGCTCAGGCCTACCTAGCCCATTAAGAATTGTTAAAATTCGGTAAGCGTAAATAATATTTGGGCCAAAAGCCCAATAGCATTTAATAGCTTGGGTATACTCCTGAAGGGAGGGACAACAAGCAACACTTTGCTATTTATTTCTTGATTTATATATATTCAATAATTTTCCACTTAGATCATTCATCATATCTTTCAACTTTCCTTTATTTTTATATTGTTATTTCATAATTTTTTCATCTATTATAATTTTTTTTTATTTTAAGAATAAAGATTTAAATAGAAAATCATGTACTAACCATTGAGTTAAATGTTTGGATCGATGTTTGCATCCATCACAAATTGATCATAAAAAATATAGTATTTCATATCTAGTATAATGCTCATACTATAATTTTAGGGATTAAATCTTGTTTGTGCAAGAGATCATGCATCAATCATTAAGCTAAATGTTCGGATGTTTCATGCATTACACATTGATCATAGACAATATCGGATTTCATGTTTAATATAATGCTTGTAATATAATCTTAGGGATTCAAACAAACCTTTTTTGAGCAAGAGAACTGTTGGGTGGGGAATCATGTTTAATATAATGCTCATACTATATAGTCTAAATATGATTTAAGGTAAATAAGAGCAGCATGAATACACTGAGGGCATAAATTACAGAAGGTAATACATGACACTAATTAAACGTGTGTAATTAGCTGAAATGCTACAATGCAAGTCACTCTAGGATGCAAGAATACTATTTAAGGGCAGCACTATAACAAGATATACTAAAGGCAGGTAATGGGACATTCAAGCCACCTCGTTAAGGATAAATAATGATATAGCAACACCGATTGCTCCTGCCAGCACAGCTGGAAATGATTCAAGGGCGCTGGGTGCAGCACTGGGTCGGGGCTGGTGCCCAGCTAGAAGTTTCGGCTGCTGCAGGACCAGAAATGGTTAACATTGAGCAGGCCAACCATGCAGTGAAAATTACAGCAGCCTTGTCGAAAGCCAAGAGCTTTGCTGCCTCCTCAATGGAGCTGGATATATAACACTCACTTTGCTATGTTAAATGTTATGTGGTACTATAACTATTTATATTTAGTGATTTCTGTATTAATAGCAGCAAAATATCCTATCCTGGTTTGCATAGAAGGCATCTAGCATCTGATGATCAGAAGGTGAAACCGATGAGTGTTTTCCTGTCTTTTTATTTACTCGTCACATCTTTAAGCTATGACGTCTTGCACAAGGAAGAAAGGTGGCGTGAGGTGAAAAATTGTAACCATGGTTTTGCTAGATTGGTGACAAATCCAAGAAAACCATAGCACCTTGCCTTGCTGCTATCTTGTGGTTTGACGGTGCCAATTCCTCATTGTTCACCTCTTTGATTGTTTCCAGTATTCAGGAATTGGCATATGAACGCCCCATTCAATCCAAAAACTTGTCTATTTCTCACTACCAATTAAGATTTGAAATGAGATCGCTTATTTGATGCTAAGGTCGTAAGAAGATGATTTCCTGTTTATGCACAATTGTGCATTATGTACAATTCTGAGGTGCCTTGAACAATGTCAAATTGTTGCCAACTATATTTACTTAGCATCTGCTCATTCGGGAATAGAAATTTTCATTAACAAGAACAAGGGACATTCACTACATATTAATATCTTCAATTAGCGTAATAAAATTCAGTAGACACAGAGAGTGAGTATTGCCCTGAACTATTTGACAAGTTGATAGCTTCTAGTAGTAGTGGTCACATTACAAGAAAACCATTCCTTTTCTCCCTTCTCTAAAACTTATTACCGCATGCTTTTAGCTAGCATATCCGTAGAAACATCAACGAGTGTTGTTTGGCTTTCAAGGACACTTGGGTTTATTGCGGTGGGTTTTCATCTCAGTGTAACACTTGCCACACATTTCTCTGTTGCCATATGTCCCTGGTGGAACGCATTTGCATCTGTCACAGCATGTGATGCACGCTCTCATGCATAGGTTAGTCCTTGAATGTAATCTGCACCTTTGTTCACATAAAGGGTTGCAATCTGCCAGCACCAAATGTCCAACTCATTGTCAGAAATGAAGAAATTACGCAAAGTTATGGGAAGCTTATATTAGCTTTTACTAAGGTAAGGGAAAGAGATAATTTTACCCTTTCTTGTCCTAACAGGTGGCAATGGTGGACTTGGTGGCTTGTAAGGGGTGTAGGAGTTGGCGGTGCCTTGTAAGGAGGCGTAGGAGTTGGTGGTGCCTTGTAAGGGGTGCTGGAGTTGTCGGAGGCTTGGTTGGAGGCGCCGGAGTTGTTGGTGGCTTGTATGGGGGTGAAGGAGTTGGGGGTTTAATGGGGAGCGGGAGCCTTGGTGGGGGTGCAGGAGTTGGGGTTTATATGGGGAGAGTAGGAGCCTTGACCGGGGGTGTAGGAGTTGGGGGTTATACGGGGGAGTAGGAGCCTCGACTGGGGTGTGGGAGTTGGGGTTTTACGGGGAGTAGGAGCCTCGACTGGGGGTGTGGGAGTTGGGGTTTGTACGGGGGAGTAGGAGCCTCGACTGGGGTGTGGGAGTTGGGGGTTTGTACGGGGAGTAGGAGCCTCGACTGGGGTGTGGAGTTGGGGTTGTACGGGGAGTAGGACCTTGACTGGGGTGCAGGACTTGGGGTTTATATGGGGAGTAGGAGCCTTGACTGGGGTGAGGAGTTGGGGTTTGTATGGAGGATAGGAGCCTTGACTGGGGTGCAGGACTTGGGGCTGTGTACGGGGGTCTGGAGTTGGAGTTGTAACTGGGGGTGCAGGGGTGGTGCCTTCACTGGTACTAGGGGGTGCAGCTGGTACAGGAACTTTAACATATTTAATCTGCAGAGTAATATGCTACAATTTCAGTAAACAATGAATGCTAAAGAACTCATCTAGTAAGTTCATTTTCGAAGCAGATAATTTCTTGTTTGCAAAACAGATAATAGCCAAGGTTACCACTAAAACACAAAGCCAGTATGTTCAGCAGTAAGTGATGCACCAGGCAATATCCTTTCTCAATATGGTCTTTTTTGTGCGTTTGATGCTACCCATTAGCAAAAGATTGGACAATGTACAACCGCTGGTGAACGGAAATGCAGCTTTCAAAATGCTATGGAGAGAAAGAACAGTGCTAGTGCGTTATCCACTATCCAGTTAATTGAAACTAGCTTGACAATGTTCTTTGAAGAGGGAACTGAATAATAATAAAGCTCAAGAACAAACTCTTCGGGCAGTTCAGCTCATGAAACCAGAAAATTGTTCAAGAAAGCCATTAACCAAATAAAGACAAGAACCAGATTGTTTCAAATGGTTCAGCTGTGCCTCAGGTCTAATTTTATATCAGCTCAACTTTAAATTGACTTGGACCACCACATTTAAGATTCTTGCTAACTAGACAAGAAAATAAGCTGTAAACATTGTTTAAAAGATCACCTCAATCTTCTCTTCCTGCTCATTGGACGCAACCTACAAGAACAAAAAATAGATGTCTTTGAGTTAGATAACATAAAAGCCTAACTTTGTGATCGAGTGTAAAAAGCAAGGAGGTAGCCATACTCTTGTAGCAACAAGCAGAAGAGTGGCCAATAGAAACAGCAGAGCTTTGAAAGCCATGGTGAGAACGGGGAAAAGAAGAGTCAGAAAAGGTAGGAGAGCTTTGCTACTCACTACTCTTGATGCTTCACTCAAGAAACTGACTAGTGGTTTAAATAGTGGTGCAGTCGGTGATGAGAGATGTTATTTACTCGGTCCAATAAATGTGCATGCCAGCTTCACCAGATTACTGATGCATTAGTTAAGGCTTACTGCCCAAAAAATCTAACTCAATGATAAACGCACTTGCCCCAGCCCCCAAGGACCCTGTCTGCCAAAGTGGTATACCTAATTACTTCATTAGAGTGTGTTTCATCAATAGTTTATTAACTGGCACACAAGGTCTGTCTTTTTGAGACTTGGGACAATGGCCCATAACCCACCCTCCCATGACTTAAAATATGGAAACAAGTCTGACCATCCTGGTTTAGTAGGTTTACTCGCTTTTAAATATATAGTTGGAGTACCTTTGACTTCAAAATACTAGCATTTTGGATATGTGTACACAGCCCATGTTGTCATCAAAGTGAAAGATGAACATGTAACCTCAATAAATTAATCAAGTTGATTAGTAAGTAAGAATACTCCTTGCATAGTAGTTTGGATTCAAATTCTTAAATAATACTCAGATCAATGACAAGTACTTAAAACTTCAGAAACTTCTAGCATATCAAAAATGGAGGTGAATGTTTTGAATTTCTATCATGCTATTGCTTCCCTGCATGCTGTCAAAAATAGGGAATTGAGGTTAATTACACTTTGTAGGTCAAGCACGACAGGATAAACTGACTTTTTTGGTCTAAGGACACTTTATGAGCTGAAAAGCTTCAAAAGCGAATAATTGTAATTATTGTACCAGTGTGTTGATTGATCAGGGATGCATTCTTTTACATGAATTGAAGCATGTGTTTTGCATTACAATCCATTTAAGCAGTTGTTTACTGTCAAGATCAAACGTTTTGAACTGTTCCAATTGTCAAAGCTGCAAACCAGTCCAAGCTTGAAAGCCTGTCATTACAACTGGCCTTGAGCCTTCCCTCCCTCAAGGGCCAAATTTAAAACTTATAAACCGTGCTTGCAAGTGGGATTATTTATTTTCTACTTTACATTTGACATCACATGTCATGAAACAATGGTCAGAATGATCAGTTTGACAAGATTCATCATATACGGTATGACCTCGGAAGATCAGTTCATGGAATCCCTCCCATAAAAGGACAGAAAAAAAAAAAGGAAAGATGAGCTGTAAAATTTTCATTAGCATATTCCTATTTGGTCCAGTGGTTTCGGAGGGGGTTGATGCAATTTGTTGAAATTCTAGAAATTGACATTTCCATGTTTTTTTCTTCCTTCCTTGTTATGGAGTAAACATTTGCTGCTACATGGGATGAGACAATATATGTTTTTCTTTGGGATGGTGATGGCATCCAATGCTTATTTTCAAAGAGGCTAACCCTTTAAACTGTGAAGGGATCAAAAAATAATCAATGAAACTTGTTGGGTCATGCGACAAAAATCTATCAAATCTTCATGGCTTAGGGCCCTTTTCTGAGAAGTTGCATGTGGATACGAAGTTGATGTCAAGTCAAAAAATGTAATGACAAACTTCTGAATGATTGGCTGATAATTTTACTATTACTAAAGCAGTCAAGTGTGGGCTCAAAACACCTATGAAACTTGATGCGAGACCATTCTTATCTGCATTGGTAATGGCATCAGGGTAACTGGGTAAGGTAATAGGTATGATTCAGCCATGAAAATTTTACTTTCAAGTAATTGAATGGAATGGGAGTCAAGAGTTTGAAATCTGAAACTCAACAATTGTTACTACAAGTCATGAAACTCACACTAACAAATTTTAAGTTACATCATATTTTCAATAAAATTTAGATTAAGTTATGACTCAAATCATTTGAAGAGCAATTTTAATTCTATAATATTTGATTCCTGCAAAAGGTAATCATATGGAGGCTATCAGTATCCTTCAAGTTGAAGCCGTCTTTGGCATATTTGTTTCTCTTTATCTGTTATGCAATGTATCAAAACAAACCTTTGGAGGGTGGACTCCTATCCGCAATGAAAAATTTATTATCTGGAACAGTGAATGGTATGTTCTCAGAGCATGCGTTGGCTCACTTACGAACAACCAACGAGACAAACAAGTACTAGAAACATCATTATACATGGCCGTGGGCCAGATTGAGGTGGAATCTCTACCGGGTTTTCCAGGTTTTACCCAAACTAATCATCTCGATGTGCTTGCATTGGGAGCATGAGCTGGTTTTTTGGTCCCCAGTTAAACAGTTCAACAGCTTAGCTTTGATATTTTAAGATTTTTTCAGTGCAAAAGTTCTGATACCAATCTGAAGAAAAGGAAAACAAAATTAAGGAAGGAATGAGATTAAACTAATCTAACTTTGTAGCTGGTCTTGCTTTAGGACAAAAGCCTTTTGAGTTAGAAGGCTGGAAATGGATGTCTTGCAAGTGAGTCATGGTTGCACATGTGATTTCTTGAGGTACAAAGCAAAGAAGTATAACTGCCTTAGCATTTGTTACTTCAGAATTGAAGAGGTGGATCTGATATTTTCACAAGGATTATAAAGAAGGAAACAAGGACAAAGGTAAAAGCTACAGGGACAGCAGCACTGCAGCAGGCTCTCATTTTCAGAAGAATCCAGGGTCCATCATTCCTGGGCTAGTAGCTGCCAGCTACAGCTTTGCTGTGCTGGTTCCTGGTTGTTGTCAAGACCTTCACTTTCTTCAGAGTAGGGTCAATTATTTTCCCTGTTTTATCTTTTTTATTCTCTGTACAAAATGTTTTAAAAAGGGAGTCAGTACAAGTGATTAGATCTGTCACCTTTCATATCTATCCACTGTCAGCATTTTTAAATTTTAATGACCTTGTTTAGTTTTGGTAATATCTGCTTCAAGTTGTTTTGGTTTTGTATTTACTGTAATGTTTTTGTTTTGCAGAATCACGCATATCAGACAGACTCAAATCCTCAATAATAAACAATTGCAAAGTCAATGTACTTCCTCTTGTGTGTTGTGTCAGAGGTGTTAATCCAGTTTCTAATGCAAGGTGGGTGGGTCCCGTTTGGTAAACAGTGCCCTGATCAATGCCTGGTTGGTAAAATCGCAGCAAGACGAAAAAATCCAAATCCATATCCGCATGTTATTATCATCAAGTGCTTAACAAGGTTGAGTCATGAATGTTGATGAATTCTATATTGTATAATCTAATAAAACTAGCCTTGCTGGTATCTGAAATCATACTTCTGGTATTTAGTACACACAAGAACACCAGGAACTTAAAATCTTTCGACCAAGGAAGTATGTGCACTGCACAGCTGCATATGAGTCATTGAAGCCATTTATTGACACTGGGGAATTTAATGCAAATCAAGTTGCTACGTGGTCTCAATTTTTTACATACATACAAACATATATATATATATATATATATATATAAGAGATGTCTTTGAGTGATAAGAGATATTGCAGTGAACCAGGTAATGAGTTGGAGTGGGACATGGGCTGGAGCTTTCTTCCAGTGAGAAGGTGTGAAGCATGGGCAAAGGTCTTGCGTGGGGGCTGCTTAGGATTTAGGGCCCTTTATTGGCAATGAGTTGGTTCTGAGGCCTTTCTGAACAGAATGCCTTGATTTAATTACTTGAGCATGACATGAAGATGAGGAAATTGGCTACACAAACATTTCAGGGACAAGCTTTATTTTCGTTTTCAGTAAATTTATAATCCTAATGGATCTAGCTAGTCAATTGATATTGAGTGAAAAAGAATCTTATTTTCACCAAGTTCACTCATCTGAATACAATTATCTATCAATCGTGAGACTGACCTGTATGGACGGTTGTGATAAGAGGATTAGTAATTATAACATCCCACTTTAATGAATGCCTTAGCAATCATGAATGAAGCATTAGGACCAGCTTACACAATGTGTAGTATAATGAACATTTTGGCACTTCTAGAGAAAAGGACGTAGCTCCCTGAGTCATTGCTTGACGGATGAAAAGCAGAAAAGAAACCAAAAAGTGCTCTAGATCAGCTTTGTTAGTTGATTGGTAGAGAACCAAATCACAGAGGCCTATGCTTATTTCTTCTACCACATTAGACAGACATATCACAAGTGGTTTAACCAAAGGTTTACAGATCATTTCGAATAAATTTTCAATTTCAATCTCTTTCCTCCATACTGAGTCGCTCTATAGCAATGCTGCATGTCCCCAAGAGGAGGCAAACATAACAATAGAGTGTACAAATAAAGGTTTTTTCCAACAGGTATCCACAGGGAAAAAATTTTCAGCTGTTGTGTCGAGGACTACATTGACATTAAATTGTTCAGATAAGATCTTTTTGGATTAAAGGGCAAAATGGAAAAAGGAGAATAATAAAAAAAAAGAGCAGACGACTTCCAAGATACAATTTCTTCTCTTTTGTGAGTTTTAAAATCTAAATAAAAGATCTAAACAGGAATATCCTCTTCATCATCAAAACTCAAATTCAATGTTTGTAAGTTGAAGCCTGCACCCTGTATGATCTCAACCAAACTGGAAGCCACTCCTGTTGCTTGAACTGTTGTCTGTTTTGTTAACTGAAAAAGAGAATAAAAGGGGCCATTGCCTATGATGTAAATGCTTATAAAAGAATATGCAAAAAAACCCTGGAAACTAAGCTAGTAGTCCTTTTTGAGCTAAGGGTTTCATAGAAAATCTAATGATTGCATGAAAGGTTTCATGAAACAACCAGCAAGAAAGGAAAAGCCCACATTCCATCACATACATCATAACATGTCATTTTTGTTTGTTTGACCAAGATTTCAAGCTTTATGACACCACAGATCAGAGAAGGTACTCATGGGAAGTGAACTGAATCTTAAATCAAGCATGAAGCAACAAGCAATAAATACTCACCTCAACAGTACCAATACCCTCAAGGACTTGAACCTTCAAGTTGGAAATGCCTTCAGCTGCCTACAAGGAACAGATGCATCATCAAATTTCCTATGTCAAATTAGTTGTAACTACTTAAACAGACGTAGGGATTTGAAATCTAGCCAAGCAGGAAGCGATCCTCTGAGGAGTTGTGTGGAGACCATCACTCAACCTTTGAGGTATTGTCCACTTTGACCCAAAGGGCATCATGGTTATGTTCACAAAAGGTGCTTCACAAGTGTAGGTTTAAGTTTCTAAATATGCCATAGTGGTTCCTCACAAGTTCCCACTATGGGATTGGAGGCGTTACATTTTCCCTCTGTTAAGGCCTTGACACCCCCATCAAGTCCAACATATCACACACAGAACCAGGATCACATCAAGCATTAGGATTCTAGGGGTGGCTCCCACCACATACAGACAACGTAGCATTTTGCCCCGTGTAACACTGAGCTCCCACACTTTTGGATCGTTACAGGTTGGGTGAACCACTAGCTCAAGCTCTAGGCTCTAGATATAGAATTAGCTGACACAATTAAGTTAGATTCCTTCCCTTCATTGTGGAAATAGAGGTGACTATCAATTTGAGGATAAATCTATCAAGCAGCCTATCACAAATGATCAATTGGTTAGCAGTTTAATGTTGCTATAATTTGCTTCTATATAGACCAAATTAACGTTTGAGTTCAGAGCTAATAGCAAAATATCCTATACACTCTGATTTATACTTTTAGCAGCTCTAATCAGTTCAATCTCACAATAAGCTAAATGCAAAATATTCAACTCATTCCCCTCCCATCTTCCCATCAGTGCAACTTAATACATCTCTAACATTCAAATTCACTAAGCTACTATAAAATAAGGGAACACTAAAGCTTGAAAGGTCTCAACAATTCTTTACAAAGAGGAACAGCCATTTTGCATAACCATGCCGTATATATTTAACTGTTTTAAGAGAAAAGGAGGAAGAAGAGACAATAAGCTAGGGGAAACCATGCCTCAATATCCACAATAGTTAAAAGGTAAAAAGTTTCTACCTCTAACGCCTTGGTCACTTTTGGAATTTCAACTTCATTCAATGTTCCATCTGCCTTCAAGCAATCAAGATTGATTATCAGTGACCTACCATACAGACATAAATTCAAGCAAAACTAGTCAAAAGAAACCAATTCTTGCTCAATTTCAAAATCCAAATTCTATGCAGTTAGTAATAGAAAGACACACATGTAGTAGAGATAGTTTAAGTAACTAACAATAATTATACTTACACAATTCAGAAACAAATACAAGTAGAGAAACGTTTAAGCAGAACTAAGAAAAAAAAACTAATTCTTGCTGAAATTCAAACCCAGACAATCTAGACAGCAATCATTTGAGAAATGCAATAAGAATTCCACATTACTTAATCAACTTCTACTAAGAAGGCTTTTATCTAAAGCTGCAAGATACATACATATATCACCTTAAAAATTCTTTCAATAACTTTTAAAAAAAATGAAACTTAACAAAATTGACTAACAAAATAAAAGTTAAAACCCAAACTTATATCACCAAATCAGCACAACTTTATTACATCAAAAAAGCATCCACGGTAGTTACCACAGATAAAACAAGCCAGCTCTGAATTGCCAAAGTTCAGTTTCCCCAGACCAAAACAACATAAAAAAGCATAAAAAACCATACCTGGAAGTACATTCTGAGAGTGTCTGAAGGAGAGACAGGGACAGAAACGGACTCTTGTTGTTCAGCCGAAGCTGTTTCTTCTTGTTGTTGTTCTTGTTCAGGAACAGCTGTTTCTTCTTCTTCGGCAGACTTCAGCTTCCAAAACCCATGTAGATTTTTGCCCTCCTTGAAGGATAAAGTTAAGTTGTTGAAAGAAAAAGTGCTGACTTTGGTCTGCAAATGGATAGAGTTTGGATGAAAAGAGAGGTTTTCAGGAGGGTGGAAAGGGGTTTTGGAGATAAGACGTAGAGGAGTTGAGAATACTGAGACTGTTGCCATTTTTCTACTTGGTAGAAGGGAACAGTTTTGAGTTCTATCGTTATTATCTGAATTCTGAGTTCTGATGAGCGAGGACGGGGTCGGGCTTTCGATTATGTTTTTGTTGGGCTTCTCACCAGCTCCCAATCCATTGGGAAGGGTTTACTTCTGTGTGCATCTTTGGACGAAACTTTTGGTATGAAACGGACAAGGGTCGTCGACACTCTCAGTTCTTTCTTTTTAACTATGACAGTTAATGATATTTTCAGTCCTTAAATATTTAGTCTTACCTTCTTTATCTCATTTTGAACTCTGTTCATTAGTCGGTTTGGGATTCTTAACCCAAATTGATGCTTAAAAGGAAAACGGAAGCATTTCTCAACGCCAATTTCCTTCCACTAGGTTTGGCCTTTCTGTTATGGTGAAAGTAGTTAAAAATTTTGATAATATCTGTATGCCTAAGACACAGAGCAGCCAGTCGCAATCACCAAAGTTTAGCCCAAGTTAACAACTCCAATATTGTAAAACTTGGCTGTGAATAAAATCACATTTTATAATAAACATATGAACAAAGCTTGACACAAGGGACGATTTGATTTTTTGCTGGCCAACCAACAGCTTAGTTGAAAGGTTGAATGATGTTCTCGAAACATTGTCAGTCATCGTAAAAACTACTTTAGTCAATATGTTGAAGCACATCTAATATGTCTGACATACTTTCACTGGCTAATGAACAAAAACATGTCAGTGCAAGCGACGAAATTGACAAATATGCCGGTGAACCAGTCAGGACCTAGAAATCAACGCATCTTCCGTGGTGCTGCCTGAACTTTGGATTTACTACATGATCCAATCCTCTTGAACTTGACCATCTGCAAGAGCAACAGAACCAATCCATTATGCCAGCACCAAGACTAAAGTATCACAGACTTTGGAAAGCCACAAATAAGTGTTGTAAGATTTTACTGGAGCTTGAAGGCCCTTACTCATGAGATTAACACCTTGGTTTGCCAGAGCATCAGCTTCAGAGTTAAATTCCTTGAATACAAACAATCCGTCATTTGCAAACCAGAGAACAAGAATCCATTTTTCCAAGAATTGTTCAACATAAACACAACAAATCCATGCTTTTTCAAAATTAAACACATCTGTATTTTAAAGCATCTGAAACATACATATCCAGAAGTTAATATGGGGTTATCTTTAAAGGCCTCAAATTGATATGAATGAAAACTTTTGTTATTACAGACACATCCTACTCTTTAATTGCCAGAATTGTTGCTATTGATCAACTAAGGAAAAGATCATAAAAGAATCCCCTATTCATCATGTATATCCATGATGTTCTTATTGCTTCATCATTTTTCATAACAACTAATCTAAAAAGCAACATGTATTCGGTGGAGAGCTCATAAGTAAGGAATTTATTATAAGCATGTACCCGGACAACATGATTGATCTGGAATGACACAAACTTATCTTTGAGCTCCATTGCCTGTTTATTCAACTCAACCAAATTCTGACTTTTGATTTTCCACCTACCCTGAACCTGTTTCATGAGGAAATTTCGGAAGAATGACATGAACGAAAGTATAAAATCATGAAAACAGGGAGAACACTTGAAAGTAGTAAAAATCAATAAAACTCTCAACCTGCATACAGACGAGGTTAGAGTCTCCTTGTACACGAACGTGTTTAAACCCCTTTTTAAGAGCACACTTCATCCCCAGAATGGCACCTCGATATTCAGCCACATTGTTTGTGGCAATGCCAACACCTTCATGCAATCGACAGACCTATTATATTTCAAGGTTAGATACAGCTAGTGCTCTAAATAAGGATTCATAACCTTAACTGGTTGCATTAAATTCAAGTGACAGCATACCACTCTTCCATCTGCAGCACGTAAAACAGCTCCTGCACCAGCTGGTCCAGGGTTTCCTTTAGAGGCACCATCAAACTCAACAATATAGGATTGCTAGGAATTGACATAAATGACATTCTTAGTTAAACTGCCAATGTACAGAATGTCATATTATTCCAGATGTGCTCTTAATTATTGCATTAATCATGCTATTGATGCTGATTATGGAATTGGTTTAAAGAAATAGAAACCTTTTAATTTTACAATGATAACTTACACAGTTAAAGGGCATCATCTGAGTTTCAACTTGATTAGCTAAGTTTATATGCTTCATCCTAGGATCAGCGAAAAGTGAGGTTGATCCACCCACCTCCTGCAATAAGAGACAAATGCCTGTCAACTTAGTTTAAGGAAAAAAAATGTTAATCAAAGGTCTTGAATTCTTGACTGTTTTTCAGTTATTTAACTAACTGCAAGAAATTACTCAACTTTCATACTAGTAATATAGTTACTGTTATTTGTTTATTTTGCAAGCTAAATCTGATGAAATTTGCAACTATCAAAGGTTCACAACTGGGTGAAACTTTAGACTACTCACAATTTTTAATATCAACATCTAAAGATTGCTACACGTTTGAAACTAGTTATTTGATCCAGATATGTTGCACATAATGAGTTACTTAATCTCAAGTTTAATATTCCATAAGTTTCAACAAAGAACCTTGCCAAGTTTTTGTCGCAATCTACGTGGTGAAGGATCCCTGTTGGATGTGTTTCCTCTGAAAGAAGTTGGTTGCTGAAAGCAAATAAGCATTCCCCTTTTATCGGACAACTTATGCCAAGTAAGACCAAAATAAAATAGCACTTATTTACAAGTACACAACATACAGATATAAACGTATACAGTTGCACAAACAGACAGTAAGATGGAAGATGATAAACTATAAAAGCGGAAGGAAAGAAAGCCTCATATATTGTCAACATGGTAAGCAACAAGGAAATTCCAGAGGAGAATCCACCTGAGGAAGGCAAGGAACAAGTTTGCCAAAGGTTTTATCATTAACATCAGAGGCACTGAGAGAATAGGCAGTATTTTTGAGCCCACAAGAACCAAGGTACGCCTCAGCCTGCTCTGTCAAACCATATCCCTTATATACAATTAAAGACGGATCATTTACCTAAAAAAAACCGACATAAAACATCAAATTTCAATCCATAGCACATATCTTTTTGTCTTATTCAACATCCAAACAAATCAGCAAACCCACAAATAGTAACAGCATCCAAGAACTATTTAAGAATAAGAAATAAAAATGCAATGAAGTATTGATCATTTCATCAAGATGAAGCAGACCCAGAAGTGAAAATGCAAAACTTGATAAAAAAAGCAATAACCCATTTGCAAATTCACCTTAATATAACAAAAAGTAAACTAAAAAAGCCTTGCTGGAATGTAAAGAAGAGAAAAAAAAAAGAAAGGAATTAGCAGGAGTTACAGTTTGTGCATGTAAATCCCTTAAACTTCTGTAAACGCCAATAACATCACCCTTCTTGACAACATAAAAAGCATCTTTCTCTCCCTCCATTGATTATTACGATGAAAACAAACACGAATTTGAAGGGTTTTTGAGAAGCTTTGAAGTACAACTGTGAAGGGAAAGTTTGCAGAGTGGCTGAAGAGACAAGACAAAGGGCAATGACAACTTTTGCCCTTTAGGTCTGGGCTTTGGCGGGAAAGAAGAAAGGGGAAGAACGGGACAAGTGGCCCATCGGATGTGGACTAAGGCTCAATTTTAGGAAACTGGAATTCTTTTCTTTTAGGTTATCTCCTTTGTAATTCTGATATATAAAATAAAACAGTAATCAGTTCTGCAGGAATCAGGCATATGACCATTTTGGATTTGTCTGAATACATTTGCTTAAGTTACGAGAAATTTGTCTCGATTGTCAAGTGGTCTAATATCGTTAATTTGGGTATTTTAAGAGGTACTATAAATCTACTATCGATTAACTCTGAATTTACATCCAGGAAAAGTTACATTCATTATAACAAAGGGAATGGAACAATCAATGGCCTGGTCTACTACAATATACTCTCAGCTAAACTGAAATGGAAAATAGACATTCTACTCCCCAACTACGATGATAGTAGTCCGCATTCCACATTGGCCATCACACAGAGCAACATTATCGACCGGCTTATGAAGAATGTTGATTGCCCAACGGCTCCTAGTCTCCATGCCATTGCATCTCTTCAGTGCGTTTCTGAATACACTCCATATATTCCCATATTCCAGACAGTTATAGTGGACGTCCAGGATCACAAACTAAACATTCAAGGATTTCCGATGATTAGAGTATCATTCACATGATCCTCCCTACCCATATATTTTCTCAGTTGTGCTCAGTCTGAAAATGTAGGAGAGCATGGACGATTAAAAAACCAAGTAGTAAAATAATATTTTCCCACTGTAAACTGCATCACGAAGTCCAGGCTTGCTTGCTGCCCATCAAAAATCCCTGTCAACTGGCAGTATCTTCAGTAACTTGGCAAGATCATAAGACTTGAAGTCCTTCCCGTAACACAAGCTTAAATCCAAGGCAGTTTTACCATCCTGAAATGCAGCAACTCCAGAACATTAAAGTTGCATTTCTTGAAAGCATAGAGCAAAGCAAAAGCATCAGACGGTAAATAGCAAATCAGTGATACGTTATTTCTCAGCAAAATAAAGAAAAATAAGTACTGAAATATGCAGAAAAACAGAAACACATGAGCAAAGTTATTCATATTACATGTATTTGACATTAAAATAAAGGTGGAAAGTAAGAGAAAGTTTAGTGCTAAGCAAGCAGTCCCTTGTGTTAACTTTGTTCCTAGTGATGCTAACTGTTAAAGAAAACTAAGCATAATATATATATATATATATATATATATATAAACAACTAGTATATGGAAACAAATATTCATCGATAAAGAAAATGGAAAAAAAAATAGATGATATTGCCATTTTGGCCATATTTCTTACCTTGTTTTTTCTGGTCTTATCTGCACCATTGATCAATAAAACTTTTGCTACATCTCTATTTCTACTTTGCACAGCAATGTGCAATGGGGTCCATCCATCCTGCAAGAAGGGGTTGCAAAAGAACTAAGAAGCAAATTCACAAGCTAATATAGAGGTCAAGAAAGTTTACAAGCAACTGACTCTATCGGTAACATTGACGTCAACATTGTACTTGAGCAATAATTTCACAGTTTGCATAGCACCAACATGAACTGCATAATGAAGTGGGGCGGCACCATCCTGTTATCAGGATAAAGAGATGAATTGAAGCTTAACAAGCATAAGGAACGAAAAGGAACCTGAGACAGGTTTATGATAACAAAACGTTACTTCACCTTATCTTTGACATGCGGACTTGCACCTTTTCTCAAAAGATGACTGATAACAGCCTCCTTTTTACCAATAATTGCCTTATGAAGAGCAGTGTGAGCATCCTGTCTCATCATATCATAATTAGATTTTGTATACTAGAAACTGGCAATCTTAAAATTTAGATATTAAAATTTCAGTATGAATAAAATTTACCTTATCCACCTCATCTATGTCGAGCCCATCTTCAAGTAGCTTGTCCATAAAAGGTATCTGCAATGATAGTGCAAGAGTTTGAAGTGGTTTCCATTTGGCCTGGAAATCAGGGTCATAAGAAGTTGATGATCAGTCCATAACAAAATCTATGCTTATATGTTTTCAAAAGGCCTTAACAAAGAAAAGTAGTTCAATACCATATTGAGCAACTAATATAGGAAAATAAAATTATTATATAACAAACAAGACAGAAGGGAAGCAAAATTACAGTTGAGATTTTGCTCAAGTTAGGAGAGGAATTCTGTTGCAGAATTGCTTTTTCTTCTGGTCCCAATAGCTGCTCAACCTCTGCAATCAGAGAACATCCTTATACTATTGCTTGATCTTTGCTAAAGATAAAAATGTAGGAAAACACATAAAAAGTAGTTATATAACAAGGATGTCTAACAAGTATAATAAAGAAGACAACCACTGCAAGATGAATTAAAGATACAACTCCATGCATTCCCATAAAATGAGGCAGAAATTGGCTTTCGATCGATTATATTAGTTTGAAGACTTAAGAGTGAAGCTGCAGTATTAGACATCAACTAACTAGACACCAACCGGGTAACCATGATTTTGGCTTTTAGAAAAACTAGGTCTGAATGGAGATTGTTATTGGAACAAAGCTTATTTTTCTGTTCTAAAGAGGAGAATGTTAACGATTAGTGCAAATATTCATCATGCATCAGTTGTTCTGTGATTCACACAGGATAGAAAAATTATTCCCTCATGATTTGCGTGACAAGAATTATCAAATCATATGATGTTCTGAATCAATAAAAGCAACATCTTTACCACTCAACTAATCCCCTCTATGGCCATTCATTTAAATTGGAATTGACTATTACCAACAAAAATTGTCAAGGCTCATTAGCAATTTAAATCACCACCTGCTAATTTCTTATTTTGGGGAGCAAATGAATGAACAAAATATTTACAATTACTTTTGACGTAAGAATCAGACGTAACACAGAGCATAACTATAGATATGAATCATAGCGTCAAAGTCTACTTCATCCTCTGAAGGACTGCAAAATGAAACCTTGCCCTCATGCCTAGTCAGATAAGACAAATTACTTAAGAACTACCATCAGAATCTAATAAGTTACTAGCAGGTAGCTCTACCCCATGAGTCTTACTAGCATGCCATATAGTAGCAAAATAATAATAACAATCAAAATTCCCATGTAAAGTCTACCTACAAAAACATAAGTATTTAAACAAGTAATTTCCTTTCCAATCGAAAAACAAGAAACCCAACAAAAAAACAAACCTTTAACAAGGTCTTCCTCATACTGATTCCCTGTATACTTGTCAACAACCCCAACATCATTTCCTTCTTGAAAACCAGTCTCATCATTCTCTTCCACTTCCTCTTCTTCATCATATTCACTTCCACTTCCATCATCTGGGTCTTCCCATATTCCTTGATGGGTATTTAAAGAAGCTGTCGGAGAACTTGAATTAACCACAAAAAGCCTTGAAAAGCTTCTACCTGAATTGCTCAAGTTGACACCTTTGTTCCTAGCCGGGAAGCTTAAAGTTGGAAGTGGAGTTGGAACAACAGGAGAGGACTGTAGAAAGTGATGAATTGATGAAAATTTTGTCGTTGTAATCCAAGATGAAACCACCATTTCTTTAACACTGAAGAATAAAATAAACATAGCAAGAGTACAAGAACTGAGAATTTGACAAGGAGAAAGAATAAGATTTTCTTTTGAAGAATATATATATATATATATATATGCATTAGACAGATATTAGTGAATGCCCAAATTATTGCCCAACCCGGAATGAAAAAAAATGAATTGAAAATCAACCCGCTTCTAGGCCCATCTAAATGCAACATGAGTATGACATAACATATACTAATGTAAACAGTTGTAAATAGTAACTTTTATTCAAACTAGGCAGCTCCTGATTCTTTCTTCTGTTCAACTGAATTACCAACAATATGATCAGTGGCAACTTATCTTTTGAACTTCAACTCGGCACCAGTTCGAAATACCACATTTGATTTAAAAGTTTTAAACTTAAAATCTCAAAAAACAGCCTCTTAATTCACCCGAACCACTCAAATTCAGAAACAATTCACTCAATTTCTAAACTTATCCGTGAACAAGTAGAATTAAGTAACAATACTTGCTTTCCCAAAAAGCAAGGAGCTTTGGCACTGTTTTTCTTCTTCCTTTTAAAAGAAAGAAAACGAAAATCCAATAGAAAAAACTTATAGAGCTCTTGACGTGCAAAGAAATGAAACAATTGGCCAGAAATCAAACCTAAAAGACTCAATTAATCGAGTAAGCAGCGAGAAATTGTCTAAAAGTAGTTCGATTCTTCTTCGCCTTTATTCCCTTTTTTTTATCAAGAGAAAATAAACTTTAAAAAGCTTCGACGACTCATTTCTATAGAATTCTCATAAGTCATAAATAAAAAACATAAATTACTAAACCACAATCAAAGAATCCTTAAGTGAAAGCAATAAATTAAGAAGAAAAAAAGGAAGAACTTTAAGGTACCTTGAAGATACGAAGATGTGATGATGAAATTTAATCGATATGTACAAATTGCGAGGGAATCGAATATGGAAAACCTTTGGCGTTTGGATTGCGGGAAAATGGCTGGGAAGAAAAGAAGAAATGAAAGGGAGTGAAGCGCTTGCTTGGAGGGAAAGAGGAGAGGCCTTTTATCCGTAGACATCGGAGAAAACAGATGTCTTTTGTCTCCTTTCCTTTTAGGAAGCGTGCGATGTGGGTGGGGTTTGGATGTTCTGTGCTGCTTGAGGTAAGAATATCAAACCTTAGGGCAAACTTGTGGCCCACTTTTAAGCATTTGGTTTGGTTTGGGCCCTCTTCCAACTCCCATAAGTTACCAAGCCTGTTATTAATTTTGGGTTTTATTATTTCTTGTTAAAAGTTTAGAGGAACAAATTGTTTTAGCTTACAAACTCCATCCAAACAGTGTCCCATCCTTGTTAGGGTTCCTTGAGTAATAATGAAATATCAAAAAAATTGTAGAGGAATGTATAAAAAGGAAAAGAATAAATTACACAAAAGGTTGATTTTCTGGCTTTGGCAAGCAGATACACAAAGTTTGATTTAGGAATCCAAAAAACAATTGACAGTTGCAATAAACCAAGTTGTATTCCACATTATGAAAGACTTCAACCCGTTAAAGACATGGCCTTATAGCACAACAAGAGCGTATACAACTATTATTTTCTCCTGATTTACTCCAACAAAACAATTGCACCAGCTGATGACTTTGGTTGCCCATCTTGTTTTCTTGATGATCCAAATTTTGAACAATTTCAGGACGTACCCAACATGCCACTCAAAAGAGAAGACCCAATATCAAGAATAGATGATGAAGAATTATTGTTGTTACCATTGTCACCGTTGCTACCATTATTAGAATCATCACCCGTCAAACTTTGCACGAAATTCTGGCCAACTTGTTGAGCTGCTCCTTCTACAAAGCCCTGAACAGCCGCATCCATCAAAGCGTTTCCTGACATGGCTGTCCCATTGTTTTGACTCTGCGACGTCTGCATGTAACATTGGTTATTCATTTGTACAGGTCCATTCCCATACTGCAAATTGTTTCGTCCTGGATACGAATTCCGTGGCTGAACCTGGATGGTTGCTTGTCTAGTTGTGTTTGTGTACGCTGCAGTACTTGCACAAGTCAAATGGACATCAAAATTGCATATGCTACAGCGATAGAGCCAATAGTTTGACCCAATCTGATGGCAGACATCACAGGAAAAGCCTTTGGTTTGGTAAGGAGGGTAAAAGAAGAGTTGAAGCTGGCAAGGATGAGATTGGTGGAGTATAGAGAGCGGCTTGGAAGCACAAACGGAGTGGATATCGAAATTACACTGGTAGCAGTGGTAGCTGAAGCCATTGCCTTGTTGACCACAGGCATCGCAGTTGAAACAGCCGACGGGGTAGGCAGGGGTTGGGAGGAGAGTCAGAGGGTGGCCGGGGTGGGCTGGATGCGTGATCAGTTGAGGCAGTTGGCTGCAGGATGTATGCAGGGTGAAGTTACAGGGCTTGCAAGTGTACATCCATCCGGAAGATTGAAGCTTGCAGCCTGAACAGGGAGTGATGTTAAGAGTCAGAGGGTTGGTTAGCTCTAGCAGGTGGGGATGGCTAAAGTGCTGGATGTGTAGATCATGACTTAGCTTTCCCATCTCTCAACCATGGAAGAGGAAGGCAATAGGAAATGAAAGGACTTAATTTGATTTAGCTCAAAATTGAAGAGATGGCCTGGTTGACTTGCAAGGGCATCTATTTAGTCAATGGAACGCGTTTTTCTTTGTACTCTTTGGTAAGATTAATCTTTGAACATTTCAAAGAGAGAGTGGAAACAGAAAAGCGGTTCGCGAACCGCTCGACCATCTGTTCCAAACTTGACTTATTAGTTTGTGGCTAGTGAGAGGAATGTTGCCATTGCACAACGACAAGGAAGTACTAAAATGAGGACAGGGGACGGAGCAATTGACATATTGCAATATTACCCCAAACACACTTTGTTTTCACGTTTAACGTCTTTGTGTATCTATTGCTTGTTAAACTTTGATATTAGGTTGCTACTAAAGATTGCAGCTCATGTCATTGTTAGCTCATTCTATGTAGTATTGAAGTGGAAAAGAAACTGATGCTTTGCCATAAATATATATAAAGGAATAGAAACTACATGCATGCATCAAAAAACAATTGGAGCTTTAGTGAGTTTTAAATTAATGAATTATGAGGAGCTCCTGGTAGAATACAAACGGCAAAATAAAAAAAAATGGTAAAATGATTTTAAGGCGTATAAAAAGATTACAAACAATAAACTTAAAAAATACTATGAATCTTAGTGATTGATTGTGTTTTATATTAATAAAACCAATCCACATTGATGTACAGCAAGATTACTAAACTTTTATAGAATTTTTTGTTTAAGTTGTTTATGTGTTTTTCTAAATAGAGGAGTCCCTATTTCATTCATATACGGCTAAAAAAATTAAAAATAATTATAATTGTAAAGTGTTAAATCTGTTGTTAAAGTTAAAAATTAAAAATAAAATATATTTTATTATTTAATTGACAGAAGAGAGATCTCTTTATATAAACTAAATCAAGAAGATTGAAACCAAGAACCTACTTTAGTTGCATTGGTAGCAAGTGTCCAGTGGTCTTAGGATGGCTGAGGAGGAACTGCTGCTGGCCATGTGGGTAGCACAAGCTTCAAAACTGCCCAGCAATCAGGCAAAGATCGTTGCAACTCACTGTAAACTTCCAGAGTTCGGCTTTGAAGATTACGACGACGTGCAAAGCAATCTCTATACCACTCAGTGACTCCTTGTTGAAGGGATGGAAACCCAGTGGCCTCAAAGGTGCAACTGAAAGTGAATCAATGTTACAAAGGCGAGAATCAATAAACCTGAAGTCGCCAGCTGTTAACTTGTGCTCCAGGAACCATCCCCTCAAACCTCAGTCGTAGTGTTTTAGTACCCACACTTCGAAGACACCACGATACCGATTATACCATCCTGCTGATATGCATCTCAGATGTCCTTGGCACACTTCAGAAAGCTTGTCAAATATACAAAAATTTAGAGGATTTTCATTTATCTTTCATATCAAATATCAGATGGTTTCCCTATTATAAGGATTGTATCAAATATCAGCAGATATTTTTCTTATGTATCTCTTTTGACCTTTAAAATAGTATGAAACTCCTAAAGATTGTAATGTTAATCTTTAACTTCGCTTTTTAAACAAAAATCTTTAACTTTAAATAGGGACACCCACGTACCTGTGTAGCTACCTTATATTGCGATTAATGCCAAACAGCACAACTTTTAGAATGTTCCCATAGATGAGAAGATCTTTGGACACCAAGACAAACAAAAGTAAGGTATAGGCATGGAAATATCATTAGACTCATTGATCTCAAATATTAATAGCTTTTATGTAGATGCAGCAGTAGTGGAGTGTCTCAAATATTTATTGAGGTAGAATTCGTTTGTTTTATAACACAGATGTAAAGAGGAGAGCATTTTAGGGGAATTGCTCAATTTACCCTCTGGCCAAAAAGGCAGCTGCCTTAAATAAACCAGAACATTGTCCTATCTTAACCGAACATAAATTTCTGTGCTGGCTTGATGCTGTGCTTTAATGACCATCATATGCCTTTAAACACCAAAGAATATCACACCAAGAATGTTCACTGCCTTAAAATCTGCATGCATTTATCTTTTGTTTGCTAGGTGTTGTGTTTTGACTGGCCCGCTCTGCTAAAGAGTACATGTCAGAATTGTTATTATTACGCATACATGAATGGGTGCAGAAACTGATGCCTTTTGACAGGAATATATGGAAGAATTCAGATTGAAGTTCATCATTTTAATTAATCCTAATGATGAATAGAAATTTTTGCAGGTAGGCTTCTGAGGCATGAATCTCAGAGAAGCTCGTATCTCTTGATTGTGGTTCTTGGAGCATGCCTTCAAGGAGAAACCACATGCTCCAAGTGATGAAAGCACAGTCATTGTTTCTTCATTCTAAAGATATAGAGAAAATTGAAATGAAAATTTTATGTTGAATTCTCATTATTCATACACAGATTACTTATAGTAGTATACAATAAACTCAACTTTAATCTCTTAGTCCTTACCTAATAATTCAGATAGTGTTTCTTATCTGTGTTGACATCCAGCTCCTATCCAAAGCCAAATTGTCAGAGAGCTGGAAATCAGTCCAACCTCCGTATATGCACTAAACAACATTAACTCCGAAAACTAGGCGGTCCTTTTAACTTATCTGCTCACCAATCAAATCCAAACCAACAGCCAGAAAAGTCAAGCCTTGAAACAACAAGAAGTAGAAATGAACTCCATGGGCAGATAATAGACTTCTTGCAGCTGCAGTGAGTAGAAGAAAAGCAAGTGCAAGCTCTTTCCTATAGAGCCTGTTTCTCTTATTTACAGGGGTAGCTTCTTGTTGCTTGAGTTTATTCAACATTTCCAGACCAGACTCGGAGTTCCTCCTAAGGATTTTATCTTCATTGGAAGATTTTGATTCCCTCTCAGCCAAGGCCAATAAATCAGATTCAGATGATCTACCTGTCTTCTTTGTCACTACCCATTCATAAGCACTTCCAAGCTGAAATAGTCCTGATATCATGGCATTGAATTTGGTGACAGACATTGTGTTTTCAAATAGAAGATAAGGAACCAAGAAAGGGACAGATTTTGGGGAAGGGAGGATATTTAGAAGAGACATGAAAATAGGAACATAACAGATCACCCAAAGGGGTAGTTCAGCCTCGGGAATAAACATGGTCAATGGAAGTATAATACAGAACAATGTGAAGGAGTAAAATGGAAGTATAAGTTTCCTCAAAAGAAAGAAAAGAAATATCAAGTTGGTTTTCTTCAACACCGATATCTGCACCAACACACATCCATTAGTCATCTACATGTACTTTCAACGGATTGAGATAGATTGAAGATACTACAAAAGAAAAATAGCCGAACCTTGGAAGTTATGATGGCAGGAAGACATAAACGGAATAACTGCATTGGACCTGAGTGCCAGCGGTGCTGCTGTTTCTTGTAGGCTTCATAAGACTCAGGTAACTCACAAAGAACTTTTACATCATTGAGGAAGATAAATTTCCATCCATTTAAGTGTGCTCGAACTGCAATGTCCATGTCCTCAACCGTTGTTCTCTCAAGCCAGCCTCCTGATTCCTCTAAGGCCTTAATTCTCCACACACCTGCAGTCCCATTGAATCCAAAGAAATTGAGGAAAACACCATTCACTTGCTGCTCCACTTCAAAATGGAAGCACAGATTGATGTTTTGGAGCCTTGTAAGCAAATTCTCATCCTTATTCACAAAGGACCAGCGAGCCTGAACAAGACCAAGCTCAGGTTGTCCCTGCCATAAAGACCAAGGTTGTTTAAGTGGCTATTGACATTAAAATGAAATCTAGTTTCTTTCTTTCCATTGGATTTTACATGGTACCTTGAAGTGGGGAACAGTTTGTTTGAGGAAATCAGGGTTGGGTTGGAAGTCTGCATCAAATATAGCAACAAATTCATAGTCCTTGACATAGTCACAGGCCATAGCTGATTTAAGATTGCCAGCTTTGTATCCAGTTCTGATTAACCGATGCCTGTAGATTATGTTTACTCCTTTCTCACGCCACAAGGAGACTTCATCTTTAATCAGAAGCTGTAAATTTCCATCATCTGAGTCATCTAGAACTTGAATTAGAATCCGGTCTTTTGGCCAATCGAGCTGACAGACAGCTGCAATTGATTGCGCATATACCTAATTCCAAGAATTACTTCAGAATAGGTCCACAAACAAAATTCAACAGTAAATAATGAAATTCAAGGCTTAGAATTCTTGGGATATAACGTTCTCCGTAGAAAAATGCCATTGCCTTCACGACGAGGAAAGGAGAAAAAGAAAGCGCTTTGGCTTTTTGTTCCAAAAAGCAGGAAAAGAATGTCCAACATGTTAAACAAATGGTAAAAACAAAATTGGCAGCTTAAAAAGTTAAAAAAAAAAAAAGACAAAAGTGAACAAAAGCTACCGCAGAAGTCCCAAACATGTACTAGAATTTTGTTAAGAATCAGAAAAAAATAACTTTTTAAAGTAAATCTAAGTGAATTTAAATATATGTCCAAACCTTCTGCAACATTTGTACATGGATTAGTTAATAAACACACCCATGAAGATTGGCAACATAAAACAAAGAGATATAGAGAGCAAAACAAACCAATTTGAGCAAGTTCAGTTTAATTCTCACCTCTCTCTCATTGCACATAGGAATCTGAACAAGAACCATAGGGAAACTTGAGCCATCCTCCATGTCATAAGCCTCTCCTTCGATTCTGGGCTTCAACTTCTTGTATTTAATCCAGAAACACCCAAGACAAAGAATAAGCCGATCGAGAGATTGAATCAAGAATAGCACAGTGCAGAATTTTGACATTGTTAACACCAAAGGAGCAATATAATCAACTCTAAATGACAGCCAAGCCATGTAGGACCATTGCACAAGACCTTGAACCTCCCATGGCTGTATCAGGTTCAAATTCCATTTCTTCAGATGGGCAACAATTTCTATTACCAAAGCTGCTATGGAGATAACAAGAAAGGCTTTGATAAATCTATACAATCTTCTGCTTTTGGCCTCTTCGTCACTCACATCAGATAATGCAATGCGTTTCTTGACTGATAAAAGCATGGTCTTAAA